GGGTGAGTCCTTGCCTTGGATAAGAAGTGAGGCGTGGGGAGAAATGTCCCTGCCGCGTTTGCTCCCCATTCTGCCACACAGAGCGCGTCGCCCCTGCCAGGCAGCAGGGCGGTCCCCACACTCCCCGGTCTCGGCTGAGCGCCACAAGAAGGGTCAGAAGCCCGCAAGAGGACTTGGGGTCACTTAGGTGGACCCCTCCGTCTGCGGAAGCCCCGCGAGGCGGGAGGGTCTGCCCCAGCCCCTGGGAGAGGGCAGAGGCCCACCCCGGCCCCCGGCAGGCCTTCGGCTTGCCCCTGCCCCCGCTCCCACGGCCGGGCTGCGGGAGAGCAGGGGGCTGGAGAGGAACGCAGTGCTCGCCGTGATAGAAAAAGTCCATAATGAATTTAACAATGGCCAATGACCAACAGACGTAAAACGCGAATTAAGAAGAGACAACCGCGCTTGAGCAGCACAGCCAACGGAGGGCCGCCCCTGGTGGGCCCGCAGCCCAGCAGCCTCCCCAGGTGGCAAAACTCACAAGCGCTGCAGCGTTGCCAGGCAACACAGGGCAGCCAGAGGTCGTAACACAGTCAGGAGCCCGAGGCCTCAGGAGGCTAAGCAGAGCGCCAGCCTTGGTCCCTAAACACCACATCTTAGAAGCTTCACTCACACACTCTGCAATTTACTGATGGCCAAGAGCCTTGGCCGTGGCTGGGAATGAGGGAAGGGCCTTTTGGAGTGTCTGTGCCACTCTGGAGCCTCCGGGAGCCTCCTGGGGCCCGCCAACGTGTCCTCAGTGGACGGGAGGCGTTTGCACGCGGCCGCTGCGTGTGGACATGCAAGAGGAGGGCAGAGGAGGCCGTTCCTGTGCACGGGTCAGCGCACACGGGCCCACGGGCCACGTGTCCCCCAGGCTGCTGGACACGCGGGGAGGGAGCGGAGGTCGCAGACCCCCCTGCCTGCAAACCCCCAGAACCGCCTGCCCTCTGGAGGCTGTGGCGCAGACTTGCCTGCGGGGGACGCGGCCCACCCCACAGGCCCTTCTGGGACCAACAGTCGCATGAGCCGCCCTTCACCCCCACGAAAGGTGTCCCCATGCCTTTCCCATCCTCCTCCACAAAAACCCACCTGTAATGAGCCCGCTGGACCACCAGCAAACCCCCTCCCCGGGCCCGGGCTCGGACAGGTGGCAGAGAAACCCACCCCAGGCAGCGGGTACAGGCTCGGGGCCCAGAGGCAGGCAGGCAACAACTCGGTCTGAGCTCCGCCTCTAACCGTCCCCTCACCTCCCGCAGCCTCAGCTCGCTCGTCTGCAAACTGGAGAGCTCCGAGGGCCGCTCGACACTGATACCAGGGGTCGAGCAGGCCAAGCAGGACCAGCGCTCAGCGTGCCACCAGCGCCACACAGGGCGCGGAGCCCCTGGCGGCCGCAGTCAGCGGGTCGCCGCTGGGGCACTCCACGCCCAGGTCCGGCAGGCCCCAGTCTCCCACAAAACCTCCCTCACTGCCGCGTCCAAGTCCCTCCCCGGTTCCCTGGTCCCCTTTGCTGGCCTTCGCTCCGCGCTTAAACACGTGCCCCTCCGTGCCGATATCGGGGCGGCTCACACAACGCCTCGGACGCCCCACTCCCCAGGCTGGCCCACTCCTCTGAGGCCTGGCTTTGCTCCACGGTCACTGTTTCGCCATAGTCCCCGCCCCTCGGCCTGAGGACAAATGTTTGAGCACTGTGTAAGGAAATGGTTGCTGAGTAAATACATGTGCGAGGCGTACAGTTCTGTTCAGGCGCACACATCTCTGGTATTCATGGTGCAGATGGGCAAGTAACAGGAGTGGGGCTGCACCCCTCCCCCCCAGGAGTGAGTGAGTGCCTGGCCTTCGCCTGGGGGTCCACAAAACGTAGCGGGAGCCGCCTGCCTCCCCCCAGGACCGGGGAGCACGGACTGGGCGTGAAGCGGCAACGCTGAAACGGGACCCGCACCTCGCGCCGAGTCCGGAGGGGCATCAGGGTGCTGAGGGGGCCAGGTGGACCCCAGGCTGCCCGCGCGCCCGGCTCCTGCCGCACGGGACAGGGGGCATGGCACGGGCCTCAGCCTTTCATGATCTGATTTCCAGAGACATCGTCCCCGAGTGACTCATTCCGGGGCCAGGAAGTGTTCCAAAAGGCCAAGCTCCTGGTCTCACTTTCAGCTCCCTTTCTTCTGTCCGCTGCCAAGTGAGGTCGATGACTGTGCTGACCACCGTCCTATGAGAGTTACCTTCACCCTTAAACTCCCTTACGTCGCTCTGCCTCCCAGCAGTCGATTTAGAGGTGACGTGGTCTCCCCCCATCGATATTCACACCGTTCTTTCCCTTTCTTTTCCACTCTCCCACCCCTGCCTTCTCAATCTCTTAACTCTCGGCCTCCCAGCCTGACGCCGTCAGCTGCAGGGGCCTCCCAGTTACGGATGCTCTCACAGCTGGTTTGGGTTGTTGACCCTGAGCAGGAAAATTCCTGCCAAGAAGGACCCTGATGGTTAACTGGGCTTCAGGTCCATAACCAGAGCGCAGCAGCCCTCGCCGGCAGAGGCCCGCAGGCAGGACGCACCTCAGGGAGCAACCGCAGCCCGAGGGGCCGGCCTCCCGCACGCACTGTGCTCCTGCCAGCTCGGCCCAACCTCACACGGGAGTCCCTACAGTCCCATTTCAACCAATCGGCTAAGACCTGCCCCAGCCAATCAGAGCTGCACAGGCATATCCTCATTTGCATCTTTACTGACCAGTGGTTCCATATGCCAATCGGGAGGCACAAATCTGACCAATCAGGACAGTACCATTTGAATTTATCAAACTGTGAAAATTTGAACTCTTCATTTGCATAGAAATGGACCAATCAGAGATTAGGGCAGATACTTTCTCCATATAAGCCCACCTCCCTTTTGACGGGAGGGCACTTTGGTTTCCTCCCGTCTGTAGACTGGAGGCCATGTGTCCCTCCTTGGCATCGGACTGGTAGCAGTGACGTTTTTGTTGACAAGGTCAAGGCGTCATGCACCAGCACCATGATCAGAATCCAAACGATCAATCGCCGTGTGCAACACTGGTTCATTACAGGCTGGATCACGGTCAGCGGAGCCTTTCTGTGACCCAGGGACAGCGACTCCCACTGCACATCTGTTGCAAGGATTCCTCACCTTTACAAAGGTAATTACAGTGCAGTTAATACTAAGCTTCTTACGATCTTGGATACCTTTTGAACTCCCAAGGGGAAAGGTTCTGGGCCAATATAAGGTGATAAAAGTGAAGAATGCTGAAACTAGGTCCCTCAGGACAACAGGGCAGCAAAACGAACATGACCGTGGCACGAGACTGTGGTTTCCCAATGGGTTTCAGCAGCAGGGTCCCGACCTGAAAGGACACCGTCGGTGGAAGCCCACTCCTCAACCCGATGGAAGTGGCGCCGCCCTGGTGGGGAGGCAGGCGGGGCGCTGGCGGGACGAGGCCCGGGCCCACCTCCCTCCTCCTCAATCTCCGCCCATTTCTCCGCTCACCACCCACGAGGAGTCCCCAGGCTTCCACGGGGGTGTCTGGAAACTCCGCGTGAAAGGGGGACACGGAAGGAACCTCTGTGTATGCGCCACAGCAAGGGGGGCTGGTTGTGCAACCTCAGGGCCCGCAGGGGGCCACCGCCTTCAGCTGCGGATGTCCCGCTGCCCTTGCCTTCCCAGTCTCCCTGTGTGTTTCTTGGCCTTGGTTTTCACGCATACGTGTATTATCACAGTTGTATAATACACGTATTATTACGCATCTCCGAGCCTCTGTGGAAGACGCTGGCCTCTGAGCTGTGCACACAGAGGTCAGAGGGAGAGGGGGCCCCTCCCCCAGGACAAGGCAGCCACAGGTCTGGCCACACCCGCCATTCTGGAAGGTGCTGTGGTATTTTACTGTGTTTTATGTGTGCTGGCTTGAAGCAACCCAAATAGAAACTAAATACACTCTAACATGCACTCCAAGATTCTTAAGAAGAGCCTTTAACATAGAGCTTTCCCACAGGAAGACTCCACTGTCCCCTGAGCCGTGAGCGGTGTTTGCAGGTCCGCCTGTGCGACATTTAGCGTGGACGGCCGGACTCTCCCTTGACCTCCACCAGCAGGCTTTTAGGAAGAGGGCACTGAGAAGCAGCCGTTCCCTATGTGAGATTCCTGGGGACGTTCAAATTATTAAACAGCCTGCTTGCTCACTTACAAAAACACTGATTTGTGTAAATCTGACTAAGGGCTATTAAAATCTCCTAAATTATCCACGGAAACATAACACGTATTCAAGTTCCCATCAATTTGAGAGACTCTAGAGAGAAAAAATCTGAAATCCAGACAATGACAGTACGCGATTTCTCTGATTTTCAAAGGAATGTTGATGGCTTGAGTGGGAAAGGTCAAGAAACACGTAAAAATCAGGGAGGCAACTCTCTTCCTAGTTCAGAAAAATTATAGCTCCTGCAGAAGACACTGAAAATGAGCTCTCAGCTGACAGATTATAGTCATCATGCCAGGGCTTCGAAAGCCTCTCCCCGTTTTTATATCTGAAAAGAGAAACACACTTCTTTCCTCATGTGAAGAAATGCTTTGACGACCCAGGTTCCCTGGGCGGGGGCTGCGGACTCCAGCCCACATCCAGCGGACAGCCCGCCTTCTTCTGGCCAGAGCGGAGAAGAATTTTCACATTTTTTAAATGGTTAGGAAAAAAAGGGTCAGAAGATTTCCTGACACACGAAAATTACATGGACTTCAAATGTCAGCGTCTGTCAATCGAGTGTTACTGAGGCACAAGCAGGCGGAGCCACTCCCATTTATGGCTGCTCCCTTGGCCCTGGCAGAGGTGAGCAGCGGTGCCCAGGAGGGTATGGCCCAGAAGCCAAAAACTTTGACACAGCCTGGCCGCTTCTAGAAAAAAGTTGCCAATCCCTGAGCTAAGAGACAGAGTCACCCTCCTCCACTGCCCCATGGGCCCCTCTTGTGTCCGGGGACAAGGCGGGGAGACGTACCTGGCTGACAGGGCCCAGGCATCTGTCCAGACAGCGGAGACAGCTGGAGCAGCACCTGCACACACACCTGGACCAGGCACTTGACCACTGGGAGCAGGAGCAGAGCCACAGGAACAGAGTCAGAAACCACCCGGGAAGGCAGGCGAGCGGCAGGCTAAGTCCACACGCCCTGTCTCTGCCTGGAGGCTGCACATCTGGGGGCGCTGTGGCAGTGCTGCTCACACTAAGCGGGCGGGATTCCGCCACTGCGTGCAGGCTCCGGCTTATTGTTATCGTTATTACCGTTATGATTAGTATCACCAGGGACCCAAGTTTCTCTCTCATGGGCTTACCTGTTACAACTGCTGTTGACCTCAGCAGAAAGGGAAATGGGTTGGTTAGTCCCTATTTACTATCGAAGGTAAAAACTAGGCCCTCTGGTTCCAGTAAAAAAACAAAAACAAACAAACAAAAAAAACCCTCTTTTCCTTCATCTCCCCTTCAGTGTTTCGGTTATAAACTGCTTTTTCAAACCAGCTTGTTGTCATGACAAATTCACATCCCAAAGACGATAAAACAAAGGATGCTTTGTAGATATTAGTTATGTGCTCACATTAAAAAAAAGAATCAAGTTTATGTTTTTTGTAAATGAATCCGATAATGAGATTTTCAGGGCTAAATTTCAAGGGATAAATTAGTTCTTTGAACTGTAACTTAGACTAGTGTATAACTCAAGAGTGAATGACTTACAGAAACCCTTAGAGGAGAGGGGGCTGATTGCATCCGACCCACAGCCCAGAGTCTGAGAGGAAAATGCCGATAAACAATCCTGAAATAGACCTCTCTGAGGACCCAGGAATAACGCAGCCTTATATGGGCATTTTCTCGTCCCCACGTTAGTTCAGATGCATGAAACTTGACCTGGAGGCTTGTCAGCCTGGTGGTGTGGTTGTGAATGAGCCATTTGCAATACAAAGGATGGAAGGATCGTGTGGGGCCGCGGGAAATGTTTAAACTGCAGACACACCACAGGCTGCCAGGCTGCTGAGCAAGACCGGGGCTTTCCCCCGGAGAAAGGACACATTTCTCCAACAGGCATGTCACTGGAAGGGCGTTTGGCCCCTTGGTCCTCACGGGATAGTGGGGGGGGGGGGGGGGGGATAAATAACCTTTTAAGCCAGCCCGCTGACTCCTCCCCCAGGCTTAGGGAAGGCGCTCTACCCCGAGTGGAAGACCCTCAGGGAGGGATGGCAAGTCCCCTGCTGCTCCTCAATCCGGGACTATTACCGCCACCCCCCCCCCGCCCCCCTGCCACACACACAGAACAGACCCCAGGATGTGCCCCTTCAGCGTGTGAACTATGTGGTGCCGAAGGCAACCAAGATCCTGCAGGCTCAAGAGGAACTTGTACCTCTCCCCTAAAGAACTTAAATTCAGGGCCTTGTCCCTAATAAGAGTGGTCATTGGAAATAATGTTTCTGATTCATCTACAGTCAGGAAAAACTGCTGATTACTGAACCCCTGGTCTTCCTATTGTCCCGCAATGACTTCCTCCCCTCCGAAGGCTCAAGGCGCCGGAGCTTGTCCTCAGCTCGGAGTGTCATGTCTCTGCCTCTGAGCTGGATCCTGAGCTTGGAGTTCCCACTCACGTAACTAAATTGTCATTTTCTCGTGTTCATCTGTCTATGTCTATTTTAGTTATTGGATCAGCCACAAGAGTAAATATATATTTATATATTTTTTATATAGAAATTTATATATATTTACGTAATCATATATATATGATCAAGAAATCCTCCAAGTTTCCTAAAATTGAAGGATAAATTTCAAAATGCAGGAGCCAGCGTAGCCGGATTTCACCTGGAAGTGGAAATGCCTCTGCAAGTCACCAACATGTATGTATTTTTTATCCCTTGAAATTCAGCCCTGAAAGTCTCTCTATAGAATTTATTTCCAAAAATATTAAACTTAACTCTCTTTTACTGCAGGCTCATAACCAGCACCTACAAAGCACCATTTCCACAGAAGTACAAGGGAGCGCAGGGGCGGGGAGGGGTGGGGCGGGGCGGGGCGGGGGTGGGGGGCGGGTGCGACTGTGTTGCCGGCATTTCCAGACACGGAGGCTGGGGAACTTTTTCTGAGATCCAATCAATGATACGCTAATCTCAAATCTTGATTTGGGACTTAAAAATATCAACAATTCAGACGTCTGCTTAAAAGAGCTGGTAAGAACACCCCTGAGTGCAATAAGGGGCCCCGTGTAAAAGGCCTCCAGTTTGCCGAGACTGCCTCCCTGGGCCCCCAGGCTGGAGTCAGGTTTGTGAAACTCTGACCCAGCCCCTGGCGCGGGCGCGGGGGGCGGGGCAGGGCGCTCAGCGCTGCCGGGCAGAGCCCTGGGCGCAGTCCAGCCCCGCCCTGTGCGGTGGCAGAAACACCCTGAGAACAGCTGTTCTCCTGGGGCTCTGGTTCCTGCTGGCATTCGGGGCCACTGTGCTCGGAAATCCGAGCCGGGGCGGAGAAAAGCCCGGACAAAGGCCCTCAGTCTTCTGTCTTGGGGCTGGGATTTGGGTCACGCTGCCCAGTTCTCACTCTTCGCTCCCTCCCTCCCTCTCACACACACACACCAGTGACTCCCCACGGCGCCCCCTAGGAAACGCAAAGGCAGGGGATGTTTTAGCATTAAAAAACAAACGTTATCTTGTAGTGTTTTCTTCCTTTAAAAGAGAAAGCCCCTAAATGTCCAAAAACACGGGTTTAAATTTCCTCTGACAAATCCCTCCCATTTGTTCGGCATTTGAATAAGAAGCTTGCCTCTCCCCGAAGGGCCCCCTCCTGACCCCACCCCCCTCCCGTGTCGGGGTGGGGGGGGGGAAGCCCAGCCCTGGGAACCAGAAGCAGTTTGGGGGGGGGGTGCGGCGCGTGGCCTTTGGAATGGCCGCCTCCCAGGTCACAGGGCTGCCCCGGGACCTGCTGCAGGTTCCTGCAAGGTGAGGGTGCGGTTGCGGGGCCTCCTCACCTGGCCTCTCAGAGCATGAGACATGCACAGGACGGCAGCTCCAGGAATGCTCGCCGCAGGGATGAGGAGTGAGCCTTTGGCGGCTGTCCCCGGGTGGTAGCAGAAGAGGGTGGCGAGTGATGACAGGACTGGGCGGTCGGGAGGGTCGTTACCGTTTCTGGGAACAGGAAGAAAAGGCGCCCCTTAAAAACGACTGCTGCGAAAGGGTCGCCGCGTTCCGGTCCAGATCGGCCAGGGCACCGACAGCGCGCAGCAGCGGCGGCGAGCACGGGGCAGCGCCGGGCACTGGGGCGACTCGTCCCTTCTGGCGGCACTCAGCGCGACAAACATACAACAGAAGATGTTATAAAAGCCGCCGATGGGGTAAAACAAACCAGGTTCCCTCTTGACAACACCGATCCCCCCAACAGCCCCTTAAGGGGCCTATTACTCTCGTTTTAATTTTCAGAAGCTCCACTCTGTAACCATCTGCAAGGTGTGAATCACACAGGGAAAGGCCACCTGCCTTGGCTGGGTCATTGAAACCACTGCTGGTTACACGGGCAGGACGGTGGCTGGGGACAGGGAACCCCCTGCGGCGAGCGTGGGCTCGGCTGGAGGCCCTGAAACCGGGCTGACCCCCACTCCACAAAGGCCACGTCCTGTGACTCATCTGCAGGACTTGTCAGGACACAGCTCCCGAGAATGCAAATCCCAGTTGCACAAGCAGGGAGAGAAGTGACAGGCAAAGGACCGCGCCCCCCCCACCCCAAAACCTGAGGGTCACGCAGAGGACAGCGCGGCCCAGGCACGCGCCCTGACCCTCGGATTCCGCGCAGGCCCGCTCCAGAGAGCCAGGCCGTTCCCGGAAGCCGCCTCTCTGGGCCCAAGCACAGCCGGGTTCCTTCCCGGCAGGGGATTCTGCAGCGGGGTCGGGTTGCTCAGGGATGAGCTTCTGACAAGGGCCTCCATTTGACGGAGGAAGGAACGCAGCCAGAAAGGCCTCCAGAGTTGGCAACGGCCCTGCTTGCTGCTAATCACCCAGGAGAGAGGAGGGAGGGAGGGAGGAAGAGGGAGAGGGTGGCAGCACCACAGCCCGGTCACGGCCCACGCGTGTCCCCGGGAGGCGGCAGAGCCAGGGAGCCGCACCGATGGGGCCGCACTCTGATCGGATCCCCAGGCAGAGCAGACAGGCCGGGAAAATCTGACACGCCCTCCTCCCCCTTTTTTTTTTTTTCTTTTTCCTTTAAGAAAGAATGTTTACTTTTCCATTGAGGAGGTTTGTGTGCCTTTGAACGTCTTGTGGTGCTGGGTTGGTGGGAGGGTCTGCTTCCCACCCCACGGGGACCTACGTGTGGGGCCCCGGCCTGTCCTCTGGGCGCTGCCGTGTGGGGTCAGGCATGGGCCTTCTGAGGCTTCACCCGGACGGGATGAACCACTGTCCCGACGGAGACTCCAGGGTCCCAGGCGCAAGCTCGGCTCTCACTGGGACTCCACAGGGGTAGCCCAGGGCTCCCCGTGGCTGCCTTGGGAGATTTCAGATGCTGGGCTATCACAGCACAAGAGAGGCAACTGAAAAAGAGGGACATCCTACAGGTGGCCCAGACCCTGGGGCCTGACGGTCTCCGCAGGAACTCTCCGGCCCCTGGGCTCGGGGGAGTGCGGACGGCGAAGGCCGGCTGGCTGCGTTAAATCCTCGGCCTGCGTGCGGGCGAGAACACGCGGGGAAGGAATCGTGAACCTCATGGAAAGTTAAAGATTTAAAAAAATGAAGCATGAGCTTTGAGATCAGGAAAAACCTTGAGGTTTCAAAATTAGACACAAAATCAAAAGAGAAAGTAGGACTCTTTAATAAATTGTAGTGCTAAAAAAAATCCTGCCTTTTATTTTTTAAATATTTTGGTTATGCTACCCTAATTGTTGTCCAATTTCCCCCCTTTCCCCCGTCCCTCAGGCAGTCCCGTGATGAGTGATGTTGAGCACCTTTTCATGTACCTGCTGGCCACCTGCGTGTCCTCTTAGTACAAACGTCCATTCAGTTTCCTCTGCCCATTTTTCGGTTGGGTGGTTTTTCTTTTGAGCCATAGGAGTTTTGCATATTTTGTATATTAGCCCCTTATCGGATATCTGATTTGCATATATTCGTTCCCTTCCCAGAGGCCGCCTTTCCATCCTGCTGTTTCTTTTGCTGAGCAGCCTTTCCGTTTGGTGCAGTCCCACTTCTAAGTTTTCGGGTTTGTTGCCTGTGCCTTTGGTCATATTCAAAAAATGGAGCCCAGTCCAAAGTCAAGGAACTTTCCCCTTGAGTTTTTTCCCAGGAATTTTACAGTGTCTGTCCTCCTGTTTAAGCCTTCAATCCCCTTCTAATTAATTCTTGGGAGTGGTGTAAGACAGGGGTGTGGTTTCGCTCTCCTGCCTGTGACTGTCCGGTCTTCCAGCCTCATTTCCTGTAGAGGCTGCCCTTCCCCCACTGGCTTTCCTTGGCTCCTGTGTCAAATATTAGGTGACGGTATTGGTGAAGCGTAACTCTGAGCTCTTGACTGTGTTCCAGTGACCTCTGTGTCTATTTCTATGCCAGTGCCATAGTGTTTTGATTACTATATGCCTGTAATATAGTTCGATATCAGAAAGTGTGATACTTCTAGTTTTTCTCCGGATTGTTTTTGCCTATTTGGGGTCTTTTGTGGCTCCATTCAAATTTTAGAATTGTTTTTTTCTACTTCTATGGAAAATGCCATCAGAAATTCGATGAGGGTTGTATCACCTCTGTAGATAGCTTTGGGTGGTATGGACAGTTTAACAATATTAATTCTTTCGATCCATGAACACAGGGGATCTTTCCATTTGTTTGTGTCTTCTTCAATATCTTATCAAAACCTTTTAGTTTTCAGTGTATAAGTCTTACACCTCCTTGGTTAAATTTATTTCTAAGTATTTTATTGTTTTTGATGCTATTTTGAGTGGGTTTATTTTTATTTCTCTTTTAGATATTTCCTCGTTAGTGCTCAGAAAATGCTACAGTATTCTGTGTGTGCATTTTGTATCCTGCACCTTTACCGAACTCATCAGTTAGTTCTATCAGTTCTTGGGTGGTGTCTCTCGAGTTTTCTATACATAAGATCGTATCATTGGTACATAAATAACTGATCCGAGTAGTAGTGAATTCTGATTATATTCCCTTTCCTGTACGGCTTCTGGGTTCTCCTGAGGTCAGTAAATGCTTTACATTTTTTTTATTTGCTTGGTTTTCCACGGCCTTTGGCAAAGCATACATCTTCCCTGCACGTGGTCAAGCACACCTGGATTCCCCTGGCTGCTGCTTCCCTTGGAGACACCGGCCTGGAGCCCACCCCTCCGGCCCCCGCCTCCGACAGCCTGTTGCCTCCATGGCCACGCGCCGCCCGCTGAGAAAGCGTCTTCCCCTCTCCACTGGGTTCAAGCCCATTCCTGAGTCCCATGAATGGCTGGCTCATTCATTGCAACACAGAACATCCTTCCTGAGAAGCAACGTGGGAGGAAAGCCCTTTGACATGTCCCAGGCCCGAACAGGACTTTTCTCTCCTTTGACTGACAGTGTGGGCAGGTCGGGAACTCCAGGCCGGAAACCCCCTCTCCGGGGGCCTCGGGCAGCCTGGCCCCGCCGCCATCCTGGCTGCGGCTGAACGCCAGGGCCCGCGCCAGGCCTGGATCCTCAGCCTGCGATCTGCTTTTCCCATCTGGAAGCTTCTAGGGTCTTATCTTTAGTCCTGCCCTCCAGCTTTGAGAAACTTTGATGATTTCATCCCTTCTTTTTCCTTTGTTCTCTGTTTGTGGAACTCACACTAGTCAGATATTGGCTCTCCTAAACTTATGTTCTAACTTTTCATGCTTTCTCTCCTACCTTCCATCTGTTTTTCCCTCCGCCTCTATCTCCTAGAAGTTCTTCAATTTCATATTTTCATCCTTTAATAAAAAAGTTTTACTTTGTAATCATATTTTTAATTACTAAGAGGTCTTTCTCGCTCTCTATTCCTTTCTCCTTATTTACGGATGCTGTATTGCTTTGTTCTAAAGATAATATGTTTTTTATTGGTTTTTGTAGTTTTCTTCTGCTGCCTGCATGGCCCCTGTTTCCCTAAACTGCTTTTGTTTTGTTCAGTTCGATCTTCCTTTCTCCGGAGGTTTTCTTCAAACGTCTGGTAATCACTGGTTGCCCTTTGCATGTAAGAGGCGGTGCCCAGGGGTGAGCTGGAAGCTCTGCGAGGGGGTGGGTGACTGTCACTGTCCGTTCAGAGTCAGAGGACCAGGTCATGTTGCTGGGGAGCCCCACGTGGCACCAGCTGGACCTCCCCACTCTGGGTTAGGCAAGTTCTCCAATGAAGAATCCTCAGGGACACCCACCCGGCTGCCGCCTCCGGGGGGCTGAGCTGCGGAACGTGGGCCAGGGATGGTGCAGGGAGGGGGCCGCAGCTCCCGCTGGGTCAGACGCCCCCCATCCAGCCCTCCTCTGCCCCCCGCTGGCGTGGACTGACTGCTCCGCAGGAAGATGCCCGGCTAACCTTCAGAAGCGCGTTCACACGCGAGTTCCTGAGCCGCGCGAGGTTTGGGGGCTCCGATCGGCCAGCATCTTACGTCCACCCCCATCCCCACGCAGCACGCGCAGGCAGGCCCCTCGTTCCGGCTCCCTCCCCACAGCGGTCAGCGCCGGGTGGCCGTCTCTGACCCGCTGCATGGCCTCTGCTGGTCGCTGTCCTGTGCACGCCCACGCCTTTCTCATTCTTCCGTGGGGACGCGGAGTGGGGGGCGGGGGTGCGCACACGCGCCGCCCTCACAGTCCCAACCAGGAGCCGCCACTGGAAATGCTTCGCTTCCGTGGCTCCGTGGTAACCCGGCTGCCGCCGTCAGCCGGTCTGGCTGGTACAATCGCTGCTCTGCAACCCAGCCGCAGGGGACGCGCCCCGCCGGCCCCCCGACGCGTAGAGCCGAGGGCTACAGCCCCTCTGCGCCTCTCGCACGGCGAACGACACAGTGACGGGGGCCCCAGGAGCAGCGCCGTGTTCAGCCCCCCGGCCCCTTACAGGGCAGGAGGTGACTGCCCGGGGCATGCGCCACCCCTGCGACACTCTCTCCCCCAGGGTCTCTGTTCACCTGCTCACCGGCTCACCTGTTCACCTGCTCACCGGCCGAGGCGGGAGACGCAGCAGCCCCACGGGACTGAACTTCCTGTTCTGGGTCCAGCCCCGGCACTGCCCTGGCCCCCACCCCCAGGCGCCACCGCTGCCCCCGTGGAGCCCCGCACTCTGGAGGGGGGGCGCCGAGGGCAGGGCGTGTCCCCCATTATTCTGTGGGGTCACAGGGCAGAAACACTTAAGTACGCGTCGCTCCGTGTAGCTAATGCACTGGCACTTACAGGACATCGGTCACGCTTTACAGTCAGACACAGGTGCCTGAGGGCTCCGTTATTTTCCAAGCGCATGTTCCCCTCGTTTTCCTAGGACAGATGCGGGTCCCCAGAGGTTACTTCAGTGCGTCCCAGACAGACCAGCACTTTTTTGCAGGGCGGGGTCCGCGAGGCCTTTCGGCTGCCTCTCGCCTCCATCTAAGCAGACTGTCATGTCCCTGCTGGGCTTCCTTCTGAAGTTCCTATCTCCACGTGAAGGGCCTGGGCCCTGGCTGGGTGGCTCCGTTGGTTGGAGCGTCGTCTCGTACACTGAAAGGTCGCAGGTTTGATTCCCGGTCTGGGTGCGTATGGAAGGCAACTGATCGATGATGTTTCTCTCTCTCTCTCTCTCTCTTCTTCCACCCCCCGCCCCAATCAATAAATATGTCAGTCGAGGACATATTTATTTATTTTTTAAAAAAGAGCTTGGAACGGTGGCAGATTTAGGGAACACCACTTCTTTTCGCCACTAAATAAGTATCCAGACAAACTTTTAGCTTCACTTAGTACTTGCCAACCCAACCCCTTTGACAGGTGCTGTCAAAATTCCAACTTTCCTCGCGAGACGCACAGCAGGACGCACAAGAACAGACGGACAAGAGCGAGGGCTGGACCTACCTGGTGAAATAGCAGGCGACCACCGCCCCAGCCACCGTCATTCGCTGGCACGCGAGGATGAATTCGCTGGTCCAGACGAGGCCCACGAGGTGGTACCCCCACAGGTACCGAATGCCGGAGAGAGGCGTGTACTCCACGTGGCCGGCTCCCGTGACCCGGGCGGCTCCTGAAGCGTGAAACACAAACATGCTTCGCATCCATGTTGCCCCCGGCCCGGAGGGCGGTCCGCCAGGACACACTTCCTCGCGCCTGGCCTTTGCCGTTCCGCGACCCCCGGACGCCCACGCCGAGGGTGACGCACCACCGCCGTTTAAATGCTCTGTAGCAAACACGAGAAACCGTGGACGCACTGAACCTACGAGCGATCCGAACACAGCAATTACAGGGGAGGGTGGGCAGGAGAGTTGCAAGGCGTGTGGCGTGCACTCGAATGCTCACCCCACTTCGTGGGCGTGAGAACTGAGGCCTGGGGGAGCCAAGGCCTCTGGGACACCACACCGCGCCCAGCGCGTGGGAGACTGGGAGGCCGGCCCACGGGCTCCAAGGCCCCCGGCTGCCCTACCACGGCACTTGGGGACACAAACAGAGCCGCACAGAGCTGTCGGGACCACACACAGAGCCTGCGTCACGGAACATGCGGCCCTTCTAAAGGGGACAAGGACCTTCCTTCTGTCTAAGGGATTCGTTTCAGGTTTCACCTCAAGAACAAAGTCTCCTGGCGCGCTTTAAATGTCCGCTGGGCCTCACGGTTACCCTTCCAGGTCCGGACCTCAGCCCCCCCTGCCCTGCGGAGCCGGGTCAAGCCGCTTGGAGCCCTGGCCTCCTCATCCGCGACAGCCCTTCCCTGGGGAGGTTTGAGGGACACTGCCTGGTAGGTGGCTACTACAGGGCCTGGTCCTGGAAATATCACCCAGGAGCCGATAACGAGCGTTACTGTTCTATTTCGGGAGCACAACGCCGCGCCGGACCGAGGCCTGCAGGGGACTCCGACACCACCCTGCCTCGCGTGGGGCTGTCCCCTCCTTCATTCGCCTTCATCTAGCAATCTCCGGAGCTAGCCCCACGATATGATCCCACTTTGTCAAAGCCTGTGCGACTGCCACAATCCTCCGCTCCGAGGTCTAAGCGCACTGCGCTGAGGGGCCCTCCGGTCCCCAACAAGACCCACCCCCTGAGCCACCTTTGAAGGCGGCGCCCTACCCCCTCCCGTAGCTGGATGCCGCTTTCAGAGCCATAATGCAGGTGCCTGACACTCCCCGCAGGGCCTGTGCGAAGGAAGCGGAGGCGAAGAGGCCGCGTGGGCCCACGGGCTCCGGACAGCGCTGTCTCCGCCCCTCCGCTCTGGGCTCCGTCCGACAAGAGCTGCATTGTGAGGAGCCGCGGGCAGCCTGCCCTGCAGAGGGACGCTGACATTTATCGAACACTGGGCTCTTTCTGGCGCGAGGCGCGCCCCTGTCTCAGGTAAGGCCCTAGCAAGCGCGCCTGCTTTCCAGAGCGGGCGGGTTTCGGAAGAGCTTCCCCAGCCCGCAGGGCGGGGATGGCAGGCGAGCCTCAGCTCCGTGGCGCCCTGGTGCCGGGGGCAGGAGCAGGACCAAGACATCACGCTGGGTTTGGGGTGGGGAACGCTTCCCTGGGACAGGAGGGAGAACAGGGGTGCCTCGTGCCGCCCACGGCACCGTCGCAGCCATCCCAGCTCAGCCCTGGAGGGCGCTGGACGGCAGGCAGCGGCAAAGGTGCAAGGTCGAGGCCCACGCTGCCTCCAGACCCTGGGCCGCGCGGCGCTGTGGGCTGGTCACCGAGCGCCCGCGGGAGCCGCCCCCTGTTCCTCTGCGTCGGCTGCAGGGCCGTGGGCCGGCTCTCCCTCACACGGGCTCTTCGTGGGGGGCAGGGCCGGCCCTGTGCCCCGTCGGGTGTCCAGCAGCGTCCACAGCCTGTACCCCCTCGATGCCAGGAGCATCCTCCCTCTACTCCTCCCGTCATGCCAACCCCAAATGTCTCCAGACACAGCCGGGCGCCGCCGCGGGGTGAGGTCCCTGCCTGAGACCCAGCGCTGTGAGCAAACCTCCTCTACAGCCCGGGCCTGGAAGTCCCCGGGCGTGTTCCCGCGTGCAAGGCTGCCCTCTCCTGGAGGGCCGCGCCCCTACACTCGAGAGCCAGGGCCACGGCCAGGCACCCAGTTGCTAAGGTTTGAAACAACGCAGCTCCTGCAAAGAGCAGCCACCGTCACCAGGGACCTGGACTGCAGAGGGAGGCCTGGGTGTGCGGGTCTCCTGATGGCACGGGGAAGGACACTGAGCTGAGAAGGGACTTGGCTCCAGGCTCAGCTTGCACACGTCAGAAGCCGCCCGGGCCTCGGGTCTCTCACTGCGAAGATGAGGAGGGGGGATGGGCAGGAAGAAGCCCGGGGTCACAGGTGTGGGCTGAGAGTCACATCTCTGCAGCGACCCCCAGTGCTGACCGGTCTCGGGCGTGGCATGGGGCCTTTGCACGCCCCAGCCTCATCGTCACCGGCATCACCTGCTCCTCACGGCCCTGGGGCTCCGGTCCCCACTGGCGGCTCCGGCTGCTGCCCAGGCAGCTGCCGTGAGGGTTGGAGGCGGAAGGAGCGTGGAACAGCAAGCACAGCACGCAGTTAGCCGTAACGGACTTGTGCGTACATGGGATTCCGGTTCTGAAATCTGCGACTGGTTATTAAGCATGTACCGCACACTGGGATTATGCTGAATGTCAGCTACGGGGGCTGGGGGGAGTGAAAGAGGCAAACAAAAAACCAGAAAGATGCCATCCGAGTGACTCTCAGGAACTCGCGGGTCCTTAGCCCACTCAGCCCTGCTTCCCGGCTGTTTTCCTTGTCTCCTCTGGCCCCAAGGCTTCCCTCCCCCTCGCCCCCCCACCCGACAAGGGCCTGCCTCGAGGCTCCTGAGAAAACAGAACCAATCAGAAGCCCCCGCGGGTGGCCACGCCCCCGTCCAGCTGCCGCCAACAGTGGGTCCTCAGTCTGATCCGCGTAGTACCATGAACTGTGCCTGACCCCAAGCCCCCCCCAACATTCTCAATGACCCGGAGGCATCTCTTCAGACCCTCCCGCTTTCTTGCTCCAGGAGAATACCCCTCCCCACAGCCTTCTTATCTCACATCCTCTTTAAACATCTGCCCCACGGCAGCTCAAGGCAGCTCGGCTCCCGCTCCCTGCCACTCCTGTTCCTCTGACAGCCCAGTTCCTCGCTGCACTCTCCCCTCGGTGCTCCGCCCACACTTCTCTGGGGCTGCCTGGGGTCATCTCTGCGCTGGCCCGTCCCTGGCGCTGATCCGGCCATCCCTCTCCTGCCCCGGGCTCCAGGGCAGCCGCTCTGGCCTCCCGCCCCGGCGACCCCCTTCCTCAGTCTCCGTTCCTCCCTCTTCCATCTGCATGACCCTTGAACAGCCGCAGCGCCCGAAGCGCGGCCCTGGATCTCCTCTCCTCTCCACACGCGTTTTGATCTCACGGTTTCCAATATCACCTACCATCTGTGCCCCAAGTGCCCAAATGAAGGCCTCTGGGCACACCAGACTCCGGCAGCTGCCGGCCTCCGGGGCCTCCCCGTCCAGCTGCCTAGAAGGCACCTCGATGAACAAGACCCAGGATGATCCAACTTCCCGCAAACACTCGCCTCAAAGCCTCGCCCCGCCGCAGTCTGCGGGGACCCCTCCCCCAGTTCCTCAGCACCCTCAGGGTGCACCCCCCCCCCCAACGCTCCTGTGCTGCTCAGGCCCCTCAGTGGGTGTGTCAGGAACCCTTTCAAAATAGATGCAGATTCTGACATGTCCCACCCCGCCCACCCGCGGCGGTGGTTTGTAACTGCCTGGTGACAGTCCCAGAAAACAGCACCCTCTTGTGTACACACACCAGAGCGCGAGTTGGGGCCTGCAAATCGGAGGAACCAGGGAAGGGGGCACAGACCGACCGGCCACCTGTCCCCACACCACGCGTCCCAGGCCGGCGGCGCGCTAAGGGACTCGAGCCGGAATCACGCCCAGCGCACCCCCAAGCTGCCCTGCTGCCTGTGTTTTGCAGCGAGGCTTTCTTGGTGAGGGAAGCGCCGAGGGACACACAGTCTGGCACAAGCTCCTCCTCCGGTCTGAGGCGCTCTTTGAAAAGCGTGGCTCTGGACCGTGGCTTTGAAAAACAGACACTTAGTCCTCCCTCTCGCCAGGTGCCTGGGAACCCACACGCCGGAGGACGGGGAGCCGGAGGCGTCCTCTGGGGCCCGCGTGCTGTGGCCCAGCGGGCCCTGCTGAGCAGGGTGGGCCAGAAGCGTGTCTCCACCAGTGCCTTCGGCTTCGGGAGCGGGTGGAGAACTGCCCTCGGAGAGAGGCTAAACCCAAAGGCCTTTGATGAGCTGCATTCTACAAGCTTTTTTTTCCATGTTGTCATTTTTCCTCAAGTTCTCTCAGTCTTTCCTGAACTTATCTCTCACGATGCATAAAACGAGCTCCGCTTCAAGTAAGAAGAAGAAAAAGAACTTCCCGCGTCCCAGGGACAGAGCCCTGGGCCCCGAGCCCCGTCACCGCGGGCATCAGACACCTCTTGCCGCTAGGGCGGTTTGGGCCGCTGCCGGCGACAGGGCGAGGGTTTCGGTGGGGACTCCGAGGGGGTGGCACCGCCCGTGGGCCTCACCTGCGGTGCCCAGGCTCAGGAGCACGGCCACCCAGAGCGCCCAGAAGAAAAGCAGGACGGCGACCGTCCACAGAGGCTGCAGCAGCAGCGCCGGACAGCGGCCGATGGCCGTGTTGGCCACCCGGAGCAGCTCGACCGCCAGTTCCATTCTCCTCCTCAGGACAAAGATCAGCAGGAGCAGGACCGCCTGGGGAGAGAGACGCTTGTGTCAGATATGCGGCGCCGCGCCACGCCACACGGGCGGGGCTGGGGACTGGGCGGGGCTCTCACTGGGGCCTCAGCAAGGCCTGGGGACAGACCCCCAAATGCATTCGGGGCACCTGCCACAGGCTGGTCCCCGGGCGAGGCCCTGCCGCTGTGACAGCCAACGGGACGCCGTGCAGCCTGTGGTCTGGTTGGAGAGCCGGAGAAAATGAGGCTCGGGTCCCAGGGTGGGGAGCTGACTGCCCCTCGTCCCCCCGCCCTGGCACCGAGAGGCCCAGGACCCTGGGAGGCCGGTGGAGGGCAGGGGCTGGGCGCAGCGGGGGAGGGGGAGGCCTGACCGCGCCTCTGTGCCTTGCCCCCTGCGCAGGACGTCACCCTGAGGACGCAGGCCGCCCTCCCCCCACACCCTGGCCCAGCACTGCCGACCCGCCCCCCGCCCCCGCCCGGGCAGGCCTCCAGGAGCGCCTGCCCCAGGGGCCCCTCTGGGCTCTAAGCCGCAACCCGGGCTCTTTGGCTGCGCTGCCTGCCTCCCGAGGGGAGCCTTTCCTGCCACTCAACTTTTGTTCTTCGCTGCCGTGAGTGGTTATATTGAGTTGATTTCAACATTGTTCCCAGGAAGGCCCGTCGTCCCAGAACACTCAGGAGATGGGACACGTCCCCACCCCAACGGCCGGCCTCGGTGGCAGACCAGGGTCTTCCTGGGATTCAGGCCACCAGGTGAGACTCATGGGTCTCTGCTAGGCCCCCACATGCGGGAGGGCGTCGGGGAGGACCACCCAGCAAGGTGAGGCTCCGAGGTGAGCAAGGAGGGAGGAGGCTGTGGGGGGGGTGACCCCCTGCCTCGGGTCTTCTCCTGCCAGTGTGGGAAGCTCCCCCCGCCCTGTCTCCCCCTTGTCTGGGAAGGCGAGGCGGGGGGAGCCCTGCAGACCAGCGTTGGGGACAGGGAGTGGCACCTGATCAGGGAGCAGAACCTGGCTCCCTGTCCTCCCTCCTCCACCTTGAGCAGGCGTGGGGGTTCAGGGCTGGTCACCCCAGGATGTGCCTTTGTGCTACGACACCTGCTCTGAGCTAAAGGCACCCCAGCCTCGGGTGCAGGAGGACCGTCGGCCCCTCCCTTGGGTCGGGGCGCCTCCCTAACCACGGACGGTCACAGAGAACCTCCGGCGTCCACAGGGCGGGCAGACAGCTGCTCGCTGGACAGTCACTCTCCCCGTCCCTGGCCGGGCTCCTGAGAGCCCCAGGCAGCCCGGGCCGGGCTCGCCCCTCCCCTCCCGCGGGGGGCCGCTGACGCGCACTGTGCGGGGTTCCCACACACAGGAGTTCCGTCTGGTTACTTTCTCCGGCTAACCTGTCTGTCCGGTGATTGGACCCGCGGGAAGAACACTGGGGGCAGAGGGGAGTGCAGGGGACGGGAGGGAAGCCGTGGGGAGGGACCTGCCACCTCCCTTCGCAGCCCCCTCTGATGCCCCGACTGCTCCCGCCATTGGCCGATTCCAGCCAGGGAGTCAGGGAGTCAGGGAGTCAGGGGGTCAGCAGGTCAGGGAGGCGGCAGCCGGCTCTCTGACCGCAGGGGCCCTGCGGCCGGACACGGGTGTGGGGACCAGGCGCTCCAGGCCCTGGGCGGCATGCGCCATCCCCCCTGGAGAGGCCTCCGCCCTACCGCACAGGGCGCAGCCCGCCCTCTGCCCGGTGGCCCCTGGGGGCCGAGGGTGGTTCTGCTGCGCTCCAGGACAAGGAGGGCACACGGGCGACAAGCCAGCCTTGGGGGGTGGCAGAAACAACGTGCAGAGGCGGCGGTTTCCTGAGAGTCCGAGGCTCCGAGGCGCCCCCTGCGGGGATGCTGGGTAAAAACCCTGGTGCGCAGCCGCGGAGGCGCCCCCGAGGGGGAGGGCGAGCCCCTTCTCGCGGTTCCCTGTCAAAACCCTGCGATTTGGATTCAGAGTTCTGGAGGCTCCGTGACCGCCTCCTGGAAGCATGTCTCTTACCGTGAAAACCGTTGACACAACCGCAAACCCCAGCAACCAGGTCATGTTGTCCCTTTCCGTGTCCAATGCCACACTGAGGTCGTTGGTGTAGTCATAATACAGCCACCATAAGACGCCACACACGACTGGAAAGCAAATGCCAGGGAGCTCAGCACCGGCCCCGGCATCTCCCCGCTCCCCGCCTTCCACCCCCGCACGGGGACCTCACACCCAGCTCAGCCAGTGGGTCCCGAGTTCCTGTGCTTCCGAGGAGCTGGGCAGGGGCAGGGGCAGGGGCAGGGGCAGGGGCAGGGGCAGGGGCAGGGCCACCCAGGCCCAGAGCGGATGCTCGTCTTCGGGAGACACGTGGCGGGGGCGGGCGGGGGGCGGGCAAACCCCAGAACACAGGTGCATCCCGTTGGCCCTGCCCACACCCTGGGCCCGGGTGCGAGCAGGGGAGGGGCTGTGCCAACAGGACAGCGAGAGGAACAGCGTTAGAGCCGAACCTAAACCCCCCGCGGGCTCTGCAGGGGCGGGCCCCACGGGGGCCTGTGCAGCGGGGCAGCACCTACAAAACACAGGCAGACACTGGGTGCCGCACCTGCTCAGCACCTGAGTGCTGACGGCCGCCTACGCCTCATGGGTCACTGGCAAGGTCACAGGGAAAGTGTCCCTCCCCAGCCTGGGGGCGCGTCCCCCAGCCCGGGATGCCATGTGCCTGGGGCCGCGGGACGCTGGGGGCTCAGCCCGTTATTCCGGGGAATGAAGCTGTGGCTGCGCCCGTGACCGGAAACTCAGTTGCCCCAAACCCGCTGGCGCAGCCGCAGCCCCAGGCCCCTGCCTCCCGGACCCCTCTCCCCCCGACCCCTGGGTGGACTCACAGCCCGGCCATGAAAGGGAAACGGCAGGCCCAGGAGGGGGTCCCCGGACCCGGCCCGGCTCAGAGCCTCTGCCCGACAACGTGCAGCCCACAGCCCCTACGCCCAGGGGGCTGCGTGCTCTGAGGGAGTCCTTCCAGCGGCTTCGGGCCAGCGCGGGGCTGCCCTCCCAGGGTGGGGGCCGGGTCCTGACCTGGAGGCTCCCCTCTGTCGCGTCTGCACCTGCGCCCCCCTCGGGTACCAGGCCGGGGTCAGGCGAGTGGACTCTCTAAGACCCTGTTTCGCTCAAAAATGGAAACTTTTGACTTCCACACTTAACAGAAAGGCCTTTCACTTACCCAAAAAGAAAATCAAGTGGAAATACTTACACAACGATCCCAGAATAACCAGCGCAATCAGAGTGCGAAGCAGAAGGCGGGGGATGAGTCGGAAGGCCAACAGCACAGCCAGAGACAAGGCTGGAAGGGAGCAGAGCGCAGGAAGTGCGGCGGCCCCGCCTCCGCGAGCCAGGACCTCCGCCCGGGCCAGCGCCCGGGCCAGGCCGCCGGAGGCCGAGGAGCCCAGCTTCTCACGGGCTGGCATCCCCCTTGAATTTATTTCTTAAAGCACGTATTATTCCCAAATACTTAAATCTTTCTTTTCATTTTAAGTCCAAAGGAGCCATTTTACTTTCTTTTTTCAATCACATTTAAGTGCTTTGACTTTGCACTGGGCTTAGGCAAAGCTTTCACTTAAACATCCTCGGATTTTTTTTCTCTCTTTTTAGAGAGAGAGGAAGGGAAGGAGGAAGAGAGGGAGAGAAACACTGGTGTGTGGTTGCCTCACACACCAATGTGGACCTAGCCCACAACCTTAAAGGGCTCAGGAAATGGGAAGCCAAAGGGCTAAGGTGGGTCGCCGCTTCTAGAAAGGCCTGAAGGAGGCACGTCCTGGCTGAAGGCCTTGCCCTGCCTACGGCCCGAAGCAAAGATGGTCCCCGCAGGAGTCGGGACATCGGCCAGGGCCGTCTATGTAACCTGGAGGCGCCGCCCGGCTTGCCCATGGGGAGAGGGCGCACTGGGCAGACAGGTGCGACTGGTCCCCCAACGACTGCACCCTTCACGGCCAACCCGTGAACTGGCCCCCTGCTCCGCACCTCCGTCCTCCCGTGGCGGCAGTAACTGGGGCAGACCGCGGTCACTAGGCCCGGCCTCGTGAGGCTCCTGTCAGGGAGCCAGCTGGCCTGCCCCAGTTACGGCCCCCTCTCCCTCTTGAACCTGGTGCACGGAAGGCTTCTATAAAGGGAATGTACAAAGGGAAGCTTTAAATGTAGTCAAGAGCGAATTTTCACTGTGCCGCTTCCGTAAGCACAGGAGGCCCCAGCAGGCCTCATGCGGCCGCGGATAAAAGCAGCTGGAGGTTACCTGACGCGAGAACACAGAGGCCGAAGACGGTGTCCCTTCCTGACATGACCCCGCTGAGAGTCCGATGGAGGGGGTCAGCGTCGTTCAGCAGGACAGACGCGAACCGGGAGTAGCACTCGGGCGTTTGAGGGGCGCACCGGTTCAGCAAGGGGAAAGGCTTGCTACAAACAAAAGGGTTAATTACGCACCTTTAAAAAAGGACGTTTATTTAAAATTCTCGGCCACCAAGAAAGCCTACGACAGGCTCTCATAAAGAGAGGCCCCACCCCGGCGCGCAGAGCCCCTGGGGAGCGGGCAGCTGCGGCCACCGTCGCGGCGAGCAGAGGCCTCTGGAGGGGGCGTGACCCTGGGGCCCCCTGGACGCCGGGCGCCCGGAGACACCCTGGGAGCGACCTCCCCGACACTCACCCCTTGGCCTTTCTCAGACACAAACCACCGACTGCAACACAAGAGCCCCAGGTCTCACGCTGAGGCCTCAGGTGCACCCCGGGCCCCCTCGTGCGACCTGGCAGACGAGAGCCCTCACAGAAACGACCAGGAGTCGCCTCCCCTCTTGCCTGGCCACTCCCTGCTGCACCATGTGTGGGGAGGCTCGTTTCCCCCACGAGGTCGCCTTGGTGCTTTCAGGAAGATGGCTCTGCACAAGTAGTCCCATTCCTGGGCTCTCTGTCCTGATCCACCTGTCCGTCCGCCTGTCCTCCTTCCAACGCCACTGTCTTAGTTACTGTGACGTTAGTCTAAGCCTCGCAACCAGGTGCTGGAGCCCTCGAACTCTGTCGTTCTTCAAGATTTTTTGTGATCCCAGGTCTTTGGCTTGTCTGTACTTTTTAGAACGAACCTGCCATTTCTCCAAACTTATACTGAGAGGATTGTGTTGAGTCTACAGAACAATTCGGGGAGAAGTGACGCCCTAGCAAATGTGCAAACTTCCGATCAGTGACTAAGGAGCATTTCTCTGCTGCTTTAGGTTTCCTGTGCCTCCCAGCGGGGGCTCCAAGCTCCCGGCAGAGGCCTCCCACGGCTTGTTACTCTACTCCTGAACATGCCACATGTTTGCCTGTTGCTGAAGACGGACTTGAAGGAAGCATTTACCGTTTGCTGTTGATAGACAGAAGTGCAGTTTGCTCCTGTCTTACAGTTTTGCTTAATCCGCCTACCAGTTATTCTGCAGATTCCTCCGGATTTTCTGGGTAAATAATTAGGTTGCCTGTAACTAATGAGGGCTTCACCCCACCCTTTCTTCCCCTTTTCCTGACCTGACCGCAATTCCTAGGACCCCTGTTCCAGCGCCGAACAGACAGGCTGGGACAGACGCCCCCCCATTTCCAACGTGAGGCGTGGAGCATGTAGCAGTTCACGTGAAAATGACACTCGCTGTCGATTTCTCTCTGACGCCCTCTGCCCCGCTGCGAAAGTTCTGAGTTATTCTAGCTTGCTGGTCTCTTATTTAAAAAATAAAAATAAAAAAAAGGAGCTCAGCAGTGTTCCGTCGCCTGCTGTGCCGTAACTCATTTAAGCAGCCCTCTCACAGCCCTGGCTTTCAGCCTTGCGCGACGGTAAACAACGCTGCGAATGAGCGGGCACCAACGCCCTCTCGCCCCGGCACGAGGACGTCCGCCGACTACATTTCTAGAAACAGAAAGTCTCGGTTACCGGGTCTGCACCTCTGCGTCGGTGAATGCTGATGGACCACCCCCAGGGCCCCGGCAGTCCAAGTGCCACGCCCTCGCATCCAACACAACGCACCATCCAACCTTCAGGAGGCTGTGCCGTCGACCAGGGGAAAACATTAAATCTCACATACAATTTTCCCTGTCTTGATGGAGGTCCCGCCTCTTTTAACAGTATGTTTTTAAAACACCGTGCTTTCTCTCTGAAGCACCAGTCTATAGTCTTATCTCATTTTTATGTTGAGATGTGGGTCTGTTCCATTTGATTAGCAAGGCATGTTGTACATAAATTAGACATTAACCTCTTTTTATATGAATTGCAACTTATTTGCCAGTTCATTTTGCTTCTACTGTTTTTGTCAGCCAGCAGTTAGTTTTTAATGCAGCCAAATGTATCAATTCTTAAATTGTACGTCTCCTAAGTTTTAAGTCAGTGAGAAGCCTGCCTTACTCTCAGGCTATAACAATTTTCCCATGGCTTCTAGCGCTTCCTGGTTTCACTGTGTCACTAAAACCGTTACCCCACCTGGAGTCGCCCCGCAGACGGCCCGAGGCTGGGCCCAGCTGCTCCCCCCCAACCCGCCTGCCGGGCCGGCCCGCCCACGCCCACGGAAGAGTCCATCTCCTGCCGCTGCCCTAAGATGCCGCTTGCATCCTGCGCTCGATTCCTGTTAGCGTGTGGACCTGTCTCTGGATTGTCCGTGGTCTTCCATGGACCTCTCTACGCCGGAACTAGTACCACGGTATTTCAGTTATGAAACTTCATATTTTAAAAACTAGAAAGGTTTGCCCCTTCATTGTTTTTCTTTCAAATTTTTCTTGGTCATTCCTTTTTTTTTTTTTTCAGTTTTGCTTACAAACTTTCGAATCAGCTTTTCCAGTTTCGGGAAAGATGCTGCTATCACTTGCACGCAGGCGAGATAGACGATCGCTCAGGGGGAGGCGACGGCTTCCTCGTGCCGCTGGGACATCAGGACTCAGCCCCTTCCCCGTGTTCGCGTTGTCCTCGCGGGCCCACTCTGGCTGCCTCCCCGCGGTTCTTCCCTGTGTTGGCCTTGCTTTTAGGGACCTTTGTGTTTAGCACATACTTTTTCTTTGTGTAAAATGAGTCTTTTAAAAAAACATACGAATGCCACAGATTTCAGTCTATGACCCTTGTTTCCTACCACCTAGAACACGTTCCCTTATCATTTGTAGTTTTTTGGTTAATTTTCTCACCACTGGTAGAGTAGCGATTCTATCTCCCACTTTCCAATTTCTAACCCTCGGTTTCCCTCTCTTTCCTGTTACTGAACCGTATTAATGCCGCTGTGCCCGAGCTGTTTGGAAAGCAAGTGGGTCCTGGACCGTCATTTGGTGCTTCTGACAAACAAGGCCCGACACAGACGTCCTGTCATTTGATTTGGTTTTTCCCCAAATACAACTCTCCGGGGCACCTCGGTTTGGTGAACACAGCGTGTCAACTGTGGCGCTTCCTGGGCATTGAATTGCCGGTGCTGGTGGAGACCACCCGCACTGCCTGGGGGGCGGGGGCGGCCTGCGGAGCCTGGGCCCCCCCGCCCCCAGCAACCAACGTGGGGCTGACCAGCTGCCCACGACCGGCCTCAGCGGCTGGGATGGGGGTGTGTCTCTTGGCTACAGACGCCGGTTTCTTCCCCGCGTGTGCTTTCCCTCTCCCCGCTGGCAAAGCTTGCAGGGAGTCACTGGGACAGCTGATCGCGGCTTTTGGCCCTGCTGGAATTCACCCAACCAAACGACGCAGCGACTGGTGTGGGTGCCCAGGAGGGAGGCGGGGCCTGGGACTGGCTGCGGGAGCTGCAGCCTCATCGATTTACAACACACGGGGCTCCAAGCGCGATGTGGCACGGGCACCAGCGGGGAAAGGTCTGCTGGTTGGTGTCTGGCCACAGGGACCCTGCTGCTCTTTAAAGCTCTTGCCCAAGAGCTCCTCACCACTCGAGCCTCCTGATGCTCAGCCACGGCTCTCACGGGGCACACACAGCCCCGTGACCGACAGATGGAGAGGAAACAGTCGGTCTGGTCCGAGAGAGGCATTCGGAGCACGCACTCTGGCCCCATAGCCACACTTCTCGGTTTTCACGCTTCTCACTCCTGGCCCGGCTCGTCCACGACAAATACGATCGTTTCCACCTTCAAACAAGCCCTTGCTTATGCAGGGAAAGGAAACGGAGCCTTGGGAGCACTCAGGGCCACTTCTATGTCCCTAACTCCGTCCGGGAAAGGCCGGCCAATCAGCAGTTTGTCTTTGCTGAAAAGGTAGCACTGGCAAGGCCTGTGTGGAAGGGTTCAGCTAGTCTGGCTTCAGAAAGAGCAAACGGTGACCCTGGGGCGCGTGGCAGTGCCCCCCCAACTTGGGTGCAGCCCGAACAGGCTGTCTGCCAGGCAGGACAAACTCGGCGCAGCCTCGCTGGCCCGCGCTGGGTCACAGATGCAAACCGGGCGCTGCCTGGGCCTGAGCCCGGCCACGCTGCACTTTTCTCAGCCGCGAACAGGAATGAAAACACCACCTACACTCAGAGGTTGCACGAGGTCCCGATACATGGATACACCTCAAGGGCTTTGGAAAGCACCTGCCTGGCAAGTCTCAAAGCGCGACAAAAGCTCGCTGCTATCGCCGCTATCAGCTGGGAGCCTCCTGTGGAGTCACCGCCGCCACCCGTTTACGGTAAGTGCAGGAGAAAGGTGGCCATGGTCGGGTTACACCCTCAAAAGCACCCCCTTTCCAGTCCTCCTGCGGGAACAGTCACAAAGAGTCTTCATTTAAAAATCCTTCTCGAAAGCCCTGGCAGGGTTGCTCAGTCGGTGAGAGTGCCGTTCCTGATACACCAAGGCTGCAGGTTCGGTCCCCAGTCAGGGCACATACAAGAATCAGCCAATGAAGGCGTGAATAAGTTGGAACAAGTCAAGGTCTCTCTCCCTCTTGCTCACTCAACATAAGTAAGTTTTTAAGAAGTAAAATGGAATCGGAACTATTTGTGTGAGCCCTACGCGTAAGGAAAGCCTTGTCTGGGAGACTTGTTTCATGCACCTGAGAGCGTGTGAAGGGGCACGTTTACTGGGTGGGGAGCACAGAACACATTGCCCCCTGGGGGTCCCAACCCAGAGGTGGAAAAGCGGACAGGTGGCGGAGTGCCTCGTTCTCCTTGTCCTTATTTCTCAGGGACTTTGCCCTGAGGTCTCATCTGCTTAACCCCATTCACAATCTCCCAAGATGGTAGGACAAAGGTGCGCCCGGGGGCCCTCAGTGCTGCTTGGCCTCCTGAGGACGGCAATGACATTCGCCGCGTGCCTCCCCCGCACGCTGACGGCTGCCCGCCTGCCCTCGCTGGCCCCGGAGGAGGTCCCAAGAGGCGCGACCAGCCAGAGGGCCTGCCTCTGTCCTCGCCCAGCAGACAGGCAGCGGCCGCGCCGCCCGCCTCCGCGCCCGTTTCTCACGGGGACACCTCAGCCTGCAGTGACTCTCCCGCGGGCGGCCGCACCTTGCTTCTCACTTTGAGCCCAGGTTGGCTCGGACAGCGCGTTCCCATGCGGACCGACCCCTCGCTTAGTTCTACGCCACCGACGCTCCCGCCGCCCTCCCCTCGCTGCCTCTCCTCCCCGGTCGCCGCCGCGTCCAGACTCTGCTTGGACACAGTCCTTCTGCGCCCCGAACAGCACAGGCAACCCGAGGTCGTGGGGCTTCGCGTTGCTTACGCCCGCTGTACTCCCTGCTTTAAAACCATACGTGGCAGCCGGGCCTCGCCTCGCAAACTGCTTTGAATGAGTAAGCGATGGAGGGGGACCCTCTTCCCCACGTTGCTGTGGAGGAAACTAGACGCTGGAGTGACGTCATTTGTCCAAGTTCACAGAGCTAAGAAGCAAAGCCTCCATTTACGCCTTGGCAGTCCGATACAAAGGTTCAATATCCTAACCGTGAGGTTACAAATATATCCACAAGAAATACGTGATTTTCAAGGAAAACAGAAAGACATTTCTGGATGAAGGAGCAGGACGTTACTATGTGAATAAATATGAAAACTCTTAAAAAAACAAAACAAAACCCACAAGCAACATCTGGTTGCAGTAGAAAAACAAAAGCCCACAATTTCTACTTTGCAACAAAAAGTTTAAGTAGAAAGAATACACAGTAACCGCTTCATAAAACCACTTGATCAGCAACAGCTCTGGCATTACCTCCATCCCTTGACCAGAACATGCATCTTTCTTGTATTTTCTCTTTATTCAGCAAGGTCCTACCACAGCACTGCCCTGCCTCCTGCAGACAGGGCTCTCCCAGCTCTCTCCTTTGCCCCGCCCATAATACCTACAGGAGTGACAGACAAGGCAGGCACCCAATCACCTTTACTGACAGACCAGGGGACAAAATAGAAGTCCTTACCTTGGAGGAACTGGGAGCCTGGGGCATAGGGAGTCCACACTTGGATTCTGGGTGTAGTTGATGGAACTCAAACTGTAAACACACAGCAGGGAGCCTGGAAACAGAAGGCAGACAGTGGAGCATCCTCTGCATGTGCCCATGGTCCTGGGGGCCGGTGAGAAACCACAGGCGTCTTACAAACTGGAGACAGAGTGACTCACTCAGACGGAAGAAGCAGGCCTGTGGGTGGCCCCGACACAAGGAACCCACAGACCGTCCGAGGCCCACGGAGGCCCTCTTTCTCTCTCAAACCCTGAGTTCACAGCCGAAGTGCTTGGCACTATCGTTACAGGATTGGTTATGAGACGAACGAAGGTCATCTCTCACACAGGCTGGGTAGTTTCAGAAGCAGAGAAAACGGGCCGAGGGTCACCTCCAGCTTCCCTCCCTTTCCTGTGGTTGTTTCGCCCTTAGAGCATAAATCAGAAACGCGTGCTCCGAGCAGGGGACGTCCGTCACACACATCTGATGCAACTCACGACTGTCCCGCTGCTCAGAGAAAGGAGCCACAGGCCCCAGCATCTCAAAGACAGAGCGCGCTCGCTGGCAATGCAGCCTGCAGCCCGTGGGCACTTCTCTTGGACTAACCGTGCCCGTGGGCTGTAGCCTCCGAGCCACCCGCCCTGCGCTCCACGCAGGACCATTCCCTGCAGCGAGCAGAGAAGAGCGAGGGCCCAGGTGAATCCGATACACCTGAATGGAACTGAACACGCTCAAGAGATCACGTGTGTGGCCGTTTCCACGCAAGAAGACGCCCCACAAAGGACGACGTCCGCCTTTCCTGGGCAAGCGGTGCCAGGCGCGCCCCACCGTGGTTCCCGCGCCGGGCAGAGCCCGCCCCCCAGTGCTTACCGCTCCTGTTGGCGAACAGCTGCACCTCCTCCAGGGTGTCGAGCTTCTCGTCGGGGCAGCGGGACACGCACAGGGCGGTGGGACCGGGCTGCCCAGGCTCCGCCTCCAGGTGGCAGGAGCTCAGGAAGAACACGTGTCTGGGGGCGAGAGGGAGCAGGAAGGCCGTAAGCGAGCAAGCCCTCGCAGTTAAACGCCTCAGCAGGACTGAGCGGTGGCGCCGCCGGGCCCTCCGGAGCGCCACCCCGCTGGGGACCACGCTCCGTGCTCCCTGCCTTCCCTTTCCCGAGCCAGTGAGGTCCGGGCGAGGACGCAGCCGCCACCTGAACACATCCCCGAGCAGCGGGAGGGCCGGCAGAAGGAGGCCCGCGCTCAGGCTGCTCTGCGAATCCCCAGAAAGCCTATCTGCACCCGAGGGCGTCCTTCTGGACTTCAGAGGCCAGCTGAGCCCAGAGATGTGACGCAGGGTGGGGGCGACAGGTGGTGCGACAGCCAGGGGGCTCCTGAGACCCCCACCGTCCCCTACTGCTGCCCAGCCCCTGGGCACAAGGACCAAGTGACGGCCATCACAGGTCACACGCGGGGCAGCAGCCGCCGCTCCGAGCCCCAGGCCCTGCACCCCGCCAGAGGAGCAGCCCGCTGGGGGACGGGCCGGGACAAGGGGCCCCACAGCCGTTTTCCCTCCAGCTGGGGGCTAGAAAGGGAGGTGGGGGACCGAATTCCTGGTAGGATGCATATCGAGTAGTTCATTAAAAGTTCAGGCAACTGCGGTACAACACGCCTCCATGTGCCATGGCAACCCCTGGAAGGGTCCAGGGGCCCCCAGTGTGCCCCCGTGTTGTGCAGTCGTCACGGCGCCTCACGGCGCACCCCCCGCCCCCGCCCCGCCCCGCTCCGGTGTCTCACTGCACCCTCCAAACAGCCTCGTGACGTGGAGGTGATCAGCCGCGGATCAAAACTCGGTTCCGAGGGGCTAAGCTCTCTGCCCAAGGCCACACGGCCGAAAAGTGGCGGAGGCTGAACTTGATCTTAGGGCTGCTGACCTAACACCCGCGTCCTTCCTGCCACACGCGCCCTGCCCCGTCGGGAGACAGGCTCCGGAGTTTTGAGTGGGAAAACCATTCCAGCTCGAAGTGACCGATTTACACCAAGTTTGAAAAACAGCCCTTCTGTGGGGCGGGAACGTACTGGAACACTTACTTTTTTAGGGTCATGTCCTGCCCCGAAAGGGGAGCCCCTTCCACCGGGGAGTTCTTCTTGCCGCACACGTTGCCGAAGCTGTCGTAGCCGAAGAGCAGTCTCTCTGCGGCTCCCGCCGCCACTGAGTAGCCCGTGATGAACATCTGGGGAAACCAGGTGGCACCTGAGAGCCTGGCCACAGGGCTGAGGAGGGTCCCCTCATCCTGGACGTTGGCCCAGGGGAGCTGGGCCGAAGACCGTCTTCCCCAGCACCCCTGCGCTTCTCTCCTCTGGCAACACGGCCGGCAAGGACGCTGCCGCGGTGACCCCGGGGCGCGCCGGACACCTCAGCGTCCACCTGAGCGGCCCAGCGCCGGCCGCCTCCCTCCCTGACTTCCGTCCGCCCATCCTGCCTCTCGCCCTTCCTCCTTTTTCCCAGGCTTCCTTCTTTCCCTCCCTTCCACCTCCTCCTTTTTGTCTTACGAAAAGCCCTTGACCCTCAAGGCCTGAATCACACAGTTGACACACACCCCCACGCCCTCAGGAATTCCATGGGACGAGAACACCTTGCAATGTGCTGTCACGTTTATCCAATTTCATGATGAATGGGGGATATTTGAAACTTCACCTCAACATGTCAGTCCCGTAACAGGCCCTGACAGGCCATCTGCCAGGCTGAGCATGGGCGTTCCCCTCACACAAATGTCCTGTCGCGAGCTTAGCGACCAGCGCACGATGCACAGGACACTGCCCAACACTCAGCACCGACCGCGGCAGTCCGGTGCGGGGTGGGGGAGCACTGTGCACCTCCAACAAAATCCCGGACGATGCCATGTTTCTGAGGGGCCTGTCCAGAGCCTGACATAGTCTCTCGGGGTCAGCCCTCATTATTAGCCTAGAAATCAAAGTAACAGTCGTCTTCGAGTGCCCAGTGCGAGCCAGGGGCTGTCCCTGGGGACCGGAAGATGAACAAGCCGAGTCCCTGCCTCTAGGAGCCCGGCCTAGAAGCCAAGCAGGGCGTGGGCACTGCAGGCATCCCGCTGCCCGGCGCCGCCTCAGCCCCCCGGGGCAGTCCAGGCGGAGGGGTCCCGCGCCCTCCACTTCCTGGGTGTGGGGGGGACAGCCCGCAGGCTGACCCCGCCGGGCACCCTCTCCTGCCCGCCCAACGTGGCCCCGCTGAAGCCCTGACTGGGCAGGGGAGGGGTCCCGTGCCGCCGCCCGGCTCACCAGAGACCTAATGAGGAAGCGTTTCCCACTTCCCCATGTTGCTGCTGTTCACGTCTCCTGTGGGAAGCTCAGGAGGAGGAACGGAAGGGGTTGGGGGTGGATGTGGGAAATCCTGAGCCCCTGCCACATCGCTATTATTTTAAACCTCCCAAACTTTGAATCTCCATCACACGACTGCAATTCCACGTGATGGGTGACTCAGTGTGCGCCAGGCATGGGGGGGACCCCGCGGCGGCCACAGCCAGCGGCGCGCAAAACGGAGTCTCGAAGGACGAGTCGGGAAGGGTGAGGTGGGAGAGGCCCTGGAGGGAAGGCGGAGGCAGCGATGGTCCAGACCTCGAGGCTCTGGGCCGTGGGTCCTCCGCCAACAGACACCCGCTGGCACCCTTTCCATCGCCTGGGCCGCCCTGGCCGGTCACCCGGCCCTCTCCCGGGGCAGCACCACCAGCAATCGCCCCGTCACAGGCCCCGTCACAGGCCACCGAGGTCAGGACGCTCCCCCCCCGGCCCCTGACGGGGGGGGGCCGGGGGGGCTGCCCAGCAGAGGCGGAAAAACACTCCCTGTGCGGTTTTAAATGTCTGCGGTTTGTCGCAGAAGAGACTAAAAGCCAGTCAGCGAAGCGCGGGGTCTCATTATTCAAACCTGAAGGGAGAACAAGGGCGTAAGGAAGCCTTCACATTTACTTTGCAGATGATGTGCCATTTCAGAGCACTTTTTGCAGCTCTGTGCCACCTCTCGGGGGTTCACTGTGGCACGGGCTGTGATGTCCCCGGATGGCGCCGGGCTGAGAGTTCGGCAGCGATGTGCTCGCGGGAGCCGTGGCGGGGCTGGGGGAGACCACGACATACAGTGACAAAGCCCAAGGTCAAAGCTGCCCGGTGCAGACAGGACAGAGGCTCCCTGCGTTTGCACAACGGCAGCCCCCACAGAAGGGCCGGCCACCTGTGGGAGGCTCCATGGGCCCCGAAAGGCACAGCACAGATTTTGGCTACACCTTTAAGTCTCAACCAGTCAGAGAGCAGGTGAGAAAGTCAACAATAAGTTCTTTGCCAAAGAAAGAGGAACGGAAGGGAAACACGGTGTTTTAGAACCTACTCAAATTTAACTCTTTTCAACAAAGGTAATTGCTTTATAATTTAATTATGAACCAGGTGGCAAATGCATGCCTCCCTCTGAAATGGACGGTTTCCTCAGTGTGGTCTTTGAAGACACTGAGAGCGGCTTTTTCCAGCTGTTCCCTGCAACTCTGAAAGCAGCAGCAAAGCCTCCGGATCCAGCCTCCCAGGAGCTCGCCCAGGACTGAGACAGCACAGTCTGCTGAGCTGCACCAACAGTCACATACCTGGGAGCTAGAAAAAAATGGGGTGGGAGGGGGAGAACCACCCACCCAACTAGAGGGTTCATAGTGCTGGCCCACTTCCCAGCCTGCTGCCGAACACAGCACCCGGGGGACGGTGTGTCCTCCGCAGCTAAGGGTAATTTTGTTCCGGGCTCACCTTGGATTTTCCTGTGTTAAAGGAACAGCAAACGCCTGAGGAGCATTTTAATTTGAGAGCTGAGATGGTAAAAAGACCTTCCACGCAGAGAGCTTGGAAAAGAGACCACACACGGGCTATAGCAACAATCCCGCTGCTGCAAGGGGTGACTCCTCCCCTAGCGGGGGTCCTCCGCTAGGAGGCCCTGCAGGAAAAGGCAGCCAGTCCAGGGGAGCGAGGCTGGGAGCGCAGACACCTGACCGGAATCCCCCAGGGTAGGTGTTTGCCTTGCCCAGTGGCAGGTGTCTCTCATTGCAGCCAGCTTTCACCTGGCGTCACCCCACCCCCCACCCCCGCTTCCCCAGGAAAGGCCCGACAGGCGATCTCCATCACGGCGCAGTTCCGTGGGGGCCCGCGCGCGGCTCCCTTCTAGGCCGGGCAGCCACACTCACCAAACCTGTCCAGAAGAGAAAGAACAGGAGCAACCACGGCGTGTCTGTGCATTTCCTATAAATCTGGGGCCTCCACTCTCTTTGCCTGGGGGTTCTCTCTGCAGAAGCCTTCCAGAAAAAAAGGGAAAGTTGGGGAAAAAAGGGGGGGAGGGAATAAGTCACTGTATGGCTGACCCAACCTTACCTGGAAACAAAATTTAAACTTACTCGAAGACTGCTCAGAAAAACTTTGTTTGATTTGTGCCCTGGCCATCTCGAGCTTTCAGGGGCCTTGGAAACACCTGCGGCCAGGCCCTGCCTGGTGGTGCACCTGGAGGCAGCCCCAAGTTCGTGCCCCTACGCCAGCCTCTCCCCAGCCAGCGCCCCAGCACAGTGGGGTCGGAGGTGCCCTCCACCTCCCCCGCCATGGTCCGCAGGGCTCTGCCCGCCAGGCGGGGCTTTATTCTCACGGATTGGGGCAGGTGCGTGCAGGAGGGGCCCGAGCCCCCGGCCCAGGTCTCTCCCCCGGGTCCCTTCCCTCCTCCGGGGAGGCACTCACCGGGCTCTCGGCGCCCAGGCACTGCATCCTGTGCTCCCGGCCGGGACTGGGGGCCGACGCAGCGCCCGTGGCGGGAGAACCCGGGGCAGAGCGGCGGGCAGGGACGCAGCGCCCCCTGGCGGCGGCCTCCGAGAGCGGGCCCGCCGGGGTCGCTCCGCAGAGTCTGGCCCTGCTGGGAAGGAGAGGCCCCCCCGCACCCCGCTGCCCGCCTGACCCCCCGGCCGCCTCCCTCCGCGACCAGCACGGGTCCTGCACGGTTGGGACAGGACGCAGGGAGCCTTAGCCAATCTGTTCGGAGGAGTGAAAACCGGTGCGGAGCGGTGTGATCCTCCGCTAACAGGTGAGTAGCGCTCACCTGTGCCAGATTCTGTTCTAACTGCTTTGCAGGCATTACTAAAGAATCCACAAGGCAGAAACGGTCGTTCTCCCTGCTCCGCCGATGAGGGAAACTGAGGCACGAGACAGACGACAAGAATTAAAACGCGGGGGGGGGGGTCCTCTGAATAATAGAACAGGTGTAACTGGAGAAGAATTTGTGATTGGACAGTTTCAACTCTCTAGAGGCAGCGGGAAAAGGTTTAAAGAAACAAAATACGGCAAGTTATTTTAATTTTTCTAATTAATATCGAGGCTAGAACGAGAACGGAAAGGGGGAGGTATAAAAATGGAGAGGAAGAAATATTTGAGACTAACATACGTTTTAAGGTTGAAAGGAAGAAATACACCTCAGGTAGAACGGGCAGGTCTCAAGCCAAATACATACATTTCAAATACATTTTCTTAAGTAGAAATTTCCTAAAAATCTGCTGGAGAAAGAAACTACCCAGGCAGCTCCCATCAGGATGTCGGCTGCGGGTCCGAACCTCGGATCCACCTGCTGGGCCGTCACGTGACTGCGCCCCGCCAGGGTCACGCCCCTTGCCGCGTCCACCAGCCCTAAAAACCTAACCTAAAAAAACTACACATATCCTATCCTTGAAACACCAAATATGTTTATATTAAGTTCACAATTCTAGAAGTAGAGCCTTGTTGATTGCCTTGAGAAGATTTGGGGGGATTTCTCCTTTCAGAAGACTTCAAGGCATCAATTTTCCAAATATCACAGAGAGACAGACATCCGCCTCCCCCGAGGGAAGAACACTGCCGCCTATGACGTAGTCATGCCAGAAAGTCCCCCTGAATCCGACCTCCAAGTTATAAGACATACAGGGGATAGAGGAACAAGTCAGTTAACACCAAGGGATGCCGCCCGTAAAACGGAGCTGGGGAAGTCCTCTGGTGATTAGTATAACCTACAGGAGGGCCCCAGGGTCAAATCTAGCCGCGCCAGCAGCGAGAGAACGCGCTGCGTCGCCCCGCCCCGAGCCGATCCCTCCTCACGTCACAGGGACGGGATCGGAGCGCGCCCCCGAGGTCCCTTCAGAGCCTGCGCGGAAAGTGCGGCGCACGCGCAGTAGGCAGGACCGTACCCCGGGCGCCCGCGCAGGGTCGCGCAGGGCGGCTGACCCGGCAGTGTCCGGCATGACGGGCTGGGCTCTCGCTTCTGCCCCCGCCTCGCTGCAGCGCCATGGAATGCCTGCGGAGCCTGCCCCGGCTCCTGCCGCGCGCGGTGGGGCTGCCCCGGCGCAGCCTGTGTGCTCTGGCCTGGGGCCTGGCCCCCGGGCGCGCCGCCGGACTCCTTGGCGGGAGCCGGACCGCGTCGCCGTGCGGACCCCGCGGGCCCCGCCTGGCAGGTACGGCCGCCGGGCCGCAGCCCGGGGACGCCGCCCCGCGGTGACTTCGGGCCCCTGCTTGCCCGCTTGCCCGCCGCGTGCCCTCGGCCTCCGGTCCGTCCCCGGCCCAACAACCGGCCTGTCCTCGCCGTCTCCGGTGCAGAGCTCTCCTCCCGAGTGCTCTGCGCAGCTTTAGTTTTAAACCCCAGTTTCACCCTTAGTCATTAAGATTAGGCTCATTTCGCCGAATTATTTGCCTTAGTTTCTCTTGCCTGCCTGCTACCTCTTCCTCGCGGGCGCGGTGACATTTGTCCAGGTAACGGGTGGGCACGCACTTGAAAGGGAGACTTCGTGGTAAGAGCTGCTCGGAGAAAGATCCGGCGTAGTTTTCAAGTGCAGCCAGAGGGGTCCGGTGAGGCCGGGAGGAGGAGGCGGACTTAGGGTTTTGTCACCATTAACGTTTCCCCCGATGAGAGATGGTGCTGATATTGCCGAGAAACCAGCGGCATTAAAGTGTCGGCGTCTCACTGCCGCACTGTCGTCGGATGTGTCCTCAGTTTTGCCCCCAACGCAGCTCTCTGTAGAGCCTGAGTCGGGTCCACACCTGGTGCAGCCCTTCTAATGTTTTAGGGCATTGAGATCCAGAATCTCATTCTGGTAACGCTTGGTGCACCCTGTGACTGGTCGGCAATTGCTGATTTACGCTCTGCCTCGACTCAGCTGACCCTTAGCGCCCAGTTTGTAGTTTGCAAAAGGGTAACCTGCCTCAGCTGCCAGCCAGTTCCACAAGTCATTGAAAGTGTGTAACGGGAAGGAGCAAGATCAGAACTGAGAATGTGTCTGCTCATTCTGTGGAATCAGCAGGGTTACTGCGGAAGCATAAAATAATTGGTAGTATTTTTACACCACTGCCCACTCCCCTTGTTTATTATTTTGAACAGCGTTTTTTTCTTAGATACTAAATTTACTTGACAGTATTTCAGCACTCACCTCAACTCAGTGTAGTCACGTTTTAAATTTTCAAATAAAGCTTTGTCTTCATTCCATTTCATTGAGGTCTGCATTCCAGTTCAGTTGGCTATAAGTAATAATAATAAAGTGTTTCTGTAGAAAATAATACAAAGAAGTAAAGTCTGTAGGTTGCATAATTTACAGGTCAAGCAAATAATCCTGATACTGGAATGCTGAAAGGGAGTATTTGGGATCTGTTTTCTAAAATGTATCTACCAACATAATTTGCACAAAGATCCTTTTTAAATTACGCAAAAAAAATCGACATTTTCTTTTCATCTCAGAACACTGTGTTGTACATTTGTTTATCCAGCTATTGAGATAATTATAAAGGAAAATGGTGGTTGGGATCCATAATTATTCTACTGCCTCACCTAAGCCATGTTAAAAAATAGTCATCCACAGATATTAAAATGCACAAATGTTTCTTTTTCCCTCTAGGAAAAAAATTTTAAAAACACCCCAAAATAGCCTGAAGACCACATACTATGAGGGTTGTAGCTAAGCTACATGTGAAAACCAGTGGTATGATTACAGGGAATTCTCTAATTCATTCCTCAGGTGAAATGCACCGGTTAAGGACGTCTGATGCCTCTCAGGCCACGTTAGCCAGTGTAGCCCCCGTGTTTACTGTGGTGAGTACATGTGGTTCACGTGTGGGTTGGGCTGGTTGGCCAAGATTTACTTATTTTTTGCTTTGTAATGAGTCATTATACTTACGAGTCTTGGTGTCTTTGTGTTTTGCTCAGTCAGTGGAACTTCGCCAATGACTCGGAGCCCTTCTTTAGTACTAAAAGGGGTCATTTGAATCACAGTGCAGTGCTTCCCAATTGAAAATAGCCATACCTTGGAGATGTTGCAGGTTCCACTCCAGACCACTGCAATAACACTAGTGGGGCAATACAGCAAATCATAACCTTTTTGCTGGTGGAGGGTCTTCAGTCTGTAAAAAATGCGATATGCGAGGTGAAATCAAGCTAAGCGCAATAAAATAAGACCTGTCTGTACTCAGGATTTCCCGTGAATCCATTGAGTCCTTGAAGCCTGTTAGCCGTGGAGGGGCTTGCCCTGTGCTATGCCACGTGACATACGCAGATGCACTTTGAAGGCAGCACAGCATAGTAAAGAGTGTGTGCTTTGAAGGGCATGACCTCTGCCACTCTCCCTGAAATGGTCCAGGAAAAATGAATTACATAACAAGAGGGATGTGTATCAACCACATTTGGAGAGAAATAAGGCCATTGGGGCAAAGTGTTAACAAAGAATGACTAGGTGACAGTTACATGGGAATTGGTTATAATATTCGTGCGTTTTTTTTTTTTTTGGTAGGAAATTTAATTTAAAAAATGTGTGTTTGCTCTGAGCCAGAGTTCCTAAAGTTGAATCTCAGCCCAGTCTCTTACTACTAACTGGATGGCCTTGGACAAGTTATGATAACATCATTGTGTCTTAGTTTTCTCACCTGTAAACTAGGGAGAATGGTATCTACTTTACCAGTGTTGTAAGGTTTACATTAAGTCACTCGTGTGAAAACCTTAGACTAGCGCTCCACGCAGGGTAAGCATTCACTAGATTTTAGGCATTATCGTTATTGGTAGTTAGGCATATTAACGTACCTTTTCCTCTGTAAACTGTATATTTGTACAACAAAATAACCCCCGGAATGACGTGTTAAAGTTATCACTGTTATTCAGTGTTCCAGAGGATTGGCCAGTTCAGCTGCACAAGAATATAAAAATCAGATGCTAAATATTGAAAGCAGGTTCTTTGCAGGTGAAATCATTGTCCACCAAGAGCAATTAAGAAAATCAGTTGATGCCACTTAAAGTAATGAGACTTTAGAAAGTGAGTTAACCTGCTCACTTTTAATGTGAGTTACATTACGAGGTAAACATCTTAAGAAATCATTGTGTGATCTTCCGAAAAATCCCATTAAAATGACAGCTAAGTATGGAGATGCCAAAATAATCAGTATATTAAGTTGCAAGTGGAGCAGAGACTTTGGAGGAGAGTCTAACGCGAATATGTTTAACAGCGACAGTCTGGACGGGCGGTCAGGAATAAAATGCTTAGCATGGCGTTCTCTAAAGCCTGCCATTTCGGGTGGCTGGTTTTATTTCACCCACCTTTATTCTCAGGCTTTCTGCGGCAGATGTGTGTTTTGGGAGGTAAAGTCCAGGAGCGCAGCCGGTCTGTGTCACACAGAACAGGGGGCCTCCTCGGATGCAGAGCCCCCTGTGCCAGGGGTGCGTCGCAGGGCTCGCCGCGCGCGCACAACGGCCTCGGGAGCCGAGATGAGGGTGCGCTGGGGGCTTTGGTCGTGGTGGGGACACGGCGTGCGTGGCGCCGCGGCAGCGCCCCCCCCCGCCTCGTACTGCACCCACCGCCGCAGTGTCTTTGCGAAAGTGCGTGCGGAACAGCGACCGGGGCCGCCCCGCACGGCGGGATTTGTGGCGGGATTTGTGAGTCGTTCCGTGGGGGCAGGTGCTGCAGAAAACCGTTTCCTCCGCCAGACGTGCACTTTCTGCGTCATGGCCTCTCCCCAGACTGTCAGAAGAGGCCTTTTCCGTAAATGTTAATCGATTTGACCGTGCCCACCGGAGACCTCCGGGCCCCCCAGACGCTTGAGTCACAGGCGAGCACAGCCGGCCCCGCTCGGTCGGAGGGACGGAGGATGGGGGCGCACGAGGGCAGCGGCGGGGTGTCCTCGTCCTCGGGAGCCGGGCAGCGGCTGGGAGCTGCTTCAGGCGCGAGGGCCGGAGCGGGGTCCGCCTCGCGTGGAGCCCCCGCCCCTGGGAGCCACCTGGGCGCGGGGCCGCGGCTCCCCGCGGTGTAACAGCTTCGCCAGGTTTCCCAGAACCACCGCAGGACGTTCACCCCCGTCAGAGTTGCGCGGCAAACAAAGGGGATTTTCGGGCCCTTGCGCCTAGCGGACCTCAGCGGGGCCGGGGGCGGCAGGCTTGAGCCTGCTTTCCCGCTTTCGTAGCCACTGTAGTGCCGTGTGGTGTGGCACCCTAAATGGCGCGCCAGTTTGGGAGAAATAATATTTTGTTTTTATTATCTCTCCTCAGACGAAATTCGACAAAGACGGAAAGGTTACTTCTTTCGGTGAGTGTCGTTGAGCTTCTTCTAAGTCACCTTCTGAAATCAACGAGTGCGCCAATCTGAGGGAAATGAAGAAATGGTAGCGCTGTGACTTGGAGAGCCCGGTTGCCCAGCGGGGCGGACGCAGGGGCGGTGCTGGGGCTGGCCACGCCTCCCCGGCCACGCCTCCCCGGCCACGCCCCCCGCGCCGTCCCCGTGAGGGGCCGCGCTCCCTGAGGGTGCCGCCAGGCTTCTTCCCGGCGGAGAGTGCGCGTGGGGGCGGGCTTCCCCTGTAGTGTCCGTGCGGGAAGGAAGGGAATGGAACTTATCTCTTCGCGGATTTAAAATGTGGGAGATGGGAACGTAGCGAGGAAAGAAAGAAAAAAGTCGCTCTGCACAATTCTTGTCGAAAAGAGATGGGCCGCCTCCAGAGCTGGAGAGCGACCAGCAGCCTGGTCCGCCCCGTGGCCCGGGCGTCCGTCCGTCGCACGGGGCTCGGAGGGGGAGAGGGGCCGGTAGGGCCGGCCGAGGTTCGGCCTGGAGCTTCTGGCGCTTCTGACGGGGGCAGAGCGCGGTGCTGGCGTCCGCCTCGGCTCCGAGCGGCCCGCAGCCCCCGTGGGGGGCGGGCCCGGCGTAGACCGCTCCGCGCTTCGGGGACCGGCTGAGCCGCTCTCGCGTGGGAAACGCCTCTGTTGCAGAAAGAAAGAAAACCGACCTGTACCAAGAGCTGGGCCTCCAAGCCCGGGACCTGCGGTTCCAGCACCTGATGAGCATCACCACCAGGAACAACAGGATCATCCTCAGGATGGAGGTGAGCGGCGGGCGCGGCGCGGCGCGGCGGCCCCGCCGGCAGGGGGCGCTGGCGCTCCATCGACGGTAGACACTTCCAGTGTCCGGTCAGCCGTGGCCGTGGTGTGACCAGCCGCCAAAAGCGGTCTGGTTCTCCGGACAGCCCGGGGAGGTGTCCTGGGGTAAATTTTTACGTTGGTGGAGGCGCCCCAAGACACGCCGCGCCCCGCCCCACCCCGCCTTCTCGGCGCCCGGCGTCACCTGGCGCGCCCTGGGGTCCCGCGGGCCGCGGCTCTGAACCAGAGGAGGCGCCGCGTCGCCGCCGCCCTGGCCCTGCAGGGCCCGCGAGGCCTGCGTTACCCGGAGAGCCGCTGGTGGCAGGCTTTTGTCCACTTACCTAGAACTAATAAAAATCAAGTGAAAAACGGAAGCAGTCTTCTCCCAAGCGATCCTCTCTAGGAGAAAAGTCGCTTCTGCTACCAGTAGCACCAGGACAAAGTGTCTCGTTGGTGGATGGATAGAAAAATAGGTGGTCAAGCAAATTAAGCAGAATTTTAATTGCATAAATGGCATGTGTGCAGTTCACTATATAATTTTTCTGTATAAAAATTTTCATAATACACTTGGAAAAAATGTGAAAACTAAAACCCTCTTATTTTTATATCACTGATATAGTGGCCACAGGCTACCCTTCAGGGTTCCTTTTCTCACGTGAAAGATGCCAGGTTTCTCTTTAGAATAAATTTCTAATTTCGTAGTGTTCTTTTTTTTCCATGTAACTTACTTTTCAAAATTTTAAAATGACAATTGCCATACAGTGTTTCATGGGTTTCAGGCCTGCAACACAGGGGTCATTTACACCCCTCGCGGGATGGCCACCCCGAAGCCGCACGCCCATCGGACGCTGCGCGCAGTCCTCACAGCGCTGGCCGGTGCATCCCCGGGGCTGTTTGCGGGGCGGGCAGTTCGTACTTCATCCTCTCCTTTCACATCCGCTCCCCGTCAGTTTGTTCTCTGTATCTGAGTTTCTACATTGTTTTGTTTTTCTAGATTCCACATGTAAGAGAAGCCATATGCTACTTGTATCTCTCTGACTTATTCCACTTGCCATAACACCCTCTAGTCCATCCTTGTCGCCGCAAATGGCAAGATTTCATTCCTTTCTATGGCCGAGTAATATAATATTGTACACATGCACCACATCTTCCTTATCCATTCATCAGTTGATGGGCACTTAAGCTGCTTCCATTGCTTGGCTATTGTAAATAACGCTGCCCTGAATAGGAGGGTGCATATATCTTTTCAGATTAGCATGTTTATTTTCTTCAGATATACTCCCAGAAGTGGAATTACTGGGTCCAAAGGCAGTTCCATTTTTAATTTTTTGAGAAAACCCCACACTGCCTTCCACAGCGGCTGCACCAGTCTGCATTCCCACCAACAGTGCACTAGGGTTCCTTTTTCCACATCCTCGCCAACACTTGTTGGTGCGTTTATTGACTGTTCCGACACGTGTGAAGTGACATCTTGTTGTGGTTTTGATTTGTGTTTCTCGGACGATTAGTAACATTGAACATCTTTTTATGCATTTACTGGCCATTTGTATGTCCTCTTTGGAGAAATGTGTATTTGGGTCCCGTGCTTTTTTTTTGTAATCCTCATCTGAGGATGTTTATTGATTTTTAGAAGCAGGGGGGTGGGGGGGGAGAGAGAAACATCGATTGGTAGCTTCCCGTATGTGCCCTGACCAGGGATGGAACCTGCAGCCTCTTGGTGTACGGGACCACACTCCAGCCAACTGAGCCACCTGGCCAGGGCTCCCTCCCAATTGTTAGCCGCCGCATGTGGGTGTGGCGCCTGCCCATTCCATGTCTCTGCCCCTGCTACCAGTCTCATCGTGGCTCTTTTCTAGCCTTAGTGCTAGGACTTGCGTTCAGCTAGTCCTGAGGCAGTTCTCTGGGTGGTGGTTCCGTAATTTAGTTGTAATTCTGACATGGTCTTAGGAGGAGGCAAGCACGTTGTGTATCTATGCTGCCATCTTGACCGGAGGTCCATCAGGTTCTAAATTAGAGCTTAATCCGATGTTGTAGCTGCATAATTTCAAATTAGCTTAGTATGTGTTGGTGGAATTTTAAAAAAGAAACGTTACCGTTTCAGCCAAACTAATCATGATTAAATTTTAAAGTGTACTGAATATGTGACTTTTCAGACCTTACCTTGTTCCCTTTATTCCGTATTTTTCTCATGATTGCCCTGAGGTATTATTTAATTCTACTTCTGTTGAGAGTGAGTTCAAGGTATCAAGATGTACATATATTTTAGACTTCCTTCCTTTAAAAAAAATTGTGAAAAACAAATGAACAGTTGAGGCTTAATCCAAACTAAGGGAGTATTAAAGCCTGTTTTATGAGTATAACTTCATCCTACAGCTTGATAACTTGCAGACATGCATGTGTATGTGTGTGTACACATACATGTATCTTCTCTTTTTTTCCACAGTATTTGAAAGCTGTGATAACTCCAGAGTGTCTTCTGATACTAGATTATCGTAACTTAAACCTGGAGCAGTGGCTGTTCCGGGAACTCCCTTCTCAGTTGGCCGGAGAAGGTCAGCTTGTCACGTACCCTTTACCTTTTGAGTTCAGGGCCATAGAGGCACTCCTGCAGTATCGGGTAAGCTTGTTTGCGTGGCGTCTTGCACCTGCTCTGGTTTGCTGTGCTGCAGTGGCACTGAAGGGCCGTGTTGTTCTACAGATCGGCACGCTTCAGGGGAAACTGAGCGTGTTGGAGCCCCGGATCCTTGACACCTTGGAAGCGTTAGTGGATCCCAAACACTCCTCTGTGGACAGAAGCAAATTGCACATCTTACTGCAAAATGGCAAAAGGTAAACAGCCACCTTAAGCTTCTGTCAGTAGTTTTCACAGTGAAGTGTTCAGCATAAACTCAAATACAGGTCAGTGTGACTATCATCTGTTTTTAAAATACCAGCTGCCCTTGCTAATGGCAGTGAACTGCCGTCAGCGCTGTCAGTGGGAGCGCGGCTGCGGCGGGCGCTGCAGGAAAGCTGGGTCCGCTCTGTGCGGCGGCTGTGGCTGGGGCTTAGCTCTTAGTCTGCACGTTATTCTGCACACAGTCGTTCATCGCGAGTGTGTAAGTGGGTCTGCTTAGTTAGATGCCCAGAGGGCGCTGTCCGCACGGTGAGGTGTGTCTGCAAGTGCACGGCGTTGACCTTTTCTGCGCACCCTCTCCCCCAGCCTGTCTGAGCTGGAAACAGACGTGAAGATGTTCAAAGAGTCCATCCTGGAGATCCTGGACGAGGAGGAGCTGCTGGAGGAGCTCTGCCTCACCAAGTGGAGCGACCCCGACGTCTTGTGAGTGTGCGCCTCGCTCTGCCGCCGCTCTTGGGGGTCCTTCTCACAGACGGCGGGGCACTTCCGTCTCGTGTGAACTTGGAAGTCAGTTCCTCTTCCAGGCCCAACCCGGCCCTGTCTTTGCTTTCCGAGCACACCAAGTGTTTCATTTTTGTTTTCTGTGGCCCAGTGTCAGAAACGAGTACACTTTAGTGATGTGCATAGTTTACGCAGCCTGTCCAGACTTGTAGACAGTATCTATATTCCGATTGATAAAAGGGGCTCTTTTACCAGCAAGGTCTGGTAGCAGAAACTGGAGCACACCTGCCCCTCTCGTTGGCTTGCTGAGCGTCTGCTGGGCGGCAGCGTCCCTGAGCCGGCTGCAGGGCGGGGCCGAGGGCTGTGCGTCAGCAGCCTTGGTCAGTGGGGAGGGCCTGCATCCGCCTGGGAGGAAATGCTGTGTGCATGCACTTTGAGTCTTTGGTTTTGTTTTCCGATGGGTGCTACTTTGTACCAGTGTATCCACATTCACATGTCGCACTTTCCTGTCACTGGTAGTGCAGTGGGACCGCCAGCCTGTGCAGGGTGAGAGCCTGTGCCCGGGACGTGCCCAGGATCGGGGATGCTGCCACCCACAGGCTGGCCCCAGCCACAGTCGACCAGAGGCGCGTGTGCTCGCTGGTGGCCGAGTACCATCTGCTGACTCGGGGGGTTGGGTCCTGAGTGTGTGGCGCACACGCGGGGCGTGCGGGTGACGTGAGCTCTTGTGATTGGAGTGAGCAGAGCAGCACCGGCATCGACCACGCGGAGGAGATGGAGCTGCTGCTGGAGAACTGCTACCGGCTGGCAGAGGACCTGTCCAACGCGGCCCGTGAGCTGCGGGCGCTGATCGACGACTCCCAGAGCGTCATCTTCCTCAACCTGGACAGGTGGGTCCGGGGCAGGCCGCTTTCTTCCTGGGGCGCGCATGGGGCGCGGCTCAGCTTGTGGGGAAGTCCACCCCTTCCCCCCACCGCTGCGTGGCCCTGTGTCCTCTGAGGTCTGGTCCCAGGCCTGGCGTCTTCAGTGCTCCTTGTGCCCCTGCTGTGTGTTGTGGGCCCGTCTGATCTTGCTGCTGTTCCTGCAGCCACCGCAACGTCATGATGAGGCTGAACCTGCAGCTGACCATGGGGACCTTCTCCCTCTCGCTCTTCGGGCTGATCGGCGTTGCTTTTGGGATGAATTTGGAATCCTCTCTTGAAGAGGTGAGATTCTCTTACTTCAATAATCTAGGGTTTTTTTTTAAAGGTTTTGAAGGCCATTCTGAATAGGGGACAGCAGAGAAGAGACCTGGATGGAAAGAGAGCAGGGAGCCCGGGGCAGGGTGTTGTAAGCAGAGGGGACCCCGTGTACGATGGCAGCAAGAGTGAGCTGGCTGTCGAGGACCTGCGGGTCCAAGCGTTCGGAGGGACAGAGTGCGGTGAGGCTTCCTCTCAGGAGCCCTCCATGGGTTCTGTGGACGGGAACCTGTCGGAGGCTTTTGAGCCCAGACCTAGACGATTGGAAAGTTCAGAAGGAGCCATGTTCTCCTGTGCAGTGCAGGCCGACCCCAGGTGTCCCAGACGGCGCCCCGAGGCCTCTGCAGAGTCCCCAGCCTGCGACCCCTGCCCTCCTCCCACATCGTCTTGGTTACCAGCCACGTTTGTGTACATGACTCACTGTACAAGTAAATCCACTTTATACCTGATGCCTGTTCTCCAAAAGAAAGAAAAGGGCTTTTGGGAAATCCTCTCTGATCGTTTGGGCTTCTTTTTAAGACCCGGGGCAGCGATAGCCCGGGACACCCTGTGGACAAGCAGCTTGCCTGCAGGGCTGACCCGGGCTGTGCTCTCTCGCAGGACCACCGCGTGTTCTGGCTGATCACGGGCGTCATGTTCATGGGCAGCGGCCTGATCTGGAGGCGGCTGCTGTCGTTCCTCGGGCGGCAGCTGGAAGCACCTCTGCCTCCTGCGGTAAGAAGGGCACAGGGCCCAACAGTAGGCAGGGCAGTTGCAGCCTGGGCTCTGGTCACGCCGACTCTGTGGCCCTGACGGCGACCTAACCTCTCGCAGCCTCCCTGGGGTCCCGCCTGTCAGCTGGGTCACCGCTGCCGCACTCCCCGCCCCATGGTGTCCACAGTGGGAGAGTTAAAGACGACGATGTGTGTAGAGCTCTTGGGAGCGCCCGGCCCATGGGACAAGTTAGAGATGCTTCCTCTGTGTGGAGCATGTGATGCCTCTAGACAGATGCTAGCGATCCCTGACCAGAACGCAAGTGTGGACACATGGTGCCCACTCACAGGTGGCACCGCTGGGCTGGGGGCTGCCAGGCCCCTGGACGGGCCCCCGACTGGAGCCTCCCCTCCCAGACACGGACTAACACGCTGTCCTCGGCTCCCTGCAGGTGGCCTCTCTCCCCAGGAAGACCCTGCAGGCCGATAGGAGGACGGGCGGGAGGCCAGACGGGCTGGGGCCCGGCAGGAGCGTCCTCACGGCCCGGTGAGAACCAGTCTCGTGTGTGCGTCGCAGGGGAGTCCTGGTCCCTCTGTAGAACCAGAAGCGCGGAAAAACCCGGTATTTAAGTTACGTTGTCTGATGATGAAACACGGCAGTGACGATTGAACGTGATCGCTTTTTCAGAATTCTGAGTAAACCAAAGTACTTGTTGTGTAAAAGGCCAAGATTCTATTTTCTACCAACTTAAAGAGCTCTTTTTACAGCCTTGTGAGACACGGAGGAGTTAATGTGACGACTGTTGTATGGATTTTGTATGTACTGAGAAAAGTCCAGCTTCAGGCTCAGCGCAGCCGGGACACTGGACAGACCCAGTCACGAGACCACGTGGCCGCAGTGCCCAGACCGGCGCCCTGTCGTCGCGAATTTCCTTGCTCTCAGGGGACTGGACTGCTAGCGAAACACAGGTCAGCCTTAAAACAGACTCTGGAAGCTTGTGCTTCCAACCCACAGCCTCATTCTCATACCTGCTCCAGCCGTATGTAAGGTGAAGAAAAAGAAGGGAATGATAGTACAGCATCAGCTTTACATGGAGTCTGACTGGTTAAAGTATGTGGAGTTGAAGGAGAGAATTCCCATTCTGTCACTGGTTCGTAGCTGCTTTGGTCGTCCCCAACCTCCAGGGGGAGGAGCCAGCACCCTCCCCCCGACCCCAAGTGAAACTGTGTGGCCGCATCCCTGTGTCCCCCCTCAGGCTGGCAGGTGGGCTTCCTAAGGCAGGGGAGCAAGACACGCTGGGTCTGTGGTCCCTTTTGTTCCCACAACCAGAGCTCTGGGGTCAGAACAAGTGGCTGAGCCCGGCCAGCCTCAGCGCAGCCCCCGCCTGGCCGCAGTGGGGGTCCTGGTGAAGGCTTACGGGGGGGCGCCGACCCTGTGAGGCGGTGGCAGAGGGAGTGCGGGGCCTGCTGACCCGAGAGAAGACCAGGGATGTTCTCTGCGCCCTGCTAAGGCCGGGAGCAGCCCCAAGAGGGAGGCTGGGGGCCCCACGCAGCTCCCGTGGGGCCGGAGCGTGCCCTGGGCGTGGTGGACACCACTCTGGCACCACAGACCTGGGGGTGGTGGGTTTCACGGGGCGCTCTGCTGCGGATTCCGGTCTTTTACTACTGGAAGGCAAGTAACGACTGCTGCTTCACCATGACAGAGTCGGTCGTCCAGAGCAGAATTGGGTTTGGTCTCTTCTGGTGTTGGTTTGTGGCTTTGGGTAAAATAGAGTCGTGTCTTGTCAATAAAAGGGAGAATTATGCACCTACCTCACAAGTCTGACACGGATGCACAGATATGGCAAGAGGGGCACCGCTTCATCTAAGGTTCCAATGACAGCCTGTCCCCCAAATGCACAGGGGTCAGCGGTTTTACATTTTGAATTAAAACACAGAGCACAACCTGTTCTCTGAAAGTGGGTGACGGAAAACTGAGTGCTCGGTTAGGTGAGGCGGCCGGCAGTCCCACCCGGTTGCCGCGCGCACGGGCAGGGCCCGCCCCGGAGCCCGGCGCCGGAGGCCTCCCAGACGGGGCGGCGTGTCTCAGACGCCGCTACCATGGCCCTGTTCCTCCTTGCAGGCTGTGGGAACTGCCACCCAACAGCCCTGAAAGCTGCTTATTTCGGTGAGTTGTTCCGAGCGTTGTGCATAGCTCTTCTGGGAATTGCACATTAAACCCCCACTTGAAGCCCAGGATTCACCCGAGTAATGACCGTGGAGGCGGGCGGGCGGGCGGGCCGGGTGCGCGCACCTGCGCCCCACAGCTCACGGCCGTGCCCCGCCCGCGTGCCTGTCGACTGGCCTTATGTTGTTGCCTAGACAGAAACTACAAATACATGTTACATGTGTTCCGCTATCTTAAAGGTAATTTTGAGCGGTGCAAGTACAGATTTGTGTTAATGAGAAGTTAAAACTTTAGCAGTTACTTTCATTCAGAATCAGCGCTTAGAACTAGTTAATACTTAGTAGAATGAAAATTTATTCCACCTGTTGGGGTAGTACATCGGGCTGTCCTGTCAGTTTTGTCATGTAGGTTGATGGGTACAATTTACACCATCTGTGAACATGGAGTTAGTGTGGCTAAATGGGAAACCCTGTAACTCCCGTGCGACACCTGCTTCCCACTATTAATTGTAACCTTCCTCACCTGGTGCCTGCTGGCTGGCTTAGTCAGCCGCTGGGAGCGACGAGTACGTGGGGACAGAGGGCTGTCACCTAGCGAAGGGTGAGGTGCAACTGCGGGACACCGCGAGGCGGGAAGGAGGCTGCCTCCAAGGGGATGGGCCTTCCCCGAGACCCACGCCCTCCCCTGTCTGCACTCAGACTCATCGGCTCGTCTGTGGAAATGGCCACGGAATTCCCAGTCCGCCGATAGTAAGTGTGCTCATAATTAACGACCCCGCAAATGGGCCCGGCTGTCAGGAACCGGTGCACTTTCTGCGCAGCCGCCGGCCCGCTCACCTGCGCTCTGGCTCCTCCTGGGCCCTCGTGTAAGCACCCTCCTCGGCTGGACTGCGTCCCATGAGACACCGCAGAGACACGTCACCTTGTCCTGCCTCTGCCCCATCTCAGGGAGGCTCTCCCCGGACGAACACGGGACCAGGGGTGCCAGTTCACACGCTGCTGAGGCCGGAGCCCGGGGGTGGCCCCCACCCTGGCTGTGCCCCACACAGGTGTCCCCGCCCTGCCGACGCCAGGCCAGGACCGCGGCCGGCCCGGCGCTGTCGGCACAACCTGGTCTCCTCGGGACTGGGGACTAGGGGAGGGTCACTGGGTCCGTCATGTGTCAGCACCTCTCCAGAAGCAGGTGACAGGTTTGTGTACTTGCCCTTCACAACGTGCCCTGTGGAAAAGGCAGGGACCTGTGGGGAGACGGGGCCGAGCCATTTGCCAGCGAGCCCGTGCTTGCGGCCCTGTTCCCCCTATAATCTCCCTGTATCCTGTTCCCCTGACGGGAACGGGTCACCGACTTCGAAGGATGTTGTTCGGAGGAACAGTGTGGAGGTTTCCTGAAGGAGCCAGAGGGGCAGCAGGCCGACGCGGCGAGCAGGCAGGGGAGCTGCGCAGGGAGCGGGGAGGGCGGCTGTGGGCGTGAGTGACGGTGCGCGTGCGCCGCGGCGGCCCGTGTCGGCGGCCCAGGGAGCCTCGCCGCCTCCTGGGTCTGCCGAGGCTCAGGGCATGGGCTCCTTTGTCCGAGAGAGCACCCCCCGGACGCGCCTCAGCCACAGGGGCCGCGGGGCGGAGCTTCAGTCTGAGCGGAGGCTGTAGACGTGCAGCGCCCCGGAGAGCCGGGCGCCCAAGGAGCTCCTTCCAGCGGCCACGACGACTTGGTTCTGTGGAGACACAGCACACGTCAGTCATCAGACTGTCTCCCTGTGGACAGAAACACGAGGAAGGGGCGGGCGCGACCGACTCGAAGCTCCAGGAGCAGGGACCGCGCCGCCCTGCCCATCCCGGGCCCAGGGTGACCCTGCTCCTCACGCTCGGCCTGCCCAGCCCCAGCCGGGGCGCCCCACTGCTCCCCGAGGGTCGGCCCCGGTTCCAGCCGAGCCAGGCAGGGCTGAGTCACGCCCATTCTGGGGGCTCCGGCCGCCAGAGCGCCTCCGTGTCCCCAGGCCCAGGACGGGGACTGCCGGGACCAGCAGGGACTGCGGTGGTGTGCGCCCTCCTCAGCTGGGGAGGTCGGGGTGGACGTGGGGGAGTGTGTATGAAGCGTGGATTCTTGACACTGTCTAGTTCTTGGAAAACGAGTAAAATTTTAAATGGAAGCCAAGCTGAGGACATAGTCATCCTAGGAACAGACCTTTTGAAAATCCTCACAAAAACTATCCATCGCTGTAGTTAACGTTGGATTTTTTGTTACTGGGCGACCCGCCTGTCACTGGGGCCAAGCCACGGCCATGCAGAGTTGGCCGCCAGGAGGCAGGCTCAGCTCAGTTCTTAGAGGTCGCCGCCAGCCCTAGTGGCCTGGCGCCCAGGGCGTTTTCTTTCACTTCCCACAGGCAGAATGGCCTCAGCAGCACAGACGCGGGTTCGGTTCTGTGCCTCTTCCTCTCCCCAAACGAGCACGTGGGCACCGGCTCGGCAGGGTCCCGGTGGGGCCCTTTGGCCGCCTGCATCTACTAACATTAGCTTTCCAAGTGTGCGCCTGCAGGGACGTGTGCACAGTCACATGGAGCTGCAGACTCAAGGATGCTCACAGTGGCGCCGCCGGGGACAGTGCGGAGCGGGAGGCAGCTGAGGAGATGCCTGCGGGAGTGCGGGCTGACGAAATACCACGAAAACACGGCGGGCAGCCAAATCCTCCGCAGCAAATCCCGAGCTGTGTGATTGCCTGAGTGGGTGCGTGTGTGGGAGGGGCAGCTGAGAGGGCAGCCAGGGAAGTGGAGGCAGGACGTGTGCATCCGTCTGCCTCCAGTTCACACAGCACCTGACCCCACGGTGCCAGCCAGGGTGCTCGACGCAGACGCTCGGGGCTCAGGGAAGTCTCAGGAGCAGCTTGACGGCCCAGGTCCCAGGGAGACCCGTGGACAGAACAGCGAGTCCCTGCTTTCTGGCCATTCACATGTGTAGTGCCCGGTTTTGCTCACAGGCTGGACGGAAACGGCAGCCAGAGGAGCCAGCCTCGGCCACGTGTGCCCACCCTGCCGCCCAGAGCACAGCTGCAGGGTCCACGCAGCTGCTCCCAGAGCCGTGGCCCTGCATGAGGTGTTGCAGTGCATGTTCCTCTATTTCTCAAGTAAAAAAGAAAATCAGAAGTAGGAACAAAATGGCCCTGGCTGGTGTGGCTGAGTGGACTGCGCACCGGCCTGCAAACCAAAGGGTTGCAGGTTTGCTCTCCAATCAGGGCACAGGCCTGGGTTGCGGGCCAGGTCCCCAGTAGGGGGCATGCGAAAGGCAACCACACACTGATGTTTCTCTCCCCTTCTCCCTCCCACCCCCCTCTGAAAATAATATCTTTAAAAAAAAATCTTTAAAAAAACAAACAAAATGAGAACGTCCTAAGTCCCAGCCCTAGAGCAGAGAGGTGTCAGCAGCACAGCCCGGGACCCACCTTGTCCTTCGACTGGACGGTGACCACGGAGCTCCCGAACCTCGAGCTTGCCTGCGGGACAGCGTGGGGTTACCAGGGCGCCAGGAAGACACCCTGTAACATTTCATGAGCTTGAAATAAGAGGAGAGGGCCTTCTGGGCAGTTTCTCCTCCTCGGGGAGGTACTTACTTCTGGAGAAATCAGTACATGTTGGGCCTGAAAAAAAATGGGGAGAAAGACAGACTGTGTCACTACAGTTCACATGGGGTTTTTACCAGCGCTACACCCGTATGCTCCATTACTACGTTTCTGCACAAGCCGTAAAAATGTGTGCATCTTTTGACACTAGAAATTCCACTTACAGGGCTTTAGCTCCGAAAAACATGTGCAAACATGTTTACACGTGACTATCACTCCATGACACTGGTTGAATGAACTGCAGTTCCTCTACAGAAAAAACACTCCGTGGCTGGTGAGCGCAGGGCGCAGGGAAGGGCTCCAGCAGGGGGGCAGGTCAAAAAAACACGCTGCGAAGTCGTGCACGGAACCGCCAGCAGTGCGAGCTACTGCTGACACCCGCGCCAGGTGCGGCCAGGAGTGCGCTGGCCCCCTCGAGCCCCGGCTCTGCTGTTTCCCAGCAGGTGATGGGGCAACTCCGCCCGCATCCCCAGCTTCTCGGCTGTAAAGGGGACTCACACCTGCTTGGTAGCTGTGATGTGGTTTCGGGATTCTAGGTCATTGATTTTTAATTTTCTTCATACCGTTGTGTTTTCTCAGATTTTTACAATAAAGTTTCCTTCACTTTTTAAATTAAAAATGAATTTTCAAATTTGAAAATAACAGCCCAGCGTTTTAGGTCCAGGAAAAGACATGGTGAAACAGGACTCGAGTGGGAGCGGACGCAGCTGCCGTGGGCTCGCAGCCGGGCAGCGGCAGGCGTGCCGAGGGCGACCGTGACCCCGGGGCCGACGCTGCGGCTGGGCCTCTGACACGCAGCCCGGGGCCTGCATCCGGACCCCAGGACCCGGTTCCCGTACAAGCGGCGAGCCCCACGGCAGGAGCGCTCTACCACGGCAGCAGCACGCAGCCGTCGCTGGGCAGTGAGACACAGTGGCGTGGATGGGAGCGCTACCTTCTCCTCTGGACACGGGGACATCCAGGATTTGCATTTGCCCGTCACATCGCCAAAGACGGTGTTTCTGCCGTTGTAGACGTAAACGCGGCCGTCCTCGCCCCCGATCAGCCCAGAGGTCATGTCTGCTATCCTCAGGGGGGCCGCCACGATGACTTCGTCTGCGCGCGAGACCGAGACCGGCGGGGGGTGTCAGCCTGCTCCCGGCCCCTTCCCGCCTCCTGCTGGCCCTCCTGCCTGCCTCCCGTGAGTCAGCCCAAGGCCCGCCCCGACAGTCAAGGCCTCGGCTCCCGTCTGACCAGCTGTCCACAGCCGGCGCGGCGGCTCTGCTGTCACCAGTCACCCCCGAGAAGGACAGCTGGCTCCGGTCCCCCACCCCCGGCGCTGGGCCCTCCTGACTCCACCTCCAGGCCGTGGGCCACAGGGGTCGGCTGCCAGGGCAGAGCCTCGCCGACCCAGCCTGGGCCCAGGGCCCAGAGGCACGGCCCCTCCCTCCCTACCTATGCCGTCGCCGTCCAGGTCGCTGAGGTGCAGCACGCCCCCGAAGCGGGAGAAGCGGCGGTCTCCGCTGAAGGTGCTGAGCAGGGACGGCTGCCCTTCGGGGGTCAGCTCGTACATCTGCGTGGCTCCCCCTTGGTGCAAGGTCATGGTCAGGAAGGCCATCTTGGACACGTCGTCTAAAATGGGCCGCACACGTCAGGGTCACCGCGTGCACACGTGACGACAGCACATAAAGCGCTGGCAGCTTCCTGCTCCTGCTCCGGGCTTCTGTCCCCTGGGGGACGCGGGCCCCGCAATCACAGGGCCGCAGCGCCAGTCAGGGCGGCTGTTACGGGGCTGTGGCAGCTCGGGCCCTGAGACCAGCACGGTCAGCTCGGTGACACCCCCAGACAGCCGCCCGCCCTCCTGCCTGACCCTCCAGGACATCTGCCACACGACCTCCCTCCCTACGGCCCGAACTGGCCGTGTCCCTGCCCTGCCCTGCCGCCCTCTGGGTGGAATCTGGGCTCCTTGCAGCTCTAGCCTTGCTCGGGGGCACTGCCGCTTCCCGCCCGTGGCGAAGGCCCACCACTGCCCGTGCCTCCCCTCAGCTCCAGGCCTGGGGGCGCGCTGTGCGCTCTGCCCCAGCACACGGCCCGGCCAGCCAACCCCCAGCACCTCCTGCGGCATGTGGCTCCGGTGTCCCCTCCTCCAGGGAGCCGGCCGCTCCCACCCGTCCCCCGCCTGCCGTGTGCCACCCCAAGTCCCCTCGTGTGTCCCCTGCATTGAGCTGCGGCTCCACAGCGGCAGGACCAGGCCGGCGGGCTCTGCAGGGCTCCCTGCCACCAGCACCAACGTCGGCGTCCGTCAGGGCTGGGGGTGAACGGGGGGCCAATTTCACTGCTCCCAGGGCACCGCACACCCTCTGTCTCGTGGCCCGTGGTGCACCAGACACAGCAGAGCCCCCGGCAGGGCCAGCGCAGGCAGCAGGACAGCAGGCGGCAGGACAGCAGGTGGGGAGGGTGGGGGCGAGGGGCTGCTGTCCACCTCGGCGCTGGGCGCTTCCACCTAACGTAAACCACCTGCCCCGGCCCCAGCCGCCCACAGCGCTGCCGGGCAGAGCCCCACGTGTCCAGAGCAGGTGACCCAGGAGAGACCCTCATTCCCTTCCCCTCATGTGTCCCTTAGCAACCTGAGCTCCTGGGTGACAACAGCAGCACCCAGAGCGCTCTGTCCCCACCCCCACCAGGAGGTGGCAGACTCCCCCTCGGCCCCGGCCCACAGCGCTCCGGGCGCCAAGGCGTGAGAGTGGCGGAGACGCCCGCCCCGGCCAGGAGAGGTGATGTGACCCAGCAGCCGCCCTCCCGCAGCCGCGGGGGGCTCGCCCTCTGCACGGGCAGGTGGGGACACTAACCCTCGGGGAGGTCAAGAGTCTTCCCCAAGGCCGCGCGGCTGACCGTTCGTGAGAAAAGGAGACGGGCAGACCCAGGTCTGTCTGGCCCCAGGCCCATGACCTGCCCCCCGGGCGATGGCAGGACCTACCGTGCGTTGGGACCCCGACCAGCAGCACCGGCTTCCGGGTCCCGTTCACCATCATGCGGCCGCTTGACAAGGAGGTGCCCAGCTTCCCCATGGCCTGTGAGACACAGTAAACCAAAGCGCAGCTTGGAAAACGTCGGCTCCCCGTGGTGCCCCTGTCCTGGTGGGGCGGGAGGGGGAGGGGAGTGCCCCACCTTGTCCCCGGAAATGGTGAACCAGCTCTGGCAGCGCGGCGGGAAGTAGCCGTACACCCGTCCGAGGGCCTGCGTCTTGCCGTGCGTGCGGGACAGGAAGCTGGGGCTGGAACGCAGCACACAGGGTGCTGGTGGGCCCGGGGTCAGGAGCCAGCCGCCTTGCCCCGACCCGTGTCCTCACCGGACCACGGCGTGGGCTGGGGGCCTTTCGGAGGGAGCCCAGGGCCCAGGCCCGCCATCCTGCCCCCGCCAACGGCAAGCACAGGGATCCCCTTCTGGCATCCCCATCAGAAGGGGAGACCCCCCGGGACGGGCAGGGAGGTCACGGGGAGGAGGCGCTGTCGGCAGCCAGGGAGCGAGGCCTCCAAAGAAGCCAGGCCCGCAGACACCGTGACCCTGGACTCCCAGCCTCCCGGACCCTGGGAGCGTGTCTGTGGCCCTCCCTGTAGCCGCCCCAGCACACACACACCTGCTGGCTCGGTTTTAAGCTCCCGGGGCGACAGGCACCCCGCCCCGGAGCCTCAGGCCCCCTCGCAGGGCAGTAAGGGCTCCCAGCCGCTGCGCCCAGCTCACCGGCTGGCGTTCCTCCAGGTGGGGCTCCCCGCCAGGAGCAGCGTTCTGTTGTCCACGCGGACGCCGTGCAGGGCGTAGCCCAGCCAGGCGAAGTCCTCCTCGCCCCTCACCAGCCAGTCGGCCGCCTCCGCAGCCAGGCTTCCTGCACAGGACGGGCGACCGCTCAGCCGGCCCCTCCCCACCCTTCCCGGGGCCTCACAGGTCCCGTAAGGGGTCTCTAGGGCTCGCTTCTGGGGTGCGGGGTGCTGCCGAGAGGCCTGTCTTGGGCGCTGAATGCGTCCCGGGTGCTGGGGTCCCTGCACTGCCGGTGGGAGACAGAGAAGGGCCTGGACCCAGAAGCCGGGGCCGCTCCCCAAACTGACTCTAATCTCACCCTGTCACCTGAGGACACCTGTAGGGGTGGGAGGCTGCCAGGAAATCTGGGCGGAGGGACACCAGGAAGAGAGGAGACGCAGACGTCCCAGCAACCAGAGCCGGGAGGCCGCGGCCCCAGCAAACTCTACCTCCGTCTCTGCGGCCAGGGCTGGAGTAAAAGGCAGCCACCATGCCCCTCTGCTTCCCTCCGCCCGGCGCGAAGGGCGAGCCCGCCACCAGGTCGGGCTCGCCATCCCCATTCAGGTCGGCGGCCAGCAGCGTCCAGCCCAGGTTGCAGTACGTGGCCTGGGGAAACAGAGACCACGTGTGCTCGCCTGGAGCAGCCGGGCCGAGTCCCGGTGCCGGCGCCTGGCTGGGGGACAACGTACCTGGCAAGAGATGGTGACGTTGGGGGACGGCGACATTCTTCCCTCTCTGGAGCCGAAGTAGACGTACACGGCGCCCTGGGCGGGGACAAACCCGGAGGCCGCGAGGCTGGTGCGCCCCGAACGAGACGCCCTCGGGCAGCCGCGCAGGCTGACAAGCCCGGTGCCTGGACGCTGGGTGGCAGCGGCTCGTTCCGCGCTTCTGTGTCTGCACCATGAGGCCCCGGCCCCGAGGCAGAGGTGCATCCACCGGCGCCGCCCCAAGGGTCCTGCGCTGGAGCTCTGGGGAGGCCTTGCCTCCCCCGACGGCCCCCACGGCCCCCTCAACCGCCTCAGGCTCTGGCTCCACCCCTCGCGCCTTGGATAGAAGCCTCCGCGTGGGGGCCACAGGCGGGGCCACAGGCGGGGCCACATGGGGGGGCCAAGACCTATCCCTGTCTCCGCCCCGTGCACCTGCTTCCCATCAGGAGCAGTGACATGACCCCGCCCTCCCGAAAAGCTGGCAGAGGGCCATCTGGACTCCGCAACAGGAAGCGGCTGCGACAGGTGCGAGCCCAGGTGTGAGGACGGCCAAGGGCCCCACCCCGAGTCACACGATGGCGCCCGGACGAGACGTGCCGTCACTCCTGACGGGTCGGGAGCTGGCACGTTCATGGGTTGAGACGGAGAGTGAGGCGGGCCCAGGTCTGTGCCCCGCAGGACAGCTCCCCGAGTGCCCGCTGCTGAGGTGACAGGGAGCTGCGACTCCCTGGAGCTCGTCACCTCCACGCCATTCATCTCCCGGGGCGGGCGGGCGGCGTACGTGCTGGGCACGGGGCACCGCGAGGCCGGCCTGAGGCCAGGGAGGCGGGGGCAGCTGCCACCAGGCAACCGAGGCCGTGGCAGGGACCCAAAGCAGGGCCTGAGGTCCCCGACCCCAGCTGTGGCCGGGCCCCTGCCCGCTGCCTGCGGAGGCCCCGTCCAGCACGGCCGCCCTGGGGCTTTTCCCGCCCGCCGCCCCCCTTCCTCCCCGCCTTACTTTGTAGCTGAGCTGCTCCGAGCCCACCGAGGGGGCGCCCACGGCCAGGTCGAGCGCGCCGTCCTTGTTGAAGTCCAGCACGGCCAAGGCCGAGCCGAAGCGGCCTGCGGGCTGCAGAGACACAGTCACCCCGGGGCTGAGCCGCAGCTCAGGCAGCACCGCCGGGCTCCTGGGAGGGGACGGGCCTAGGCCGCTGTCACCGGGGGCCTGGGAGCGGAAGGGTGGCGTCCCACACGGAGTGCACCCACGACACGCGGCTGCTGCACCCATGCTTCCCCCACGCCGAGCCGGCAGGCCCCGCGGACGTCCCCGGGGAGCCCTCTGGGCTCCTGGCGCTCCCCAGAGCGGCCACACCACCCCGGGCGGACGCCTGTACTGTCTCCTGAGAAGTCTGTGGTGTGACCGACCCTCAAAGCAACGGGTCCCGCAGAGAGTCCGAGGGTGGCTGGCGGCGACCGGCCAGCGCCGGCTTCCGTTCTGACGAGTATCTAAACCCCGCGAGGAGTGGGCGGGGGACGCGCCGCTTCAACTCCTCTGAGCTACTACTAAAGCTCTTACAAAATAAGACAGTTGCATAAAAAAAACAGAAGGTGGTTTCCTATTACCAAGAAACCACAGCCTCGCTGGCCACTCAAAGCACTTCTGAGTCGCGTGTGTTCGGAAGGTGGCAGCCTGGGCCTCGGCGGTCGCACGACAGCAGCGATGTGCACGCGCCTTTCGTGGGAAGCGCCGCACGGCGTTCCCCGGCTGTCCCTCTCGCTGTCCTTGCTGTCACGCCTCGCCCCGGGGCGCCCACTGGAGAGGCAGGCCGCGGCGACTGACCTGGGCGCCCTCCAGGACGCCGTGGGCCTCCTTGTCCAGGTCCAGGTCGAGGGGGGGCAGGCCCAGGTCGTTGCCGTAGATGAGGTACACGCGCCCCACATGGACGTGGCCAGGGCGGCTGTAGCCCGGGGCGCCCACCACCAGGTCGCCATGCCCGTCCTGGTTGAGGTCGGCCGAGGTCATGGCCCTGCAGGGAAAAAGAGGACCCGCTGCAGCGTCCCCAGTGAGGCGGCCTCGTCCTCCTGTCTCGGGTCCGGCGCACGAGCCCCGCTCACGGGTTCCCCGCCCGGCCCGGCCGCTGGGAGCGGTCATGTCTGAGGTTATGCCATGCGCGTGATCCAGCCCTGCCTGCCAAGGGAAAACCGCCGACTGACCGACCGACAGACCACAACGCTAGACAAGCCAAGGCCTCACCGCACCCCCGCCCCCGGCAGCACATCCTGCCACGGCCCCGGCTGCGTCCTGGGCGGCTCGGCTCTGGCCGGTCCGTCCTGATGGGAGACTAGCTGTGGGGAGCGGCCCTTTACGTCCAGCCCCACTGAAAGGCTGCCCAGAGCCGGGGCAGACGCTGTCCCACATTCGGCCTTCGTAAACAAGGCTCTGACCAGAATGCCTCTGTTGGCCTGGAAACACCAGGAGCCAGTCAGCCGCGTCCTAGTTCGCCTGCCGCACAGGGACCCTGCCGCTCCCTGCGTCCTGGAGGCGGGACAGGGGCCAGCAATGCCGGGAAGGGGCCGCCCCCACCCCCACGGTGGCCGCCAGCCCAGCCCAGCGGGAAGGCACCACTTTGCCAAGAAATGCCCAGGCACTTCTTTTGGAACTTTCCAGAAGGCCACCACTGTCCGCAAAAAGAGCCAGCATCACCAGCCACTCCCGGGGCAGACACGGGAGGGACCCCAAAAGGAAATGCAATGTCACTTGACATAACAGGTGCCATTTAAAGGAGGCATTTCAAACCCTGCAGAAAGCTGTCCCTATCAGGTCCTTGGGCTCCGTGGGTGTTCGTAGTCGGCGAGCCCCTCGCGCCCTCTGCGCGGCCGCCGTGGTGCGCTCGCTGCGCCCGGGGAGGCTCCGCTGTCCCAAGCGCCACCCCGCTGCCTGCCTTTCTCCCTCTGACGGCATCGTCCCCCCACGCCGGCAACCCGTGCCCCTCAGGACACGGACACTTGCCGTCACGGCGTAACGCCTCCAGGGCCGGGGCTGTCCTGGAGTCCCGCGCACCTTGACGGATGTGCAGGAGGTGGTGGTATCTGGGCAGTAACTGAACCAAGGGAACGGTTCCATGGACTGGAAAACAGGTGCCACGCACGGCATCTGTCAAATGGCACAGTGAACTAGACTCGCACCTACCAGCCAAGCCTCGCGTAGGGACGTGACAGGAAGTAAGACGCCAGGGGGCTGGACACGTGTTTCGGGGGCCGCTGGGAGCTGCCTGTGAAGATGGTCCGCAGGTTCCTCTCCAAAGTCTTGTACACGAAGGACAGGGAGTCCTGGAGCAGAGGCCCGACGGGCGGGTGAGGACGCCACCCTCCAGCCACCTGCCCGCCAGCCGCGCCCCGGCCCCGCCCACGCCCTGGACAGACGTGCTCAGGAAATGCGTTTCCCCAGGCGCTAAAGACGATGCTGTCAGCGCCTGTCACCACGTGAGATCGCCCGGGACAGGGAGTGAGGAGTGACCGCAGCCCCTACGGGCGCTGAGCGAGGGCCGTTACAGCCCTGGCGTTGGGCCAGCGGCGAGGGGTTTGCGTGACTTGACCCCGATCCCTGAGTCAGGACGGTCTGCCCCGGTTTGCAGGAGGGAAGCCAACAAAACCATGTTTTACAGACTAACGGTGTCTCAAAAGACCAGTACGTTCCATCCGGAACTGTAATTGCATTTGCATACACATATCCTTTTATGTGATAGAATTTGGGGGGCAAGCTCCCCACCTTGCAATGCTGAACTGTTCTTCACGTGGTCACTGCAGAGACGCAGATGGAGGCTGGAGTGGTGGAGGACTGGGGCCACCCAAGCTCAGGGGACACAGCTCTGCGCCCACCCAGGGGTGACCCGAGGCCCATGGGAGCCCGGCAGCCCCGAGCCGCCGGCTCAGAGCCAGGGCGGCGCAGCGACAGTGCAGGGGTGCGGGCGCACCTGTATCTCCACGCCACGCCCCCGGACGGGAGCCGCTCAGCCCGACTCTGGCCCCGGTTCACTGGGAGGCTGTCTCCAGGCCCCCCATGGGCCTCAGGAAGACATGGTCCTTTCCCTCCCACAACTTCCCTGTCAGCAAAGGGGGAAGACCCGAAACACGGCGAGACCACAGGGCATGTGCTTCGACGGCGGCCCCGGGTCGGGTCGGGTCGGGTCGGGGACTGGCTACGTGATGCGCAGAGCCCACTGCAACACGCAAGCGCGGCGTGGCAGGTCACGGATGTTAGGGCGGGGCCGTTGGAGCCTTAAACCAAGGACCGGCTGGGGAGGCGTGGCTCCTGGCAGCTGAGTGAGGCGCAGGCGCTGCGCCCCGACTGCCTGCCGCCTTCTCCCAGCGGGGGGCGCGCCTGGCGCCGTTCCTGTCCGCCGCCTCCGCACCTTCCCGCCGCCTCCGCACCTTCCCGCCGCCTCCGCACCTTCCCGCCATCCCAGGGTACCCTGTGCTCCAGGCGAGCGAGACCACTCCGGTTCCCGAAATCCTGAAACTTTCCCCACCCACTGCCGGAAATCCACGCTCGCTGAGGAAAAGCTACCTACCATTCACGGCCTACCTCAAAGGCCACCTCCTCCATGAAGCCGCCTCAGACAGCAGGATGCAGTGTTCATCTTAGAGGCCAAGTAGCGCCCCCCCGCCCAGTCCCGTATGGTCACTTCTGTATTTACCAGCCCTGGTAGACGGAAGCCGTCTGAGGGTCAGAGACTATTTCCCTTTCCTGTCGTCCCCCCGGACAGTCTGTCACCTACAGACGGCCTCGCGCATGGCTGTCAGGCACACCGAGCGTCCCTCGGCAGGGCGCGCTGCAAGGGAGCCTGCCATGCTGCCGGCGCACTTCCCAGGAGGGACAAACCAGGACTGGCCCAGGGTCACCTAGGGCTCCACCGGGCCTGCCCAAGGCCCCAGGTCCGGACTCACTTCTCAGGACGCTCCACAGACCGGTGTGGAGGCCGAGGGTCCGCTGGCCCGGCGCGCGCGCCCGGGCACTCCGAGAACGACCACAGCGCCAGACGCCTCAGAGCCGGGGACCACAGGGAGCCCCGGGGGCCCCTTCTCTGTGGAAAGCGGGAGCTTCTTACCGAGGTCCAGGAGTCCACACTGAAGACCACCCCTCGCTTGGTGTGCTTTATATTTTTCCTGCTCTCCTTAGTCAGGGACGCAGTCAGATTTCTATGGAAGTCATTTTTTTGTGCTTTTGAGTTACTGGAGAGAAAAACAGAATCGTTAAGACAAAGAACTGAGTTGAAGACTGACATCCAGTTCGTCACATGGGAAAAGTCCAAAGAGTCTTAACTCCTGAAAGTTGAAGGAACAGCAACACAAAGGAACAACATTTTAGAAAAACCTTCCTGGAAGATTCCACAAAACCTTCTTACAAAGTGTCTCTTACAGCCGCAAAGGTCTAGCAGAAGAGGTCTGGACTCCTTCCAGATTAGGGAAGAAAGCCAAGGTGTCTCAGGATTTCACACACGGTCAAGACCTCGGTCTACAGCTGCCGGGGCACTGACACGTGGGCGCGGGCTGATCGGCATCCACGGGCCAGGACTCTCCGGTAAAGAACACTTTCACGTGTGTGCATTTCAACCGGCCCACAGCCAGATGCCTCGAGGAGCTGGACAGACCCTGGAACGACCGAAGTGGGAGCCGGCGGCGGAAACCCCGAAGGGCCCCTGTGAGGCCCGGGCTGGACGCGGGCTGGACGCGGGCGGGCAGTCGTGAGCCCGGTGTGGAGGCACACAGCCGACCCCAGCCGACCCCAAGCCCACAGAACCGCGGGGCCTTGCCGAGCCGCCCCTGCCGCCTTCAGCCTCCTCGAAGGGCCAGGCTGTGCCCCAGAGCCACGCCGGCAAGGCCGTCTGCTGAGCACCGGCTCCTGTGCCCTGGACTCTCTTGGCCTGACACACGTCGCCAGACCCCCCATGTCTGGGTAAGGACACGCGTGGCCATTGCCAGAGCACCCGGCACTGGTCCCGTCACACAGAGGGTTTGGGGCCCCCTCAGCCAGGGCGGCCAGGAGCGGCGCCCCGCCTTGTTCCCCACGAGCACGCCAAGCCTCGACCAGGACCCTCCCGGTCCGCGAACCCCGCCCGGCCTCGGTGCGGCCGCCGTGCGCTGGGCTCTGCCCTCGGGGGCCACGCGGCTCCAGTCGCCCCGTCTGCTCTCCTCCTCTCGCTGCCATCATTCCCCCGGCCTGTACCAACCACGTGTCCCCAAGGACACCGACACTGTTAGGACGCCGGCGCCCGAGCCTGGCGAGGCACCGGTCCCAGCACATGCCAGGGGCGCTGGCTGCCGCAGGCCCGGCCTCCCTGGCTCTCTTCAGTGTCAAATCTGGGTCAAGGTCACGAGTGAGGACAGTTAGGGTGACAGCAAGGACACCGTCGACTGCCGGGGACGGCTTACCCATGCGCTCACGACCGAGTACCCGGCTCTCCTGCGCGACCCGTGCCCACCCCAGCTTTCAGCGACCTGCTCAGTCACCCGGCTGTGGCGTCTGAGCTGCTGTCTGTCTGTCCGTCCGTCCGTCCGTCCGCAATCACCTTCTCCCGTCCACCGGGCCCCCTCCGGGGGGGCTCCCGACTTTGCGGCCCTTCCTGAGAGCACTCACCTCTGCGTCCTGCCCTGCTGGCCGCCGCAGGCGATGAACAGCGGGTTCTCGGGCAGGTGGCAGTCCCTGGGGACACAGTTACCCGAGTCAGGCGTTTCTGCCCGATCTCCAGATGGGGCGGCCGAGCCGACTGAGGGGTCTTGCGGGGACACGGGCGGCCCCGCACCACGGTCGCCCGGGCTGAGCTGCCCCGTCCCTGCCCGCACGGCGGAGCCGCCTCGGACTCGGGTGCGGGGCCTGGGACTGGAGGAGCCTGGCAGGGGCGGGCGAGCAGGGCCAGGGGCTGGGCAGGAGGAGGGGCGGCGCCTGCGGCAAACGCGTCCTGAACGGCCGAGGGGCGGCTGTCCCCCATCCCGTCCTCCGCCCTCACGGCCCAGCGGGACCCGGCAGGGGCTCCGGGGTGAGCGAGGTCTGGCCGGAGCCCGAGCGCCGCCGGCTCACTGCCTCCTCAGGAAACCGTGTCCTTCCAGCAACGCCGGTCGGCTCTGGAAGGCGACCTATTCCCAGCGCCTGTGACGTGCGACACGGCCGTGCTTCCTGTGTGTCACACAGGTGTGTGTCTGTCTGCATCCTTCTCCAACCTCCCCATAGAGGTCCACAAATTCTGCTGGATATTTGCGTGTGCAGTAAAATGCAAGCAGTTTATGAGATTTTCTGCCTTGATGAGGTCAGGACGAGGGCCCAGAGGCAGACACCTGTTCCTTCTCACTCATTTACTCCTAAGTAAAAAAACAAGGTCTGGCCACGAGTCTCCTGAGCATTTGGACCATCGAACCAAAAGCAACCAGCAGAACCGCGCTCCCGTTTGGGGGCCGTCACACTGGGGGGCCGTCACACTGGGGGGCTTCACAGGACAGGTAGCGCAGGGCACCGCCCTCCCGGGGCCACGCACCCTGGAAACCCTCCCACGTCACCTGAAGCCCCTCTCGCAGCGACGCCGGAGCCGGAGCCCGAGGCCGTGCTCACGGTGCCCCCTTCCCCCGCGGCCCCGCTCACTGAGGACACACCCAGAGCCTGGGGGGCTCAGCCGTGGCAGAAGGCGCGTCACGGGCCACTCCCTCGAACCCCAAAACGCATCCCCCACCACTTGTGTGCACCTGAAAACCCAGGGCCTCGAGATTTTACCTGAAGTTTCTTTCACTCTTAAAAATGACACTGGTCATGGACTGTCTGTCCTGCCCGGACGAGAGTCACCGAGCACTCGCGGGGCCCACGCCGCGTTTGTCGTGCCAGGGGACTTCGTTTCGAATCCCCACAGAACACGCTCAGGGGTGACGTGGCTTGAATCCTCACCGTGTTTAAGGGCAAAGGAGCGTCTTTAGGGCGTGGCCTTCCAGAGCTGCACCAGCGCAGGCCACTGCGACGCGCGAACCCCGACCCTGCCAGCTCCTTCTGGGAACAGCCGCTGGGGCGCCCCCCCGGCCCCCCCCCGCCCCGTCACCGCGGACCCCCGCTGCCACGGTCACAGCTCACGTTGCCTGCCTGGCCCTCCCCGCCTCCAGGGCTGCCCTCGCCGTGCCCTGGCCAGGCCCACACGGCCGCCAGCGCAGGTCGGCCGCACAGGAGGGGCTGCAAACTCCGCGCCACCTGGAACCGTGCACCCGCCCCCCCCCCCCCCCCCCCGCCCATGGGGCGCAGGCTCTGTGAGAGCGGGAGGTCTCCTGCTGGCTGAGTCTCTGGCTCGCGCTCACCCAGGGCATGCTGGGAAGGGCAAGAAAGGGGCTGGCGGGTGACCAGCTGCCCCACCTGGGCTACCTGCCAAGTCCCAGCAGAAGCCTGTGCTCTCCCGCGCGCTGGCTACTGCCCTGTGGACGGCGGGGCCGGGCGACGCTCCCTCGGCGACCCTCAAGCCCGGAGAGGCAGGCAGGAGGGGGAGGGGTGGGCGCCGAGCTGCTGCTCGAGACCACAGGCTCTGCGACCTCTGCCTCTCGACCCCTAACACTCGAGGGACCAGGGACGCCAGCAAGCCTAACCCCAGGGGGCGAGCCGAGCTCTGGCTCCTTCGCACGAGGGCAGGACAAGCACTTCACACGCTGCCGCCCCCACTGCTCAGCAGAGAAGCCCGGCAGTGCCGCTGGGGGCGGGGGTGCGGGGCGACCGCAGTCGGGAGAGGGCGCAGCAGCCACTGACCCGGTCCCGTTCTCCAGCATGTAGCTGGTCAGGCGGTAGACGTTGGTGGACCAGTAGGCCATGTCGTCCAGCCCGCCAAGGAAGTATTCTTGGAACTGCTCCACCAGAAACGGGGACTTCCTGGAGTAAGTGGGGTACAGCTGCGGCGGAGACAAGGAAAGCAGACACGCAAAGGCCTCAGGGCTTCTCCCGGGAGGCCGATGCCCGTCCCGCGCAGGCTCCGAGGGCCAACGCCCGTACCTTGGAAACAGCCAGCACCTCGCCGTACCTGCAACACAACGACAGTGCGGGCCGTGAGTTGTGGTTTCCACAGAGAACGAAGCAAAGGACGAGGACCAGCTCCCCCACGTGCACCCCGCTCCCGGCGCCGCCCGAAGCCGCGAGCTCCATGGGGCCCGCCCCCTCCCGGACCCCGGGCCGCCAGGGCGCCCCGACAAGCGGCTGCACGCCCTTGGCCGCACTCACATCTCCAGGAACTGGAGGTAGGAGCAGTCCACGATGGCCTCCCTGCTGATGGACGCCTGGCCGTAGAGCTCCTTGTAGATCCCCAGGAGGTCTTCGACGGGCACGTACCTGAGGGGGGCAGCAGGCCAGGGGCGCGTTGCGGGGCGTGGCGGCCAGTCACCCCACGCTCAGCGGGGGCCGGAGCCTCGCCCACGGCGTCCCCGGAGATCTGCGTCTGCCCTGCGACGGCCCCCGCAGAGAGGATGCGGGGTGGGGGGGGCCGCCCCAAGCAGCCCCGGGGCGCGGACACCGCAGAGGTGTCCTCTGGGGAGCGATGGGCAGCATTTCCGTTCCCTCCAGCTGCGTTAGCCTCCAGACCGATGACTGTAAAGACGCCCAAAATGGCCTCGCACGGGGACGGGCGGCGAAAGGGCTCCCGGCCGGGCTGTCTCGAGCGCAGACACGCGCCACTTCCGTGGGGGGAGGGCCGCGCCTCACGGCCACCACAGACCTGCCCGGAGGCGCCTTTCGCCTCCATCCCGCAGGCCTGGGACCGGCCGTCCCCCCAGCAGAGCCAGTTTCAGCACAGCCCGGCCGAGGTCCAGGTTTTATTTTCGCCAGAGCACAGGGCGGTCCTTCCAATGAAAACAGCTAAAGGCTGGACAAAATAACACACGCTTTTCTGCGTGAATCGCCCTGCTGGCAAGAAAGTGAAAAATTTCCACAGACCCAAACGAAGCGAACCTGGAAACTCTGAGGGAGGCGAGGGGGAGGGCCAGCGGCCGCCACACCCGGGACCCAGCAGCAATTCGAGGGCCGCAGGGCGGGCGGGGAGGCACCCGCCGGGCGGTCCGGAGGCCGCCTCTGAACCTGCCCCTCCCGCGTGAGTGCGGGCCAGGAAGGGGCCCACACACGGGCACGGCCGCGAGAGACCGCCTGCGCTCGCCCGGCAAGGCGGGGGCCGCCCGGGCCCCAGGGAGACTGCCAAGGCCGAGTGGAACCTGACGTGGCCCCAGGTCGGAAGGGGCCAAGGCCGGCCCCTCCGCAGGATCAGCCACCACCCGGCCTCCAGGGACGGCGCCGCGGCACAGGACCGCAGCGGGACCGGCCGGCCACGCGCCATTGGAAGCGACGAGGGGTCCAGCGCGGACGGCCCCCTCAGGCCGCTGCTGTCCCCGCGTCTTCCCTGGGACACCCAAGGTCAGTCGGCCTCGGGTGCCTGAGAGTGACTCGTTGGCCCCGGGCCTCCCTATTCACAGGCAGCGGACCGGGGCAGGCGTGGGCGCCGGCCTCGCCCAGAGCTGTCCCTTCCTTGGGCCCTGCAGGCGCCGCTGCCGCCTGGCCCCAGCCTCGGGGACAGACCACGGGACCGCTGATAGCTTAGCCAACATTCAAAGAAAACAAACACAACACCAGGCAACCGCGGAGCAGCCACCATAGAACTCCCGGAGAGGCTGGCGAGGGGCCCACGAGCGTTGTTAGCGGTGAGGTCGCCGCAGCGGTAGGAGGGCTCGGTTTGCCCGAAGAGACGCAGTTTTGAAACCTGAATGTTCCTAACAACATACCTTCAAGCTCGTATGTAGCAAAATGACAGAATTACAAGGAGAAATGAAAAAAAGTCCACATCATCGGGAGGTTTTTTAAAACAAATTTCTCTCTGTAATTGTTCCATGGGCCTGACTGAAAACAGTGCGGCCACCTGGCCTGTGGCTCCTCAGACACAGGACAACCTGGGGCTTCAACCGGGCGGCGGCCCCATGCCCTCTTCCTATCTTTTATCTACAAATACACATTCTTTTCCACGTCTGCTATAATTCACGCATTTTTTTAAAGAATTTACTTACACTATTCTAATCTGCAGTTTCATTTTTCAAGATTTACAAGCAGAAGACCCCAGGACGTTGTAAGCTCCACGTTCTAGGAGAGAAGGGGTCAAGGCCCGAAGGCCACATGGCGCTCGCGGCCCGGCCCGGACGCACGCCGCTCTTACCAGTGCCGCGAGAGGTAATTGAAGTTAAACTCGAACTGGCTCAGCACGTCGCCGCCTGCGGGGACAAGAGCAATGACAGGGGCGGGTCAGGGACCGTGTGGAGCGGGCCTCCTTCAACCCAAGTTTGCGCAGCGTCAACTTTGTTCCTGACATCGCTACGGGCTTCTGTGCCCTGTTTTAGGGACAAGCATGTCTTTAAGAAAACTGATCTTTTAAAATCTTCGCTAGTGAAGCATGAATTAAGGACAAAAAAAAGTCACCCACGTAACCAAAATTTTCCGCTTTAAGATGGACCACAAGCATTCTTTCAGGGAAACGCCACTCACCACCTTGTGCACATATTTAAGGGTAATGTACTACAGAAAAAAAGATGACATTTATCAATTTAAAGCTAGTGTATTAGTAGACACTAGGTCATAAGTTTATCTGATATAAAAGTAAAGTATCTCCCGGCTGGTGTGGCTCCGTGGATTGAGCACCAGCCTGTGAACCAAAGGGTCGCTGGTTCGATTCCCAGTCAGGGCACAGGCCTGGGTTGCGGGCCAGGTCCCCAGTAGGGGGCGCGTGAGAGGCAACCACACATTGATAATTCTCTCCCTCTTTCTCCCTCCCTTCCCCTCGCTCTAAAAATAAAATCTTTAAAAACATAAGTGAGAGTAAAGTGTCTCCAAAGTTACAACACAAATCAATAATGTGATTTTTTTTTTTTTTTTTAACAAATACAAGAAACGCCATATGCACAGCTTTTTGGAAGGACAGCTCCGTTAGATGCCCGCACTCGAGGCGAGCAGCCCCCCTGAAGTAGCAGGCAGTATGTGCTACCAGCAAGGCAGGATAAAACACACACAGATAAGTACAGCAGTGACTTCATCACACATAAAACACAAGCCCCACAAAAGAAAGTTTGGCAAATGCAAATAAACCGTACCGAAGTCCCCGGCCGAGTGCGCGTCGGAGTAGGAGCCGTGGAAGTCGATCTGAGGAGGGAAGAGGCCTCTGAGTGCTGCGAGGGTGGCCGGGCTCCCACCCCCCAGAGCCGGGCTGCGGCGGCTGCACAGCGCACGGCTCGACACTCAGAGGGATGTCGAGCTTCCCGTATTTTATCTGTTACCAGCAACGATGCTGGCAGCTGAGCCATGCGCTTAGCGCCTGGCAACAGAACAGGCGCCGCGCGCGCACGTCCGGTCAGGCTCCCACGCCGCCCCCGCCCCCGCCCCCCAGCCCACGGTTACGCTCCTCGCAGAGCCGCGCCAGCACGGACGCGCGAGCACGGGACCCCAGGAGCCACGTCACCCGTTAGATGACAATGTCCCCTGGGGGGTATGGCATTTTCATAGAGGAAATTAAAAAGAAAAACAAAGTCCCAAGCACGTGGAACTATTACTTTTAAACAGAGCCAAGTAGCAGATACTCCTATCCTTATTAAGATACGCCGCTTGAATAAGTCACAAAATTTCTCAAATAGTGTTTGTGACAAGGGACACAGCACACCCGTGGCGATTTTCCGTGCACATCAGTCACTCTGCTCCCGTGGACAAGTGTCCCCAAGAAGCGAGGACGGAAGGTGGAAACCTAGCAAATACACTGTAGGCGGGAAGTCTTATTTCCACGTGACATGGAACAACCTGAAGCTTCCCTTTCCTTGGGAAGGGTCGCTTTGCGATCTCGGGTTTGGCGGGTACTCACGGCTGCCATGGTCCTCAGGAACCCCTGCTCGATGCCCAGGCTGTGCCAGCTGACGTCTGCCACCATGTGAGACGTGACTCCAAACAGGAAGGCGACCAGCTTCTCTGTGTCCTGCCAAGCAAGCAAACCACAGTCTGGCGCTCTGGTTATGCCACAGCAACCCTGTAAGACGTCGTAACAAACCTGAACTCCTCTCCGTTATTGACCCTTAACAAAGAGTCAGTGTCTAGTTCCAAAAACCACAGGACTAGGCAGCATGTTTGGGAAGTGCTTTCAGATTACTTAGTATCGGGGCAAAATGACCAGGTGGCACCCCCAGCCTTTGGAAGGAACTGCTTCCAGCGCTGATGAGCCGCCTGCGGCCCCATGGGCTGTGTCCGGCGCAGAAGGCCCGGTGGCGAGGGACCTCGCCGGGGCGGCTTCCAGGGGAGGTGGCGCAGCTGCGAGAGGACTTGGGTTTCCAGGACGCGAGGGCCGGCCTACCTTCTCCCAGGGACGGGGGTAGTTCTCCCGGATGTAGTGAACGCTGGCGTTGAGGAAGGGGGTCCAGTGGGTACGCTCGGACACCTCGTGGAATCGCCCTGAGGGGAGAAGCCACGCTCAGGATTCCTTGAGGAGGAGATTCTGAATCAGATCCTCCACACTCACCCGGTTTTCCTAGCGAGAACGCTCCCAGTCCGGCGTGCGGAACCCGGTACTCACCCGGGATCCGGGCAGAGCCCTCGGGACGCACCTTCCCTAACTGGCAGGGGGCCTCACCCCAGCGCCCTGCTCCCTGGCGGCGGGGCAGCTGGGCCGCTCTGCGCTGCTGAAGACCCTGGTCCTTGTCATTGTAATTATACAATTTTATTCAGTATTGGGTGAACCGAGGAAATATGAGTACAGAAACAAAGTTGATTTCTTGGCAACTAAGTATCTAAGAAAGTGCTTTGGAAAGATACAATAAGAGTGAATCATCAAAGAAAAATGAAACTCCTGTTGAAGTAGATGAGGCAGAGGTAAGATCTGGAAAAAATCCATAAAAATCTAAGAGAACTCTGCATTTGAATTGCTTATAATTGTGGTATATTTTACGCTTCTTTCTGACTGCCTGTGGGTCCGTCTGTCCCGTGCTGGCCCCGTCTTTACAGCAGGTGGGAGGGCGTGTGTTTATATAAAAAAGGAAAACGCTGGATGATCTTCCTTCCCCTCTGCTCAGAACCTTTCCTGTCTGCCCGTATCTAATCGGCATTTTATTAAGTAATAGCTCTTAGGTTTAAATGACCAAAATCCTTCTTTGCTTTGCGAGGCGCGGTATCAAGGGATGCGGCAGTGTCAGGAGACAGCAGCGTCCCCCACGCAGCCGGGGGACGGCCGGGCCGGGGAGCACGGGCGCAGGGACGGGGGACGGCAGCTCACAGGCTGACAGGGGAACCGCAAAGCCCCTGCAAGTGAGAGCCCCGGCAGGGCCCCGGCGGCCGGGCGAGGGGCCTGAGCGCCCGCCGGTCCTGAAGCCCCCCGACCGGTGGACACGGGAGGAAGGCTGGTGGCCCCCAGACCCCGCAAATGCTCGCACGGCGATCCGGCGGGCCGGGTCTCTCGTTCGTGCCCCAGGCCCACTCCCTGCCCCGTCTGCCCTGTGCTGGGCCTCCCAGGCGACCCGCTCCCGGGGCTGTCTGTGCCCCGGCTCCCATCGCCGGGTTCGCCAGCCTCTGGACGGAAGAGGAGGGGCCGAGAGGCTGGGGACCAACTCTCCCAGCTCCTGCCACTGGGGCCTGGGGCGGGGGGTGGTGACCGTGACCGAAGGCCCCACCCCTCAGGGGTCCTTCTCCCAGGGGCCTCCCCGGCACCGTCCTGCCGTTGCCGACCGCCCCGTCCGCCCCTGTGGAGCCCACGGCTCGTGTCACAACCCTGACGGGACCCTGTTTGTGTGACCTCCTGTGCCCTGCGGGGGCCGTGACGGACACCACGCATGATCTGACTGGGGCTTGGCGTGACGTGGGACAAAGCGGCCTGCACCCACGCGGACACCACCCAGCTCCGCCGAGGCAGCGCTGCAGGCGTGGAAGCGACTCTGCAGGTCACCAGCTGACAGACGCTTCCAAGGTCAGCGGCTCCCGGGCAACTCAGAAGCAACGGCGGAGGCCTCCGCTCGCTTCCCGGGTGCTCCCGCTCCTGCCGCCCGCGGCGAGGCGTGCGTCTGCGCGGGAGCAGCAGGTGCTTGTTGCACGGCCACGGCCACGGCCACGCGGGGACCGAGCTGTGGACGCCCGGCCACAGGAAACGCAACCGCTTGTCTCCGGCCGAGCGATCCTGCCGCAGCTCACCTCTCTCGCAGATGCTGGGGTAGAAGGCGTCCGGGAACACGGTTCCGGCCTGGTACGCGTCCCGGTGCTCGAGCAGCAGCTGGGGAGCAGGAGACACAGAGGTGAGGGGGACGTGGCACCTTCCGGGCGGGAGGCGGGACAGCGGGGGCGGGCGGTGGGAGTAAGAGTGAAATTCCCGTGTAACCCTGCACGGCGCCTGCAGCGTGCGGCCTCCGGTCCTTTCCTCCTGAACACACAGCCCTCCCCCCCGCCCCCCGCCCCGCCACCTGCTGAGGCGCGAAGGCAGGCGGGGTGGGACGTCCTCCTCCCGGGGCCCCCAGGAGGCGCCGGCGCCCCCGCCGGAGGCGATGCAGCCAAAGGGGGGCCCGGCCTGCACCGCTGCGTCCTGCTCCCCAGCTGCCCCTGGTTCGCACCGAGGCCCTGAGGGCGTCTTCCCAGGGCATGGGCGTGGCGGCTGTCCCCGCTGGGGTCAGGGGAGGCCGCCTGCGCCCTGACCTCAGCAGAGGCTGATCGCTGCCCTCTGTGGCCAGGGGTGGGGGGAAAGGGGGCCCTGACTTCTACCCCAGTTGGCAGTTAGTGGGCGTGTCCCCCACCCGTTCCCTTGCTGAAGTCGTGCCATGAGAAGCCATCTGAATCGGAAGGTTTAAGAAAGACCCAGAGCCTCAGAGCCTAACCCCCAGGTTCCGGTCACACCAGGAGCCAGGGGGTCCCAAAAAGAATGAGCAGCCGGCAGGCAGGTGCGGCCTGTGAGCCTCTGACACCCGAGGGCCCGATGAGCCTCTGGGCAGGCTCGCCTGCTGCAGGCGGCCGCAGCGGGCGGGGGCGGGGGCGGGGGCTGCGAGGAGGCCTGAGCCGAAGCGCTAGACAAAATGTGACGGCTGAGATAACAATCAGCACCAGAAACGGCCCCAGCTGGCCCCGGTCCCTCCCCATATCTCACTTCCATGTTTTGCCACATTTCTACCAAAAATGCCTGCAGCAGAATCTAACCCAACAAACCACCAGGCGAAACCAAAATTAAGTTGTATAGAGTTATTGGCCCATACTTTTCCAAAATGTCAAGGTCACTAAAGACAGGTGGGCCCGAGGGAGGGACTGTCCCAGGTTAGAGGAGGTCAGAGGGCACGAACTACCGAAACAACAAACCAGACCCAGACCCAGGCCCTGGAGCCACGAGGGTCGTGAGACCGTGGGGCGGGGCTGCGGCCGGTCTGCCTGCAGCTCCGAAGTCCTGAACTGAGTGGTCGCAGCCACGCCCTTGTTTTCAGAACGCGTGCACGACAGCGTGGTAAAGGACAGCCCGGACCACGGCCCTCGCCAGCGGCTCTGGGAAGATGGATGCACAGCGAGAGGACCCAAAGGCGGCTGGGACAAGCCGTCAGCACCTGGGGACCTGCACAAAGGGCTTCCCAGGAGTGTCGATTCCAACTATCCGTTTTAAATTGGTCAAAAAAATAAAATAGGGAATTGGTTGAATAAATTATGGTACATTTCAGGTAACAGGAAAATAGGTCATTGTTTAAAACTATTCGGAAGCTCTTTATTGACATGGAAAGATATTTCTAATATAGAAAACGAAAAACAAGTTACAAAAAAGCGTGTAGAGTATAATCTCTTTTTGGAAAAGAAAAAAGTGCTCATAAATGCAGAAAAGCGCCTGGAAGTATAGAAAGCCAAATGTCAGCATCGGTTCTCTGAGAACTTCCCTCACGTCGAGTTATTGGTTTGGAATCAGCCACAACCTGTTCGCTGGGTGGGGAGGGCGGAGCAGGCGGGGAGCGAACCAGCCAGGTGAGCACAGGTTCTCGCTCCCTCGCCAACGCACATTCCACTGGTCCTTCGGACAGAGAGCGACTCCCGGGGTGATGGTGGCCACACATGGGAGGTCCGCTCGGCCCTTCCAGCCCCTGCACATTGACAAACCAGTTCCTCAGCCGTACATGCTGTTCCCGTATTAATCTGATCAGTGAGAGTCAAAGTCTCTACAGCAGACCAGGCACCTCTGGATGTTTTAACGAAAGAAAACCCCAGAGCTGACCAAACTCAGACCTGGAATGCGCAGAGGCGGCCGAGCACGGCCAGCCTGCGGGGGCCGCTGTGTGGCCGGCCAGCCCTTCTGGCCACTCCCCCACAGCACCTCCCGACGGTACCCACGAGCCAGAAGTCACCAAAGAGCAGGCTTTGGAGTGAGAAGAATCCATAAGGACTCCCACACATTTTTTTTTAAAAATCACCCATCTTTGGAAAGGGTGTGGGTGACAACGTTCTAAAAGGCAGAGTCACCTGAACTGCCTCCATAACTCGGAAGGGGACGGGTGGGTGCCCAGGGCCCACGGCACTGGCCGGGGACGACGTGGGCCGGACCATGCAGAGGGGCAGGCCCGGCCGTCTCATAAGGGGCACACCAGTGAGATGAGCGGGAGCCCCCCCGCAAGGGAACCGCGGGGCGCAGTCGGCGCGGAGCGCTCCGCGCCGTGAATCCGCGACCCTTGCTTCTCTCTCTCTTCTGCCCACGCTCTGTCGGCCTCAGAGACGACAATGAAAACAAATGCCACCTTTTGCTGGAGGGCAGTGACGCTGCCGAGCGGGGACGTCACAGCTGACAGCGGCAGCGGTTTTGGTCATGATGCCCCCCAGCTCTCCGCCCTGCACCGGCCAGACCTGCTGGTCACTGTGCGAGCCAATTCCGCAGGGAGAGGGAACGAACGTTAACCTCCCTCATCCAACATGAGAATTTAGGTGTCGTCCTTGTCCAAAGTATCGTTTGGCCACAGAACTAGAACAGCGGGGCGGGCCAGATGGCTCAGCCAACCCGGGGTGGGAAAGGCGAGCCCTGGCGTCGGCCCCGACCGGCAGGAGGGGCGGGAAGGCGCGCCTCCCGCGGCCCCCGGCGGCCACTGCCCCCTCCGCCGTGACACAACTGGCACGCAGCACACGGCCGAGAAGAGGGGAATGTGTGACTGAGCTCCGGTGCGACCGCGCTTTACAGCACGGAAGGACGCACCCTTCCTAACCTTCTCTCCCACATGCTTTTCCAACGATGAGATCCAGCATCACAGCATTGCAGCAATATTCCTGAAATGGTCTCCATAAAGAGTTCAGGTAGCACCGCCGGGGACATACCCCCTCTAACCCAAAGCTTTATGGTTTGTAGAGAAAGAAAAATGGTTCTGAGGTGAACTGTTTGAGTATCTGTTAGGCCCTCTGACAGAAAGCTAAGGCCCAGGGCAGAAGAGTCCCACGATACCTCTTTGTAGTTGATGCTGCCGTCCTGAAAGTGGAGGAGTTCGAGGGCTCTGTGGCCTGAGAAATAAACACGTGCTCAATTAGGCTCAGCTGTAAACCCCGAACAGCGCTTCCCAGGCATCATTTTAAAAGGAAAACACAATTTTATGGCTTTGTCACAGAAGTGGGAAGTGACAATTAAGTTCGTACGCACCTGTAATCTTCATCAGCCATAATTATAAGAGTCGTACATTTATGCAATATGTTAATACAAGTGTCATAACCATACATCAAGTTTGCACGAAGACTTAAAGCTCCCGATGCTCTGACCGTGGGCAGCTGGACCACGTTAGGCCTCGCTCGCTCCTCTGGAGAATTAACAAGGCCCACCTTCCGCGTCGTGGGGAGAGGCACAGAAACACACACCGTGACAGCACCGCGGCGGACACGCGGAAGGAGCTCAGTGAGCACAAGCGTCTGTCACGACCCCGCCACAGGGCCGTCGCCCTCAGCAGCCCGGCCCCGCAGAGAGGAACCCAAGTAGCAAACATGAGCCCGAGACCCTCAAGTGCGCCGTCATCACCAGACTGCGTGGGGGGACGGAGAAGGCGCAGGGCCGCCCGCCCACCCCACCTGCCTTCTCAGAAGCACCAGGAGAGAACGGTCCATGGGAAAGGGCGTTCAAAGGTGGCACCTTATTTCTACGGGGAGTCACATCCAGTTTTTTAGCCCAATACCACCACCACCGACAGCCCCCGCTGGAGGCGGGAACACCCCGAGAGACGCGTGCCCCGCCCACGGACGCCGTGCGCATTGATTTGCGGACCCCGACCCGAGAGGAGGGCGAGTCCACGCGCTGACCCCCCAGGCCCTGCGTAGGCCGCCGACGCGGGAACCGAGGTGTTTGAAACCACATATAACTTCGGGAATAAGTGGAGCTTTAGTTTCTTTGTATTTGAAAATGTTAGAAGTTGCCTTCAATTACGTTCACACAAACATTTATATCTAATCTATTAACCTGTTTTACATGTTTTTAGTATGTAGTAATCTATTGGGACCTTTGTTCAGCAGCTACTGAAGAAAGGCAAGCCATTATTTGATTTTATGAAACTTTTGGATTTCATCTGTCTTGTTAACGCCTAAACTTTAAGAATTAAAAACTTGAAAACTCCTATTTACATTGGTTCCTCTCTGGAGCACTTACATAGTTTTAGCAATTTCAACTGCCCTCGTTTACAGAGAGGAATCGAGAAACTGAGTCACCGTGCGCTCAATGGCGGGGCTGGGGTTAGAAATGCTGTGATTCCCTTGTCTCCTGGCGCCCTGGCCGCAACGAGCGTTTAAAGGACAGCGAACGGGACCAGCGTCCTCGCCTGTAAAATAAAGGGCTGGACTCGTGTCCCCTCAAGACCACAGGACGTGGCGCCCGGCCGGTTCCCGCGGGCAGGCTCAGCGCCAAGGCCGATGCCGCACGGACACTCGTGTTTTCTTTGCGTCCGGTTCTGCTGTGTCCCTCCTGGAGGTGGCACAGCTGTGCACTGTTGCTGTTTTTATCCCGAAGACTCAGGTCCAGCTGAAATTAACGTGAGAACTGCGGCGAATGGAACCGTATCTAATGACCTTACAAGTGACTCACGTTTCTCGTGAGTGAAGACACCTGCCTAGTGCACGCCACGTGGGAGCCGCATCTCAGCGCCCCTTGCCCCCGGGCCCTGGCCAGGCGTGCCCAGCTCGCCCCAACGGTGGTGTCACCCCAGGCACTTCAAATGCCAGGGACCGTGCAAACGCCTCTGTTTCCTTGTCTTCCCCGAAGCCAGCCACCTGTAAAGCCACCTGACCCGGGGGACCCACTCCCACGGCCACAGTGGCCCTTCCCATGTACTTGGAAAACATTAGACTCCTCACTCCCCCAGCCCACCCCTCACGCCCCCTCCCTCTGTTGTTCTGCGTCTGGTGTCCGGCTGGGCCCTCCCCCCCGCCCCACAGACGTCCCCGGCCCCTCCAGCTTCCTTTCCCCCTGCTGAGCCCCCCCCCCCGACAGTCCCGCATCTGGCAACCCCCGTCCTGGTCGCCGCCCCTCTGCTCCCAGGGGCCAGTCCCCACGCGGGGTGGACTCCGACCCTCTCAGCCTTCCCGCCAGAGGTGGGGCCCTGAGCGCCACGACCGGGCATTGACTTACCGATTTCTATGTGTGTTGAAATGCCACATGGCGAGCAGCCAGGGCAGAGGGCCCCCAGCGCGACGAGCAGGCCAGGCCAGAACCTGCAAGCAGACAGGACGTCCTCACTCCCCACTCCCTGGGGCCGGGCGACCGACCGGCCGGCAGCCGCAGGGAGTGCGGGATCCGGACCCAGACGCTGTGCCTTCCCTGTGGGCGCAATCACCGACGCGGAGCCCCAGCCGCGCCTCCAAGTCCCGTCCCCTGCCGGCCCAGTTAGCTGTTTACTGTTCCACTTCACGGGAGCAGCAGACACACGGCAGCTGGGAGAGGAAAGCGGCGGCCTGAGCCCTAAGCACCTGCAGGTGGGAGCCGGCCGCCTCCGGAGCCGGGCTCCCTCCGGCTCCCAATGTGTGGTTTGTGTGGAGACGCAAAGCTGCCTCCCAATAGCCTTCACTTTCTAAAAAGCCAGCATCCCCTGTCTGCACGGGGAGCCACTGGACTGGCCGCCTCACCTGGCAAGGGCTGGTGGCCCGTGCATCCTCTCCCCGCCTGTCTCCGCTGCCCTGCTCGTGGCTCCCGGGTGCTGAGCCTCCTGTGCGGGGCCCGCTGTTATGATGATCACCTGGAGCCGGCTCCTCGTTCCGTGTGTGGCAACAGATACCAACACTGGTGCAGTTACACAAGAGCGGCCACTCCTGCTTCCCGCCCTGCCTGTCCCCACAGCTGCTCCAAAGCCTGTCACACAGCCAGATTCCTGCGGCTCGAGCCGAGGTGCCCGTCCCACTTGGCGTGGGGGCAGGGGCACACGCAGGACCAAGGCACAAGGGCTCGGAGCACCCCAGGCTCCGAGTGTGCCTGCCGGGAGCCAGCCCACCCGCAGCACCTGGTCTGTGGGGAAAATCAGGTTAATTCTTCACGGAACCAACGGCGATCTTAAAGCTCAAGCACGTCACGCACCCAAAGCAGGAATGGAGATTCTAAGAGGGGAAGAGAGGATCCTTGGCCTCAGCCCAGCCAGACGGGGGAGCAGGCCAGGAGGGGGATGATCTGAGACCCTTAGGCGTCTGCCAAGTTTCCTGTAACCTTAACTCCGCCACCTGCAAAGCCCAGGACGGGAACCGCGGCCCTGCCCACGCGGGGCGTGAGGCCCGCTGCTCCGAGGCCGGGAGCCGGAGGCCGGTGGTTTCGTTGGGCTAACAGGGTGTTTTCCAGACTTAGGCCAACTTTCTTTGAATGGAAAAATTCACATGGAAATTCAAATTTCTAACTCTTTAAAATAAAAAAACAAGAACTGGCCTCATGAGCTGACATCCCCGTGGGAAAGGACAGCCCGCGGGAGCGACCCCCGGTCAGTGCACACGGTGGGGCTGCACAGGGACCCGCAAGCCCCCGCGCAGGCCTGCGCTCGCGTGCGTTCGTGCTCGCCGAAGCCGCGGCCCCGTTGCTGCTCCAGGGCTGGGGGCCGAGGTCCCCTGAGGCCACCCCTCAGCTGACGAAACTCTGACAAATGACTAGTTGGCAGCCTACCTTCAGCCTAACTAGTGGCTTGACCTGGGCCAGCTGGTATGACCTTGAACAACATCCTGAATTTCACATGGCAACTGTCCTGCGCCTGGGTTACCTCACAGCGAGCCTCGGCCCGGACCGGCACAGGGGCAGGGTAAGCAACCACCCAAGGGCACCCAGCCCATCGCCCGGATTCAGCGTTTGGATGCAGGCCGCCCTGTCGCCAGGCTGTCGCGTAACAAGGGCAACCTGCCCCCACCGATGGGGAGAATACCCACCCACCCCCCGCAGCTCCGAGCTGGTGTCCACATTCTCCCCCGGCATAGCTGCGGGGACAGCGGGGCTCACACCGCGCACCCGCGGACCTAGTGCACATCCCACGTGCCGCGGAGACGCGGCTTCGGGAGGCAGCGGTCCGGGCGGGGCAGGGGCTGCTCAGGAAGAGCTGCAGACACACGACCACTCCAGGGGGAAGATGGCACAGTCCCTAAGCACGCCCGCCCCGCCCCTGACCCTTCCCGGGCCCCGCGGGCCGGAGCAGGATGCGCTGGGGCGAAGTCCAGCCTGGCGCGGCCTTGCGGAGCGCGGGAGAGGGCGCTACTCCGCTCCGCCACCTGCCACCGCGGCCCGGCGCGTCCCCGACCTTCGCTCCGCCCGGCGCGCGCTCGCTTGCCTGCTTCCTGCCGCCGCCGCCGCCACCGCCGGGGCCATGGCGACCTGCTTGGGGCTGCGGAGCTGTGGAGCCCCGCGCCTCCGACCGGCGCTTCCAGGCCGCGGCCTCCGCCCCCGCGCCGGCGGCTGGGAGCCCCGGCCGGCCGCGCTCCGTGCCTACGCCCCGGGCCCGGGCGGCCTCCCCTCAGCGCTGCTGCGCACAGACAGCTTTGTGGGCGGCCGCTGGCTCCCGGCCGCCGCCACTTTCCCCGTGCTCGACCCGGCAAGCGGCGCCGAGCTGGGCCGGGTGGCCGACTGCGGGGCGCCTGAGGCCCGCGCTGCCGTGCGCGCCGCCTACGATGCTTTCCGCAGCTGGAGAGCCGTCTCCGCCAAGGTGAGTGCGCCCCGCGGGCCGGGTCGCCGTGAAACCAGCCCGTCCCGGGTTGGCGGGGTACACCACACGGAGAGTCACAAACAAGAAACGAGACGCTGGACACATAAGTTCAGGCCCTGGGCTTGGCACCAAGCACTGTGCCAAGCGCTGGGGACACAGCCCTGGACGGAGGCCGCCCTGCGTGGCCAAGGCAGTGTCGGTGGCCCCAGGCTGCAGGGAGACCAGGCAGGACGCTGCACCTGGGCTCGGGGCTACAGCCACGCCACACGGAATGGGGTAGGCTGCAGAAAGCACTGTGGGGAGTCAGGGGGGCGTCTGTGACCGCTCTGTACGTTTTCAGCCCCAATAGGGAAATACTGCTGTGGACTCACCTAGAGACGCTGGAGAACTGAGGGAGGGGTGTGCGGTGGGGAGACTAGAGTAAGAAGCAAACTAAGATTTTCTTCCCCCTCCATTTACCACGGGGCGCCCAGAGCCAGAGGGTGAAAGCATCTGCTGCCCGCCCTTCGGCCCCCAGCGAGGAGGCCCGAGTGCAGGGAGCCTGAGCGGCCCCTTGCCCACCGGCGTGGCCCGAGCGCCTCCCCCCACCCGCGGTGGCGGTTGCTGGAGGTGCTCCCGGTGCGCCTCAGCGAGCGAGGCCCGCCCTGGTGGTGCCCCCTGGGGCGCAGGGGACTGCCGCCCGCACACCGCGGGTGATGCCTACGCAGGGAAGCGTCTGAGGCGCGTGTGCCAGGCGGGCCGAGAGAAGAGCAGGGAGCAGGACCGAGAGCGAGGGAGGACGGCAGACCCGGACCCGGCGGCTTACACAGCGGAGGCGAGGCCCAGCCCTGGAGGCTGCAAGTTCCGGCTCCGGGGCTGGTATCGCCGGAGGCCTGTCCCCTTGGCATCTCCTCCCAGCGTCCTCACGGGTCGCCGTCGGCTTGTCCAGGTCCTAACATCTTCTTGTCAAGACACCGGCTTTCCCCTTCTCCTCGCGTTCCCGTGGCGCCTGGTCCTGAGTTCTAGCTCACATGTCACTTCTGCCACCGAGCCTGCTGCGCACACGACCTTCCCCAGCCCCGCTTCTCAGAGTCCCTGGCACAGTGTCCGGCCCACGCCTCTGCGTTGCTGCCCATCCGTTCAGGCCAAGCCTTGTCCCCACCTTGAAGCCCTGGAGGAGTTCAGGGATCGAGGGCGCTGCCCTGGGCCAACCACACAAGCGGGCGCCCGTTTCCCAGGTCCCCTGCCACAGACCTCGTGACCTAATGAGCTTAGCACAGGCACGAGCTGGCTCTCCTGCGGCTCTGGAGCGCATTCCTCGGGGCAGCTCTTGGGGTCCCCCTGGCTTTCCCGGTGTCCAGGCGCTGTGCCCAGTCCTGGGCCCGGCGCCCCGCGTTGCTCCGGCCACTCGGACCCCGCCTCTCCCACAGCGACCCCAGGGTGCCGCTGGGCCCGCCCGGCTGTTTCAGGATTGTCTCCTCAGCTCAAGATCCTTCACTTAATCCACCTGCAAAATGCCTTTTGCCAGTGAAGGAACCTGTTCACAGGTTCGGGGCCTGCGCGTAGGCACCGGGCGCGGGGGAGCCCCAGCGTGGCCGCCACCGGACCTGCCACCGCTGAGCCTGCGCCTGTGGTGTCTGGCCCTTCCAAGGCCCCGTGAGGTAGACGCTGGCCGAGGTGGGCGAGGACACTGGCCGAGGGCTCCGCGTTCCCGTCCTCACCTCCGTCCTGCTCCAGGGAGCAGCTGGCGTCAGAGCTGCGTACGATGCCACCCACTGGAGACCGCGAGTGGCTCTCGCTCACAAAGGCTGCCCTGCTCCCGCGGCTGCACAACAAAGGACCACCCCCTTGGTGGAGTGGACAGCAGAAACGCACTGTCTTGGCTGGCCACGCTGGCCTGCGGGATCCGGGCGCCCAGGCTGGCTGTGGGGGCCGGGCCTGGCCCAGGCCCCTCCTCCTGTCTCCCCGCAGCGCCTTCCCGCCGTGGAGCCCGCACTTCCCCTTTTCGTAGGACACCGGTCACGCTGGATTGGAGCCCACCCTAATGAGGCTCTTTGACCTGATGACCTCCGTAAAGACGCCCATCTCTAGGCGGTGTCACCGTCTGACGGGCCAGGGCTGAGGGCCGTCCACATTTCCTTTGGGGCCACTGCTCACCCATCATGGGGGCTGCAGGGAGGGTGGTCCCCGGCCTCTGCTGGCCTCTGGGTTCAGCAGGCTCAGGGCACCTGCCGCCCACAGCCCTCTCAGGGACGTGCGGGCTGGCCCCTCGGGGGCCGATTTCCTTCGCGGAGCCCGGCCCGAGGCTGGCGCCCTCCGCTGTAAGCCCTGCAGCCCGGCCCCGGCCGCCACTCGCCCACCTGGGGCTGGGCAGCTGCTGGAGGGACGTGTTTGAGGAGAACTCGGTGCCTCCTCTCCGAGGGGCCGGCGGAAAGTCGGGTACAGATGTAGAAGCCGTCACCTCACCAGCGCCCTCGACAGGGCACATGAGATCACACAGCTGCTTGTCCAAGATAAGGAGGGGACAGGCCCTCTGCTCGTCAGCACAGGGAGGGCAGAATTAAAACCTCACACCTGCCGCAAGGCCCGCAGCCGTCCCCCCACCAACAGCTGAGGGAAGCCCAGCGACGACCCTGTGCTCGGGGACACCTCCCTGCCCGGTGCGGGTGGCTGAGCTCTGCGGCGCTGCGGTCGTTGGCGGGCCCGCGGTGGCCCGCTTTTTTCTATTTTAACGGTTTTCTACAAATGAATTCCTTTTTTTAAAAAAAGTTTATTTTTAGAAACTATTCCTTCCATTATATTCTTAATCACCTAGTCTATCCTTCTATTTGACTTTCAATATTTGGAAATACGTTTTAATTGTGGTGAACATACATCACGAAATTCAGCATTTTAGCCACTTGTAAGTGAACAGCTCGGGGCTCGCGGTGCGTCGCAGGGCTGGGCCGGGGCCTCCTCGGGAGCCGGCAGACCCTTCCGTCCGCCGCGCGCGCCCGGGGCGGGGAGACGCCGCCCGGCCGGCGAGCTGCTAGAGTACGGGACTGCGCTGGAGGGCGCTACGCGGAGCGAAGGCGGCCACACGAGGGCAGGTGCTGGAAGGGCCCACCCCCCTGAGGTCCCTGGAGTGGTCACAGCCGTGGGGACAGAAAGTAGGTTGGTGGCGGCGGCGGGGGGTGGGGGGTGAGTGTTCAGTGGGGACTACGTTCCAGGTTGGCCAGACAGAAGGCTGCGGGGGACGATGGTAGGGACGGTGGCCCAACAGTGTGACCGCACATGCCGCCACTGGACCGACCGCATGCTCAGAAATGGTTGAGGTGGTTTTACGTGTATTCTGCTATAGAAAATAACAATGAAAACTAAAGCTGCTCCTATCTGCCCTCAACAGTGAGAGCTGTGTCCACAAACTTCTTCTCTCAACCTGCCGCTCCCCTCATCCTGCGGACGCTCCTCAGGCTGGGCCTTTATTTGCTTCTCAGAGGAAGGTCGAGGGGCCCCCGCGAGGACTGAGCCCTGCGGATGAGCCCTCGGGAAGCCCAAGGCTGTTCAACAGTCTCTCGTGCACTTGGTGTTGCGCTAGTTCTCTAACTCCCCATCTCTTTTTCAGGAAAGGAGTTCATTACTCCGGAAGTGGTACGACTTGATGGTACAAAATAAGGACGACCTTGCCAAGATCATCACAGCGGAGAGTGTGAGTCCCGCCCGACAGCTACCCGAGAACCCGCCGGGGAGCGGCGGGTCCCGCGCGGCCCTGCGGCGAAGACTGTGAATTCCCGCCCCCCTGCTTAGCCACCCAGCAGTCGCGGTGCCAGCCGCACACGTTTTCTACCTCAAGCCAGGCTCTTACTTGGCTAAAGCACGGCCTGCGTGTGCTAATTCGCTCTCGCGTTGCGGGCAGGAGGTGGGTTTCACGGGTCGCGGGCACTGAGTGAGCCCGGCTGCCCCGTTCCAGTTCTGCCCCGTGCGGCTGCTGCGGTGGTCGTCCCTGTAGCGGCTGTGCATTCAAAGGCCACACAGTGGTTCCTCTGTAGCTGTGGTCGCCTCCACCCGCTAGCACAATGAGAAGGTGCCACAAGGGGAGAAAAGTCAGCAGGCGCGGGTGCCAGCCGTGGCCCACGCCCGCCCACGCGGCCCTCAGCTCCGCGCCTTCCCAGCAGGCCGGGGGTTGCGATGGGGGCCTCTTCCACCCCGTCGCGGCCTTGATACCCCAAGCTGCGCGCCTGCCCGGGCGGCACTGACGGTGCCTTTTCTGCCGGACCCAGGGAAAGCCGCTGAAGGAGGCGCAGGGAGAGATTCTGTATTCCGCCAACTTCCTGGAGTGGTTTTCGGAGGAAGCCCGCCGCGTTTACGGAGACATCATCAGCACCCCCGCCAAGGAGAGGCGGGCCCTGGTCCTCAAGCAGCCACTCGGCGTGGCCACGGTCATCACGCCGGTACGTGGAAGAGGTTGCTCACCCCGTGAGCGCTGCCACCGGTCGTGGTTTCTGGTCCCCTTCGGGATGCGGCGCTGTGTTTCCTGGCGCCCTGAGACCTGGGGGGCGTGGGGGTGGCAGGGGACATGCTCCCCAACGCCCACGCGTGGGTCCTCCCAGGGCCTCTTCGCACTTGGCATGAAGGCTTCTGCTTGAATAGCGCCTGCCCCAGAATAAGCAAGTATTTGTCACAGGAAGATAAGACACTGCCAACAGGGCGCATGTCTACAGGTATCTGTGGAAAGAGAGGGGACTAATAAATCACTGGCCACTTTTCAAAGCCACCTTTGCTCATATTTTTTACCAAAGGGCCAGGAAACCTCGGTCTCCAGGCCACACCCTGCCTGCTGCCTGTGTTTGTCACTGAAGCCTCACGGGGCATGGCCACGTGCCAACTTCCGCATCACAGCCACGGAGTCGAGTGTTTGGGACGGCACCTGTACGTCCCACAGAGCCTAAAGTATCTGCAGGTCTGCCAACGCCTGCTGTAGATAACTGCAGTTTTGACATCTGAAACCACCCCCCCGCCCCCGTCCGAGCGTCTGTTCCCGAGCCCTCGGGTTGATAGTGTGGGCGCTCGGGGGCTCACCCGTGAGGGTCTGGGAACCGCCCCGCGCGTCAGCTGCGTGCGGGGCTTGGCCGGCCGCCGTGTGCGCGCCGGCTGGGCTTCCTCTCACGGCCGCTCCGCTCCTCTGTCCGCAGTGGAACTTCCCCAGCGCCATGATCACCCGCAAGGTGGGGGCCGCCCTGGCAGCCGGCTGCACCGTCGTGGTGAAGCCCGCCGAAGACACGCCCTTCTCAGCCCTGGCCCTGGCCGAGGTGAGCCCTGGCTGCGGGGGGCCTGGCCACGCACACAGGGACGCTGGCCCAGGGTGGGGGCAGCGGTCGGAAGCCCCGCTGTGGTCTGCGTCTCAGGCTGGGAGGTGCTACTCGAACGGACCAGCACGTGTTCCAAGCCAGACGTTGCCCCTTTTGGAGGTAACGATGGACGGAGGGTTTCCTGACACCGGTAGGTAGTGCGTGTTTTAAACTGCCCTAAACGCGCTGTCTGCCCATCCTTCCTGGTGGTAAGCGGGCGGTGCTAGCGAGGGACCCCGCCTGGGCACTTGCCCCGCTTGGGGACCTCCCGCTGCTCCAGCTCGGTCTGCAGGCAGATCTTGTCATTCTTCTCCTGTCAGAGTAAGATCCAAACTTCCTCCAGTGGCGGTCGGGCCCTAAAAGATGCCACCTGCCCAGCCTCGTCCCCTGCTGCCCTTTCCTGTCACTGCAGAGCCCTTTGCATATCTGCTCCGGCCCCTCCTGCTCCTCGGACCCCGCCAGGCTCAGCGCCCACTCCGCTCGGCGGGGAGGGCTTCCCCCTATTTTAGAATAGGGGCCCCGACGGCCGTAGCTGTACCATCGCAGCCCATACCTGGCTCTCCACTTGCTGCTCACGCCGGGTCCTGGCCGGTTCCGCAGGGCGGGCTCACGGGACCACAGCCCGAGGCTGCCTTGACGCCCACAGGCGGGGCCCACGGCGCTCGGAAACCTCTGCTGTGGTTAGAAAACCCTTGGTTCACGTTTTCTGTACTTGATGGTGTGACCGTGTGCTCTGTTTCCTTGTGACATAAGGCGTCGCCCTCGCATTTATAAGCCAGCTTGTTCTTTCCGCCTATGTTCCCCACAGTGGGTGGTCCCCCTTCATCTCTAAGCCCAGTGATACGAGACCGGTGTGTGTCTCTGAGAGGCCCGCGTGAGGCCAGCTTTCCAGGTGTGCGGGGCGCTCGCTCTGTCTGTGGGTCCAGATCTTTCTTAGCCCTGGAACATTTTCGGGGCCTGTTCTAGACACTTGGTTTGGTGTCCTCCGTCAGGAACTCTGTTGTCCCCACGTGTTGGATCTGTTTTGTCAGGTTTTCTTGCATCTTTTTCATCTTTCCCCCAATCTTTGCAGTCATCTCCTTTGTCACTTCTGTGCTGTTTACGGTATTTATCTGCCGTGTATTTGCACTCATGTTCCTTCTTGTTTTTCGTTTCTGGGATGAATTTTTTCTTTTATTTCTAATTCTTTCCTGAGTTCCCTCACCTCATTTCTGAATCTGTTCTCATTCCGACTCATGTTCTTTTGGATCTCGGTACAAGTCCCTTATCGCCGCTTGCCTCAGAGGAAGGCGCAGTTCCGGGCGGTTGTGGGCTAGTCTTGTTTCTGCTGTGGCCGCCTGTGAGGATGCTTTTCTGTTCTTTATCCCTCTGTTGTAACAACTTCGTACAGGATTTGCCATCCGTGTTTTTCTGAGCACGCAGCTCATTGCTACACGAAGCTTGTTTTCCTAACTCGTGGCGGGGCCTGGGCAGAGTGCGCTTCTCGACCGCCACGAGGTCTGTCGGCGTCTTGCCCTGGCGCGCAGGGAGCCCCTCGCGCCCTCCTGCTGTGTCCTGCGTTGGGCAGTTCCGGCAGCTGTTCCCAGGCGGCTGCCCTGCGCTCCGTCCACACCTGCGGGCTGTTGGGCTATGTTCGCGGATGTGTCGAACAACCCGTTCTCGCCTCGGCTGTCAGTGGTACGCCCCCCCCCGCCCCCGTTTAGTTTGCAACCGGTGGGGATACCTGGTCGGCCCACGTGTTGTGGCGTGTCCGCCCAGCGACAGCGCGGTCAGGCAGCAGTGCCTGGGGGCGCTCACCCGACGCGCAGCGGGCGCCCCAGACGGACGGACGCCTGCTGGGGCCAGTGTTGTGGCCGGACCAGCCCTGGTGGTTCTCGCGGTCATTGCAAGACGCCTGCAGCCGTGACTGTCAGGGAGCTTCAAAGAGGAGGCCTATTATTCACAGGTCCCCCAGGGACAGGACACCCCGAGGGCTGCCAGCCAGGTTGGGCAGGTTTGCAGTTGACTGGTGTGTTTAAAACGAAATCGCAGGACTCAGGTGCAGGAAAACAAGGGGCCACGCGGTCGGTCGGTTTCTAAGTCGGCCAGGGCTCTCTACCAGAGAAGGCGGCCCATCTCCTCACGGGGCTGGCAGGTGCTCACCTGAGACAGGCCTGGGCCCGGGGTGGGGGCCCAGCGCTGGAATTAAGATGAAAACCACCGTCAGGTGCCTAGACCACCTCCCTCTGCTAAGTGTCGTCTCTGGCGTCTGGCGGTGGCTCTCTCACTGCTCCTGTTTTTATGAGGGGTCAGAGCGACTGAGGAACTGGGCTGCTCCCGCCGTCTTTGCAGACTCCTGCTCGGATCTGTGCGGGACGTTCCCTGCTGGTGGGATTCGGAGGTTCCTGTCATTCAGGCCGCGCCTGGGCCAGAGAGCAGGGCCGGGTTCCCGGCGGGCAGCCGGGGCCTGGCCGCTGGGGCGGGTCCTCCCGGCGTGGCCGGGGCCCGGCTCTACCCCGCGGATCCTGCCCTGCGTCACCTCCGCACCTGGGCCACCTACACACAGTAGGGCTCAGTGAGTGCTCTCGCTGCGCTGGCCCCTTGATCCTGCAAGTGAACCAAAACTTGGTTCTTGAACCCTCCTCTGATTTTTCTTAGGAAACAGGTCCCAGGTTGTCTGTTTTTCAAGAGAAGGTGGCACTGAAACTTACACCCTAAGAAATTTTATTTGAATGACGCGTAATGACACAATGATATCACACTGGCACTAAGAATCTCATTCAGCCCCAATATATTCTGCCCCTGTCCCCAAAGCCAGCTTAGTTTTTTCCCTTTACTTTTTCAATTAACACATCGATTTACTCCTCGCTCCTATGTTCTCATGTGCTGCCATGTGTCTACTGCTTCCCTCCACAGCTCGCGGACCAGGCTGGCATCCCTGCCGGAGTCTACAACGTCGTGCCCTGCTCCCAGACGAAGGCCAAGGTCGTGGGGGAGGTGCTTTGCACGGACCCTCTCGTGTCCAAAATCTCCTTCACTGGCTCAACAGCCACCGGAAAGGTACGTGACTTACGAAAATGGGCCATTCTACTGTTCTCCCTGTAGAGCGTCTAACAGTGCTCCTTCCCCGCGACCGCCACAGGCAGGGAGGAGTCCCGCGGAGCGTGAAGAGCTCCATCAAACACAGTCGTGTCTGGTCGCCTCTGGAGAAATGCTGGGTGGCAGTCTTCGTGGGGACATGACGCAGGTTCCAGGCTGACGGAAGAACTTCCCAGGGGAGGCGGGCAGCGAAGCGAAGGTCCCCTTAGGTGCTGCAGGGGAAGTGGCCGAGAGACGGACATCGCATCTCAGTTCTGGGAGGCAGGTTTCTTCCATGAGCTAAAGACTCCAGAAGCCCACAACGGGCACTGAATTGGGGATCTCAGCCACTGAATGAAAGTTGTATTTAGCATGCAGGTACTTACAGGAACAAAAAGGGCTTTTTAAATGTTTCAAAGAGGAAAAAGGCAGACGGAACAAGTTTGTATTCACGGCGTGCCCCTCCACGCAGTGTGCCTTTTCCTGCTGCTACGTCTGTGTGTGCACACATGCTGGATGCGTGAACACACCGGACAAAAATAACCTAAACCTGGTCTGAAAGTGTCAGTGGAACCGGCCATGTCTAGAGGCCACGAGAGGCTGGGAGGAGGAGCTCCTGGCCACAGTCCCAGGTCGTGCCCTAGGCTCGCACCCGGCACTCAGGGAGCCGGCCACCCCCGTGCCAGCGGCAGGGCTAGAGACTCGTCGGCTGTGCCGCCGGGTGAGGGGCCCTGCAGAGCAGACCCCTCACAGGGCCCACACGCCACTGGGAGGCAGCCGGAGAGAGAGAGAGGCCTGGCTGGGGGCGCGCGGTGAGCTCGGCCGTCGGAAGCACTGACCTGCCCCAGGTGCCGAGCAAAGGCCGGTGGCTCACGGCTTCTCGCTTCGCTCAGCAAACTCCCACTGTCTGACGGCCCCCGGACAGTGCCAGCCACGTTCCTGCCAAGTCCACCTCGCCTCTTAAATCACTGGCCCGGGACCGTGGTTCTTCCAGGGAGAGGGACAGGAGCCACCGATGAGGGACTGGCCGCTGTGAGGTCAGTGACCACCTCTGGGCTGATCTCGGCAGAGAACTGGAGGCTGGGCGCCTGGCCCCCAGACACAGTCTTGCCTCTACCGGGCCCACGACGGGGGCCTATTCTGGAGCTGCCTGCCCCACCCCCGCCCCACCCAGGGGACCACCCCTCTAGAGCCACTGAGGGGACAGAAGCTGTGTTCACAGCACAGAGCCCCCCGTCTCTTCCCACACTGAGAAGGGACCCCCGACCGGAGGACAACGGACTCGGAGGCTGGCCAGCGACCTGGGACAGGCGGCCTGGCTAAGGGACGAGCTGGGCAGCCCGGCCCTCTCTCGGGCTGTTGGGGGCTGAGGCCCTGAGGTCAGCAGTGCGGGGACCAGAGTGGACAGGATTCTTCACGAGGGGACAGGGGCGCAGGCAGCCAGAGCCAGGCTCAGGAACCGTCCCGAGGACTAAAGGGAAGGAAGGACACGCAGGCGGCGGGGGAAGAACCACGAGACGGTGCCGTGCCCAGGGCTGGGTGCGGGCGGGGGCCAGTGGCTGGCAGGGAGCATTTCTTAAAAACTCCAAACAGAAGTCGCTACCTTGGGTCCAGCATCAGACTGTTTCGTCTTAAAACGTGCACTGGCTCGTGGGACATTTCAATGAGAAGACCGCTGCTACCCCTCAACTGCTCGATGCGCCCCGGACATGCAGGGAGGTGCGGCACAGCAGCCTGTCCCAGCGGCTCCGAATTTCGACCGAGAAGAGCCCTATCGCGAACCCCAGGCCCTCTGTGCGCACCGCCAGCGGCCGTGCCTAGCGTGACCTTGGGCCCGTGACTGCTGTCCTCGTGCCAAACCGTCCGGGGCCCCATCTTTCCTGTGGCTCTGACTGGACAGAGACCTGCCACCTGTGGTCAAGCAGCGAAACAAGCCCACACAGCCTTCCTGGACTGTACGCATCTCTTACTGGTTATTTAAAGCCAGAAAGCCTCTCAGCTGTGCACTGAGCAGTTCTACTTTTCCAGATTTATCATAACGTAACAGTCGCAGTGTTATTTTTAATAGCAAGGACTTGGAAACACCCTGCACTTCCCACAGAGGAGGACTGAGTAAGTTACGAAACTACAACATAGGCAGCGAAGAAGCGTGCAAGCAGCACGTGTGCCGACACGAGAGGACGTTCTTTCCACGTCAGAGGGGGTATGAAGGAGGCGTCCCAGGTACGTGGTCAACAGGAAAGATAAAGCAGGTTATAAAACGGTGTAACTCCACCATCCTGTTTTCTTTAAAGACATAAAAGGAAAAACAAAAAACAAAAAACACCAACCCAGAAACAAAAACAGAAGAGGACATTACCAGTGCTGAGCTACGGTTCTGGAACCCTGGGCAATTTTATCTGATCTCAATGTGACTTTTAAGCTTACCTATTCAGAGAAAGGAATGTGATAACGCACTTACGTGGTGCACAGACCAAAACGACGTAGATGTGTTCCCTCTGGGAAGTCTCGCCCCCAGCTCTGTCCATACTCCCTCCCACCTACGACTAACGAATTACTTTTATTTACATTTTTAAAATATTTTATTTATTTTTAGAGAAAGAGAAACACTGATGGCTGTCTCTTGCACACCCCCTGCTGGGGACCTGGCCCACAACCCAGGCCTGTGCCCTGACTGGGAATCCAAACGGCGACCCTTTGGTTCACAGGCCAGCGCTCAGTCCCCTGGGCCGCACCAGCCGGGGGAGGAAGTACTTTAGTTTGTTGTTACCTTCCGGGGTGTCTTTGTCACATACAAGCGAATGACAACGTACATTCTTGCTTCCCCCTTCGCTTGGGCTAAGTGCCGGCGCACCTGCCCCGCCGTGCACCTGGCTTTCCTCGCTGCTGCGTCGGTTTCGGGAAGGGCTGTAGCTGGCCCTTTGCGCACAGCGCCCCCTCTGCTCTGCACGCAGGTCCTGCTGCGCCACGCGGCCGACTCCGTGAAGAGGGTGTCCATGGAGCTGGGCGGCCACGCGCCATTCATTGTGTTTGACAGCGCCAACGTGGACCAGGCCGTGGCAGGGGCCATGGCCTCGAAGTTCAGGAACTCTGGACAGGTGAGCCTGCAGCGTCTCCAGCGTCCGCGCGCGTCTGTGCCGGGCGAAGCTCCTGCTGCCTTCCTCGTCTCCTGGGGGAACTTGGGGTTCCTCCCACACTCCATTCTTTCTTCTTCCACTTTTTTGGCAAACGCTCGGTAGGCACCCTCTCTGCCAGGGGCGACATCGAGACTCCCAGGAGAGAGAGGGCGGGGCCCCTGGCTTCAGGAACTTCTCAAGGAGCAGAGGCCTTTCATCAGCTCGTCCTCTCTCCTTCCCCTGCTCCCTGAGCCCGGTGACGGTCTGTCTGCGCCACCGGGCTTCTCAGCACCGGGCAGGCGGGATCGCGTCCCGGACACACAGCAGCCCCAGCCGCTGGGGCCTGAGCCCTTGGCCTGCAGGCAAGGAGGGGCGCACGTTGAGGTGCTGTCTGGACAAACTCCAGATCCTGTTGCCTGGGCCGCCTGCCTCTGGGGATAGTGGGCAGGAAAGGCCGCCTTGGCAGGGTGCACCCCGGGGACCGGCGACCCCCGCGGGTGCCCAGGCCGTCACAGGGAGAGAGGTGGCCTGAGCTCGCTCGCCTTGATAGGAAGCCCAGGAATGTTAGAGCTGCTGGGACTTCAAAGTCAGCTGACCCAAACCTGGCACTTCACAGATGAGGGCATGAGACTCGCGAAAGACCGACTGGCCTGAGCTCCGCGTCCGCGGGTCGCGGCCCCAACACCGCTAAGGAGCTCGGACTGTGAGCGCGGGGCCCTGTCTCCCCCGTGCTGTCCAAGCCGTTGCCAGGACCCTGGTTCCTTACCGAGTGTCCTCAAGCACCTTGTCTGAAAGTGCCACCAACAAGCAGTTGTAAATGCAGCCCAGAAACAATGAAAACTCCTAAGACATTCTGTGGCAAAAAGACGAAATGTGTCATATTCTATATTAAATAGTTTTTATCCTTGTTTTGGCCTTTGGTACTTAGTTTTTCCTAAATAAGATTGGTTGTTTTAGAGGAGGACATTTCCTTTTAGAAACACAAAGTGCCACTGTGTGCACCCTTCAGAGTTCCACAACGAAGCTGCAGCTTCTGGGTACGCTGCTTTTAGCCAATGAAAATGCACTGGACACAAAGTTATCTATACACTTGTTTCCACTAGAAAAATATATAATTAAGAAAAAAACACAAGAAGAAGGTTTATCAGTGATAACTGTATTTCCTATCCTATGGCTACGTAATTTTAAAATACTAGGTCTTTTAGGAAAAAAACAGGAAAAAAAAAAAAAGCCAGGGTCCTTCCAATAACACAGGCTGGCGTGGGAAACGGCCGCGTCCGCCTGCACAACGTGAGGCCCGCCAGCGCCCGGCGGCCGGGCTTGGCGCGCGGCCTTCCTCTGGCCCGTCCCTGCGGGGTCACTGCCCCTCAGGGTAGTTTTTAGGTCGCGTTTCCCTGTTGTTGTTGTTTTTTTTCCATAAAGCCACTTGAAGAGAGCTGGGTTAGCTGCCCTCTGATCTTTATGCACAGGTACTTCTCCTCTGCGTTAACTGTGGGGCCGCCAGGGGTGGAGGGGAGCGCGCCCCTGCTCGGGGCTTCCCTCGGCCAGGCGCGCCGGGGAGGGCGGTGGGGGGCGGCGGCCAGGCCAGAGCCCGGGGAGGTGCCTGCACTCAGCGGGCGCGCGGCCGCGTGCGTATCTGGTCACCAGCTGCGGGCACACCGCTCACCGAGTCTGTTCTCCTCTGCCTAGACTTGTGTTTGCTCAAACCGGTTCCTGGTGCAGAGCGGCATCCACGACGCCTTTGTGAAAAAATTTGCTGAGGCGATTAAAACCAATCTGCACGTGGGCAACGGATTTGAGGAGAGAACTACTCAAGGCCCGTTAATCAATGAAAAAGCAGTGGAAAAGGTAGGTTCGTTTACCGCCTGGTAAACTTCACATGGTTTTGATATCAAAAGCTTAACTAGCAGAAGACACTTTGGTAAGGTGCCCGGCACAGCTGTCTTGGAAACAGCGGGGAAGTCGCAAGGAGCCTGAGCCGCCGCCAATTCGCGTGAGTTGGTGTGGCATCCTCGGGTCACAAGCTCTCCGGCTCCGTCATGGCGCTGAGTTCCCAACAGGTGCCGCTTCAGCTCCTCTGCTCTCCCTGGATGTCCTCTGACTGCGGCGACAATTCCATCCTTCGCTGCCTCAGGAATTAGGACCTTGAAATGCAAAGCTCTTTAATTTTCCCGGCACTGAAAAGGGAAGGACGACCTGCTTTGTTTTTTAAGATGATGTATTCAGATTGAAAGATTTGACCCATTCCCGAGGAGAATGAATGAAAAGAAAACCCAAGATCGATTCTGTGAAGTTTTAGAATGTCAGGAACATAAAAGAAGGTCCTAGAAGCTCCCGGAGGGGAAGCTACCCACAAAGAAGTGAGGCGCAGAGGGAACCAGGCCTTCCACCAGCGGCTCTGGAAGGGGAGCCGGGCCCCGCGCTCTGAAGGGGTGACTGGATCCAAACTCCACCAGGCCAACGGCAGGTGCCACGTCGGACACAGTCGGAAGCTCGGACTGTCCAGCGCGTCCAGTGCGCCTTCCTCAGAACAAAGCCCAGGGAGGAGGGTGACATGGGATCCCAGACCCTGAGCTCCCCGAGGGTCGCAGAGGGCGGGTCCGTCTCTACCATGAGACGGGACAGCAGCCGTCGCAGAGCAGGGAGGGGCGCTCTGGGCCCTCTACCTGCCTGTCTGCAGATTTGGCTCCTTCCACCTCAGGGGACGGGGCTACGTTGTAAATGGAGCGGTTCCCTGCCGCTGGCCCACGCTGAGGCTCTGCCACCCCCACGGTGTCCTCGGCCAGCTTTCCCAAGGGCTCTGCTTTCTCCGGTCTCACAGGTGGAGAGACACGTGAGCGACGCCCTTTCCAAAGGGGCCACCGTTGTGACGGGCGGGAAACGGCATCGACTTGGAAAAAACTTCTTTGAGCCCACACTGCTCAGCAACGTCACGCGGGACATGCTCTGCTCCCGGGAGGAGACGTTCGGGCCTCTGGCACCGGTTATCAGGTGAGGTCGCCCGGGCGGGCAGCTCTCCCCCGTCAGGGCTGCCTCTGCGGCCACGGCCGCGACAGTGCGCACTCCAGCAGGTCGCGAGCTCAGCGGTTCTTTCTTATGGCGTTTTGTTCGGCCCGTGGACACGCCGCAGAGCCCCGCACGGCAGCCCCCGGCCCGGCTCCCCCGAGAGAGGCAGCCGGCCAGGGGGGTGGGGCTCGGTGGCCTTGACCGCCGTCCCCACAGCCAGCAGGGCCGTTTTCCTCTGTGCGCTGCTCTGGGGTCTCTTTGCAAAACTCCAGTTATGTCTCGCCATCACGGGGTACGTGAATCAGGGAAGAGAGACAGCTGGGTTTCTCTGCGTCCCCTTTACAGCGTCTGCTGATGACCCCTATTAACTTCGGCAGGTTCGACACAGAGGAGGAGGCGGTGGCGATCGCCAATGCGACGGACGTTGGGCTAGCAGGTAGGTGTCCGTCCTGGCTCACTGCCAGTCTCCCTGCTTCTCAGGCTGACGCTGGAGTCGGCCTGCTAGACGCCACCCTGGGTTTGGAGGGCACCTCGCTGTTCGGCTCTGTCTCAGCTTCCCCGTTCCACGTGCCAGGGATTCTCCTAGCTTCTTACCATCCTGACTCAGCACTGCGTGCCCAGCCACCCCGACAAAATTACCTGGGCGCAGGCGCACTCCACCGATCTGTCGTTAGTGCCCACGGTGAGGTGTGAGGCCAGGTGCAGCACTGGCTCTCCAGGAGCCCAAGTGAGGGGACCCTCTACAAAGGAGGGGGCCACACGCGGCGGCCCTGCCGCATGCTGCCCACGCGGAGGGGCACGGATGCTGGGGTCCGGTATGCACGGCGCCCCCGCGGCCGAGGGCAGTGTCCTCCCTTCCCTTGGCCGTGGGGTGCGGGCAGAGGGAGCCACGCCCAGGAACGCAAGCAGCGTCTGGCTGCACCGAGGCTGGAGGAGATTCTAGGTGGAGGCGACCGAGGGGCTAAGAAGTAGGAAAGGGAGGATGTGGTCGGCGAGTTTGGAGAAGAAGGTTGGTCCCTGGAGTGAGGAAAGGTGGCGCTTAAAGTTGGGAGAAAGCACCCAGCGTTCGAATGCCCCCGAGGAACCTTATTTCACAAAGGCAAGGAGTCAGTCACTGGGGAGGCTTGGGCACAAGGATCACGTGGACAGTTGAACAAAGCTGTGTAGTACGGACCGGACAGCAGGCCCCAGGTACTGGGAGGCCACAGTCACTGTCCTGCTAGGAGACGGTGAGCGCGGGGACCGACGCAGAAAGGCCGTGTCCGAGGTTTGACAGGCAGAAAGGGACAGGCCCACCTCGGGGTCTAGGCGGGAGGCAGGCGGCCCGGGACTGCGTGATGAGGCGGGCGTCCGCGCCGCCCTCGGCTTTAGACACGGCGTCGGCAGAGGCCGTCCCTCACACTGGCTGTGTCCCTTCTCCCGGGACAGGCTATTTTTATTCTCAGGACCCCGCCCAGATCTGGCGGGTGGCGGAGCAGCTGGAGGTCGGCATGGTGGGCGTCAACGAGGGGCTCATCTCCTCCGTGGAGTGCCCGTTCGGCGGCGTGAAGCAGTCCGGCCTGGGGCGGGAGGGCTCCAAGTACGGCATTGAGGAGTACCTGGAGGTCAAGTACGTGTGCCTCGGAGGCCTGTAGGCCTCTCCGTTCTTGAGACCATGAAAGGGAGGCTGCCTCCATGCGTGCCAACATGCCATCTGTCATTCCAAATCCACCTGCAGAGTGTGTGAATTACGGATTATGGAGTTTTTAGAGCTCTCCCAGTCCTCATGGTCTTAAACAGTGGGACTCCTGCCCTGCCCCAACCTCACCAGGGACCAACGGGGCCCCGTGCGCGTAGCTGCAGGCTCCCCGAGGACCCGCCGCAGCGTGGGGGGAGGGGGAACCTGTCACACAGGCTGGTGACCGCCAGGACGTGGGCGCCACACCCTCACGTGGCTCCAGAGCTCAGACCCAGAGCAGAAGGGACGCCTGAGTGTCACATGGGCTCCTACATGTTTTATACAACCCAGAGCTAAGAGTGCTTTTTTTTAATTTTCAAATGCTTGGGGGAAAGAACAATACGGCTTCATGATGCAAGAAAGTGATATGAGATTCAGACTTCAGTGTCCGTAAACACAGTGTCACGGGAGCCCGGCCGCGCCCCTTCATTTACTTGCCGCAGACACGGTGGCTCCTGGTCTAAAACACTTACACCGGCTCCTTTCGGAACCGTCCCCATCCCTGACGGAGCCCAGGAGGGAGAGCACGACCGTCCGCGCCTCTCACGCATCGCTTCCTGTAGAACGCCTGCTGGGTGAAGAGCATTTTCCGGGGTCACTGCAGTGAGCTCTCACCAGGAGCCCCCGCCCGGTCACACGCCTCAGGTGAAACCACCCAGGTCCCGGCCCCTCGGCCCCACGTCTCCACGCCGCCCCCGACACACACAGATCCTGTCTCAGAGCTCACGACGTCTTTCATCCTTGCCCCTTTGAGTGGCTGTCCAGTGCGATCTTAAGGCTTCATTCTTCCTCCCTTGTCTACCTTTGTTCTCGCGGGAACACCCAGTGGGAGGTCCAAGCACAAAGCAGCCCCGTCTCCCTCACTGTTCACTCACTCATGCGAAGTCGTGCCGCGTGACGGCCGCCTCTGAAGTCCAGGGCCCAGGGTTCTGACGACTCGTGTGCCACTATTTTAGGTAGCTTTTCACTTGAGTAATATTTATGCTGTGCCTCTCTCCGTGCTATGTTTTGTGGGATAAAACTTGGGAATTAGTTGGACGTGTGCGAATGTTACTTTTTTAAGTGAGCGCACATACTCCTGTTTTCCAGGTTTGGTCATTGTGTGCGTGTATCGATGTCAGCAGAACTGTGTGTCATTAATAAATGTCAACTTAACAGAATTTCCTATCCTGGTTACGGCGTTTTTTTGCCCGTTCACCGTTTGAGCTTGTTTTGGGTATCAGCCCGTTCAGACAGGTAGGAAGGGGACCAGGATGTGCCACTTGGGTATCGGGATTCTCAGCTGCAGGTGAGTGAGCCGCGGCAGGTACGGGGAGAGCACAGGGAGCCAGGCCGTCCCTGACGCTGCGAGGCAGCCAGGCTTGGGGCACAGCCTTTCCGACCTCACCGCGCAGAGCCCCGGGCAGCCAGCCTCTGCCCCCCGAGCTGACGTCCTGAGCGGGCCGAAACAGGAGAGCTGCCCGCAAGCCCCGTATCTGACCGTCTGCTCAGAGCAATCCCCTTCGTGCGCAGAGATTATTCGGAAAGGGAAGGAATGGCGTGCATGGCACAGGTGACAGGACTGTCCTTCTCTGGTGGCATTTAAATCAGGAGCGTCTTACACTGGAGCCGTAGGCTCCATGGGGTTGAGGAACATGAGGCTGGAGGGGTGCAGTCACGCAGTCACGGGGCGGCCACCAGACCTGGCCGCCCGACCTGACAATCTGCGTCGGAAACAGTCATGCCTGGCTCTGCAGGCTTCTCTGTTTGGCTAGAAAATGAAAATTAAGTCAAGAGAATGTAACAGCAAAGGCACTCTTCCCTTTATGTATTTTTAACACCCAAAGGTTTGGGCTGAAATATTTTGTAATTGCGATGGGCAGTTAGGTCCTAGCCTTAGCGTTTTACACGGCAAAGGTGTGATGAGTCTCTGTCGTCTGTGGGTCTGCAGTCTTGACACGGGGTGACGTTTCTCTTTTGCACCTTGCAGAGAAATTCAGCTGCCGCTCTGACGCCGAAGTCTGTAACTGAGTTTCTCTCCTTTGTATGAAAAGTGATGCAAAGTCATGGCGCAAACCAAAATTTTACAGTTGGAGTAACTCCACAGTGTCGATGGTTGTGGACTTCTTATGATAAATAATTTGAAGCACTGGACAGTGAGCATGCATTGCAGAAATAAAGAAAGAAACACTATCACTCCTTTCAAAAATGCTGGGGTTTTTTGGGGGTGGGAAGGGTTGCCTATAATTTACTTTTTCTATGATTATCAAAAACCTCAGTTAGCCCTGTTGGTTAGGCCTTGTCCTGCAAAGCAAAGGTCGCTGGTTTGATTCCTGGTCAGGGAACACGTCTGGGTTGCAGGTTCAGTCCAGGGTGCGCATGCGGGAAGCAACCAGTCAGTGTTTCTCTCTCACATCGGTGTTTCTCTCCCTCCCTTACTTTCTCTCTAAAAATAAAACCTTTTTTAAAAAAATCATTCACTTTTCTACTAAGCACCGGAAAAAAACACTAATATCTAACTGACAAAAATGTTTAGAAGGGTATCCGAGCAACAGAAATGGAGAGAAGGGATGATGAACACAATGGTGACTGCTGATCGCAGGTTTCTGCCTCTGGTTAATAACATCTTTTTTAAAAATTTAAACTTTCTTTGGAGAGGGGGAGAGAGGCGCACAAAAACCTGGATCTGCTGTTCCACTTATGATGCTTTCACTAGTTGACTCCTGCATGTGCCCTGGCCGGGAAGCGAACCCGCAACACTGGCTCACCAGGAAGACGCTCTGAGCAACTGGGCTACCGGCCAGGGCTTTGATTAATAGTATCTTGATCCACACCCACCTCGGGCAAGCAGTGGGCAGGGAAGGAGCGAGGGGCCATGAGAAGGGTGTACGCTTCAGCGCAAGGCACAGCGACAACGAGAACCGGGGGATGACAGCGGAGATGACACGCCTGTTGCCGGACCGACTGTAAGCACAGGACCATCCGGGCCTGAGACAAGCAGTCCCGAGGCTGGGGAAGTGCAAAGCTGCGGCGGCGCGGACACCTGCGGCCCCGACCTGCCGGGTCCTCGGGCTCCACCCGCTGCCGCGAACCGGGACGGGAGAGGGTACTCGGCGGGGTGGCGCCTAAAGTCCGCCCCCTGCCCGCCTCCCCGCGCACGCGCACTCACGCCCACGCCGGCCCCGCCCGGGCGCCTGCCCCTGCTTGTCCTCCCCGGGACGCAGCCCCAGCGCGGGACGCGGGGCTCCTGCGGCTCTCACCTGCACTAGAACAGCGGCCAGGCCTACGGGTCAGCGCGGCCGTGGGTCCACGCGTGTGCGTCCGCTGTGCCGAGAGAGCGTGCGCGGGAAACGCACCGCCCGGCCGTCGCCGCCGTTCCCGCGGCAACGTGCGCGCATGCGCACGCACGCCGGAATCTGCGAGCCCGGCCCGTTCCCCACTCGGTGCTCCGAGCTTTGCACCCCAGGTGCCGGGGCCACGCACTCCGACCTCGCCGCCCGCCGAGCAGGAGGCTCCCGGGAGCCCCGCCCCGCCCCGTCGTCTGGGTCCGACAAGCCGGCAGCGCGCTACCTGGGGCACCCCCGCCCTGGCGGAGTCCCGGTGTTTTGAGCAAGTGCCGCTCTCCGACTCCCGCCCCACCCATCTCCACCTCAGAAGCCCAGGAGGAAGGCTTCCTTGCATTGATGCTGCTTTCTTCCAACAAAAGCGCTAAAGCGTCCAGGTGTGGCAACGGGGGTCTTCCTCCTGCGCTCCCGGCACGTGGCAGGACCGAAAGGACAGGCCTGAGAACGAGCCTGGGGGTGACCTCAGCCGGCCAAACCCCGCCCCCGGGTAAAACAACCGCACTCGTACAGCGTGACTGAGGGGTGCAGGAGACAACGCACCTTGAGAAAATAAAAACCTGTCCACAACTGAAAGAGTGAAAATCGGTTTGGATGAAGAGGTTTTAAAAAGGTCGGGCTGAGCGGTGAGCCGCAGAGAAAGCCAGAAGCATCCGTGTTGTGATGTGTGATAATAAAGCAGCTCCCTCGGCACTGTGGGAACACGTGGGTCGGCCTCGCTGGGACACGTGCGGGGCCGCTCCCTTGCACTTGTCCTCAGCATTAGGTGGGCATTGATGGACCTCCGCCGTGTCATTATATGCCGGACGCTGCGATAAATACTAACGATCAAGTGATGGGCCCTTAGCACAGCTTTTCCGACGTTGCTCTTGTTGATACGCGGTTCCTAAGTCGCGCGATAAAAGACGAAGAACTTCAGCTGTGAAGGTGGGAGAAGACAGGTGTGGAAGGCACGTTCCCCATCAGGGCACAGGGGTGCTTCACCTGCCGGAAGCGAGGATGCCGAGGCGCAGGTCCACCAGAAGGGAAGGCTGGACAGCTCCTACGCTGGAAAACGGGAGATTCGGAGGAGAAATTCCCGATGTTGCGCATCGGCAGGGTAGCTCTTGCCTTCGAGGACTGTTCACTTCGCTTAGCTTCCTGGATTTTGTCACAACAGTAGCGCCCCCCCCCCCCACCTTATCCGCGTCTGTTATCCGAGGGCAACAGGTCCAAAAAAAATCAAATCAAAAAGCCCAGGAACAATTCCTAAGCTTTAAGGTGTGCACCAGTCCGAGCGGCGTGATACAAATCTCGTCACTCTGCTCTGTCCCACCTTAGGCTGCGTCCTCCCGCCGTGGACGCTCCCGGCGCATTAGTGACTCGCCGCCATCTCTCCGGCTTAACAGATGGACGTGGAGGTATCACAGGGCTTACGGTCAGGTCACCCTTATTTTACTTAATAATGGCCCCAAAGCAGAGAAATAGGGGTGCGGGCAACTCCAATACCCAGGCAGGAGCTGCCCAGTGCTTCCATTAAATGAAAAGGTGAGTACAAGACGAGAAGGAACTTTTGAGGTAGTGAGAGAACGTTCACGTAACTTTCATCACAGTACATTGTTCTGTTCTGCCTTATTGTTGTTAATTTCTTATGGTGCCTAACTCCTAAATTAAACTTTATCATCGGTGCGTGTGCAAAGGAGAAAATGCGGCATGTCTGGGGTTGAGTGCTCCCTGTGGGGGCCGGTGTGCACTGTGGAATGTCCCCCACCCCCACCCAAGAAGGGGGGCAGCTGCACGGGGCGGGGGGCGGGGGGCGGGCACGGCGATGGGAGCAGGTCCCACCTGGATGCTGCAAGCCAGAGAAAGGAAGACCACCCCTCTCATGGTTTTAGAACAGTCTGATAGTTATTTAATCTAATGCACTCTACTACATTTTCATTTTTCATAGGGAGCCTTTCCGCTCTCTCTCTCTCCACACACACACACACACACACACACACACACACACACACACAGAGAAATACAGGAAAGTGATGTGAGGTGTAGTTCTTCTAACTCACTCCTTCAAGGGAATCAGCAACTTCTACCCAAAGCATCCTTTCTCACAAAGATGAACGAATGCTAAAATATTAGCACTCATTTTATTTCTAATGATTAACGTATAAAACTCCTTTTCCTTGTCACTACAAAGGCAACATTCTGTATACATTCAGCTTGTCTTTTTTGAGGTGTTTTATTTGTGAATCTTGATGCCCCTGCTGAAAATAAAGATTCTGTTACTTCTCATTCTGGTATTCCTCTCCCTGGCTTTCCTTTTTAGGCCAAGAAAGTCCACACTACAGACACTTCCTGGCCGCGGCAGAGGCAGCGGGACAAAGCCGCGCGCTCCCACGCGCAGGCGACCGTGGTGCTGGAGCCAGAAACCGGAGGGAAACACGCAGCCCCACTGGGGCACCAAAACACCCTATGAACAAATAGAAATCTTTATTTAAGGCACTTTTCTCTTATGGGGGAAAAAAATTTCCTTCAAGCACATTTACAAGTGCTCCTCACCTCTTGTAAAATAATTTAGAGTGGCAAAACCAAGAGGCTGTTTCGCTTGACACATTTATTCTCTCCAAAAAAAGTCCAGAGCTGCTATAAAACCGACTTTAATTCTCATCGGGCCTGACTTCACTCTTCTGGCCACACAGCTACAAACGTGAATTTTAAAAAGTTAAGGAATTTTAAAGCATGAGTTTGCGAACAGCTCCCTGGGCAGGCACAGCGCGGGGACAAACACAAGGTCTGACAGCAGGGGGCCGCCCGCGTCTCCGCCGACGGACGCCCAGGGCCGCCTGGCCAACCTCAGCCTGTGCGGTGGCACCGAAGACCCAGTCCCAAGGACTCAGAAACCGCCCATTTCTTCCCTTGGAAGACTCATTTATAATACAAACTATCTTCGCTCCCGATTCGTAAAATCAATCAACCCTGAAGGCCACCCTGAGACACCGCGACCCCTGCGGACAGCTGTCGTGCCCTTCCCCCCGAGGCCTCAGTCTGAGTGCAAGTATTTTGTTGAAATAAACATTAAAGTTTAGTTCTGGACTCTAAGGACGCAATTCACAAAATAAAATCACAGTAGTTTTTCTCCTCTTCCAGTGATCCAGTATATTCTTCTGTACGAAACCCGACGTTCCAAGCAGGTAGAGATCATCTTTGCAAATCCCCAGCAGAGACTGACTCAGAGCTCTGGAGACTTCACAGTATCACATCCAAGCTGCACAGGAGACCCCAGTGGTCGCTGGGAAATCTGCCACAGTCCAGCTTCTCCAGCCCGAGGAGATCCAAACTTTGGGGAATGATGTGGCCGCCGTCTGCGGCTGCTCTGAAAAAGATTCGGTCAAAACGATGCTTGGAGATGGCACGTATTCCCAGGTTCGAGTTCGCCTGTGTGTCCCACGTATACTGGCAATGCTTAGGTTTGCCCAAAAACTCCCACACGTCCGAGATGCCGCTGGGCAGGCCGCCGCACTGGGTCACCTGAAAAGACAGAAAACCTGTCAGACTCCGTTTTTCCCTATTAAAAAGGTGTCTTTACTACGACGCCTAAGTACACCGTTTCCGATCAAAATATCCCAAGTTACCTACTAGTGCGCACGTGCAACTCTAGGGGCTGTGAGTGGCTGTGTGAGGAAACACGCTTTGCTGCGCAACAGAGAAGCGGGCGGAACAGGGACGGGAGGGAGCCGGGGGTCTGCAGTCGGGCCCTGCGCTTCTCCCACAAAGGGTCCCGAGCCCCGGGTGCCGGCTGAATTCCGAAGGCTGGGAACCCGGGCCTCGGCTGCTGCTCAGTCTCAAAAAATGAGCACAAGTGAAAAGAAGGCAAAACTGCTTCTTTTCTGCTCTAGTCTAGAAACGTGGAGGCTGCCACGTGTATGATCCCATCATGCCAACTGCTTTCGGTCTTATTTGAAATTTACTAATGGCATGAATTCTTCCCTCCTCCATTCACCCTCCAGGGTTTAAAAATAACTACGGTAAAATATACATAAAATTTACCCTTTTAACATACACAGGTCAATGCCATTAAGGACGCCTACATAGTGGCGGAGCCATTACCACACCGTCCACCTCCCGAACCTCCTCTTTGCTCATTTTAAAATCAGGTTCTTTTTTATCGTTGGCCTTTTATTATAAGAGTCCTCTATGTATTCTGAATATTGCTTGTCAGATACATGATTTGCGAGTATCTCCCTCATTCCATGCTCTACCTCTTCACTCCACTGACAGTATCCTTTGCTGCAGGGAAGCTGCGCATTTTCATGACTTCACCTTCTCTGTTTCTCCTTTGTCGTCTGTGCTTTCGGTGTCATATCCGAGAATTCACTGCCAAGTCCGGTGTCATGGAGATTCTCCCTGTGTTTTCTTTCAGAGTTCCATAGTTCTAGCTCCTACCTTTAGGTCTTTGATCCACTCTGAATAAACTGTTGTACAGGGTGTAAAGTAAGGACCGAGCTTCGCGTTTTTGCGTGCGGATATCCAGTTCTCCAACACCGTCTGTTCGGAAGCTGGGTTTTACAAGGCCATCAGTCACTTGTAGCTGCCGAGAGCCGCTCGCTACAAGCCCGCTAACCCGCAAACAGGCCAACGGAGAGCTTGGCTTTTAACCTTCTATACGAGGACACAGTTGCACCGGGGGGAGGCAGAGCCCCACTGCTCCCCGTGGGCGCCGCCCGCCCCGCGCAGCGCCCTGACTGCTCCGTCCCCAGGCTCCCCCCCCACCGCCCGGGGCCCCGGCAGTGACCACCAGCAGGTCTCTATTTCACTCCCCTCCCAGTCTGACGTGAGCCCTGCCCGTCGGGGAAAAGGCAAGACAGGCTCACCACCTGTGGCGCTCTAAATCTATCAGGTCCTGAAAAGTCCCGCCAAGTCTCAACTTAACTAAGGAAAAGGAGACTGCCTCAGACCTGGACACGGTGGCACCAGGAAAGGGGGGACAACCATGACGACGGTCCCAGCAACTGCTGAACAGATCCACAGATGAACGTGACCTCTCTCAACGCCTCACAGCTGCCTTCTCTAGACCCCGTGACCCCGCGCCGTGCTCTGTGCGGTTTCCTGGGCCCCCTGCGTTTCTCGATGGCGGACAGGCCTCAGCCTCCTGGTGCGAGGGTGGAGCAGGGCTGAGTAACTGTTCGCTGGGTCACACCCGCAAGGTCATTTATGGGAGGTCACCTATGCGTGTCACCTGCTTTGGCCAGAAGGAGCCTGAATTAGCTCCCACAGCAATAACCTGCCCGTAAACATGGGACTGATGTTGCCACTCACTTCACGATCCCTTAAGTTTGTGTCTCCTGCAAATATCACTGTCGCTGACTCCGGAGCCTCCTCCATTTTCTTTAAAACCATTTTGAGCTGATTCATTCGTTCCTGGGCGTGCGCCCTGGTGCTCTCCAAATGGGACGTCATGAGGTACAGTTCGTTCCCCGAGACACTGGCCTGCAACAGGACACGTCATTCCAGTGGTTAAAATCAGCCCCGGCCTCTGAGCTTTGACAGCAGAATCAGCAGATCATTCACCTGACTGGTACATACATATTAACTAAAGGGCAACCGGCCACCCGCACTGTGCTTCTCCTCCCAGGTCAAAGAAGTCTGGGGTGCTGCCGCTGCTCCCAAAGCACCCACCTCGACTGTCCCGCCACTGTGCGCCCTTCCCCAAGGCCCCGCGCTCCCGCCTCCACATTTCTGCTGCTCGGGGCTAGACCGTTCGTACGTCCCCAGACGGAGTTACAGCGTAACTCCTCGAACACAAGGCGCTTCCTTTATCCACGGCTCTAGTGTCCCGAGCCCGGCACGCAGGCGCTCACAAGGGCTCAGGTAATGAATCAGTCGGAACCATTTGCCACTCGCAGCTACGGCGCCAGCAAGGCAGGCGCGCCCCGATTTCCACGGGCTGCCTGCAGACCCCAGGGCGCGCTCTCTGCTGCTGAGCGCCGCGACCATCAGCATCCAGTCCCACGGGCTGTGCCAGCCTCTCGTCACACCACCCCTCTCTGTGCCAAGATGAACATCGCGCCTGCGACACCCGCGCGAGGCCTGGCTCCCACACTCGAGCCCCACCCCTTCCCGCTCGTGAGCTTGCTCACGGCTCCCCCTTACAGGCTCTTCAGGGCCCAATTCGACCACGCCTCCCTCCTTACAACCTCCCCCGAACAACCGAGCCCCTGCCGCCACAGGAAGGAAAGCCCTGGCTTCACAAAGCTCTTTAAAACCATTAAAAGACCCTGTAAGTGAGGAGCAAACTTTCCTCTAAAGACAATAGTTTAAAAAAAGGACACCACCACGGAACCATCTATTCTTTTTTTAAAAAGCACTTGACTTTTAAAATTTACTTACATGCACACACAAAAGGTTTCTCATCATGTTTGTATTTGGAAAAGGGATAATCTCTTGGCTTTTAAATGTCACTCTCGATGTCTTCAACATTATGGCTGTGAAATATCCTTCTTCATGACCTTCAAATGTTTATGGAAGAGAGTTTAGGTGGAGAGGACACGAGTATCTGCAGTTCGTCACAGGTTCCCCCACTGAACACTATATAACAAACCGGTAGAGAAACTTAAACGGGTCTCAATCTTAAAACTATTTCAAAACAGTTCAGGATGGCCAACCAAATCCCCACGTTTACCTTCCCCTCCCAAAATGTAACCGCAAGTATGGAAGAAATATAAAAGTAAACATGACTCCACATAAGTGCCAAAAATAGTTAACAGTGCCAACAGGAAAAAAACAAACAAAAAAACACCCCGGAAATTTCTGAAAAAGTACGTGAGACTTAAACTGAGGCAAACTGACATGTGTTGACGTCTCGCTCTGGGAGCACCAGAAAGTTATAGTAAATGACCAGATGGCGAAAGGCACAAAGCTGCAAGACAAGAGACGAGACGTTGAGGGTGGGGACGGGAGGGTTCTGGAGGCTTCCAGAAAACCAAGCAGGTGGAGGAGTGGTAACTGATTCATCAGAACAGGGGGGAACCAGGGAGGGGCAGGGGCAGGAGAGGGAGAGGGGCCGGCGGGCAGGACCGGGAGGGCCGGAGGGAGGGGAGGCCGGAAGGAGTCTTCCAGAACCGAAGGTCACAAACCGCCAGACCAAAGTTCCTACCAAGCGTTCAGAACAATAAATGAAAAAGCAGACGCGCAGGGCCCTAGGGTTCAGAAGCCGCTCAGAGCGTAGAGGGCGGGGCGAGGACAGGACTTAGCAGGGCCGCACACTCGTAATCGCCAATAACAGAAACCAGAAAACACTGAATCAGTACCTTCCAAATTCTGAGGGAAAACGACTTTCTACCTGGAAACCTACGCCCAGACAAACTGTGAGCCAACGACAAGGAGAGACGCAGGCAGTCCCCGGGGGCCGGGGTTCAGAAGCACCGCCCACGGCCGCTCAGACGGCGGTCACGCCCGTCACAGGGGACGCACCGAGGACCTGAAGCAAGAAAGCGGGGGACAGGAAGACTCCCCAGGAGAACGTGGACAAGTCCTCCGACAAAGAGGGCGAGACAAGCAGAATCGGAGCGAGGACGCTCCCCTTAGCCCAGAACCGGAAACCCTGTCCTACGTAAAAGCGGGAGGCAGAACACGAGAGGGAGCCCCAAATCGTGAAGGCAGCTGAAGGGCTCCTCTCAGTGCACTTAGTAAAAAAATAGATGGAAAATCAAAGGCCTAAATTATTCAGCGTAAAAAGCTAGAAAAATAAAAATAAAAGACCTTTTGAATAAGCATAGCCCCATGAAACAAATACGGTATGTAAAGTATAACTGAAAAATAAAAAATTTGAAAAAAAAGCATAACCACAATGCAATCACCACACTTAAAGTTTTTAACAATTAATGTCCCCAAAAAGCTACTCAGTGTCTCAGATTTTGGCAATCTCTATTTTCCTGAGATATCATCCATTTCAACTTTTTCACAAAAATTAACATTAAGCTGTAAAAATATTCTCCTACAGTTCTTAGCCCTTTCTAGATCCTGCGTCTGGCTCGTTTGCTCAAGGTTATTTTGGTTGTGCTTTTCTTTTTGGTTTTTTTTTTTTTTTTTGGTCTGGACTGCAAAAAGCTAATTTTGATTTTTTCCTTTCATTGGCTTGTTTTTCAAAGAAGAAGTTAAACAACAGGAAAGACGTTACCTGTAATAACCGTGTAGTTCCTTGCTCTCTTCTTCAGGAAGCTGTAATAGGGGGGAATAACTTCCTGCAGAAACACCACGTCCGGGCTGTACCTGATTTAAACACATCGCCTGATTAGCACCAGGGACGCCGCGTCGTCTGCCGCTTCCCGCAGCATGAAGTCAACGCTCTTACCCTCTAGGACACCTAACGCTCAGCGTTTACACTCGTCTCTGGTAACTATACAATGGGAGATCTGTGCTTTTTAACACAATACTGTGAGGATTAATTTAACAAACATACACGCAACAATACTTCCAAGTTAAAAGAGTGGGAGTCACTGCCAACAGGAACCGTGACACCGAGCGTGTCCGATGGCGCTGACGCACACCCCCCGCGAGATCACCGCGCCCCACCCTCGAGAAACAGGATGCGGAAAACTGAGCTCCGGAGAACGGGGTGGCTCACCACTGACTCCCCAGGGGTGTGACAAAGGTCTCTTCGGTGATTTAATTCTCACAGCAGTAATTATGCAGGGTCCGGCACAAAGAATGCCCTTTTTATTACAAAATCGTGAGCACGTAATTCTGTCACATGACAATCACATTCAAAGCGCACCATATGCTATTTTTGGTGAAATGTTCAAATTAAAACTAAATTATCACCCTATCAACCACACTCACACAGGCCTTACTTCTGCCGGACCCTGGATACAAAGGTCAACAAGTGAAACTGCACTAGAAGGGGTCTCACAAAATCAGCGTTCCCACCCCGTCCCCCGAGCCCCCGGCCCGAGAGCAGGACTCCGAATCCGGGCCCCAGGCCCCCGGCAGCCGCCCTCTGGGCACGCAGGTCAGACACGTCCCGCGCTGCCCGCAGCAGCGGCCACGGCACTCACAGAGCCAGGGAGGCGCACACGGCCTTGGCCCTCTCCAGCAGCCCGCACAGGTCCAGCCCGTCGATGTTCCAGGTGACCAAGGAGAAGGCGCTGCCGTCCTCCTGCCGAAGGCATTCAGGCGCGCTGCCTCCAGAGCCGGCGGGGTGGGCTGGCTCCTCGTTGGTGAGGTCAACGCTGCAAGACCAGAACGAAACACACCTTCGCTACTCTACACACTGCTTAGCTTTTACAAGTCTTTCATAATCAGTTGTGGCCCTCGTTTCAGTTAAACACATTTAATAAGACCCAAAGTATGTGCCAGTAGAAGAGCAAACATCCCGTGACGGAGGAAAACAGACTTGTACCGTGTTCTCCAACTGTTTGCTCACTCACACAAAGCCACCTCAGCATCCTTCCATGACGTGTGTCACGGAAACAGTTTTATAAACTCGGACCCTAAATCAGACTGATGTAAGGCTTCCAAATTTATTTGGATTTGTTCTAAGCCAGGCTTGAAAAACGACCTCGCTGCGGCAGGTGGATAATCACTGCAAATGCTCCGTCATGGCCTGAGCGCGGGAGTCCCACACCCTCCAGGAACCTGCGCCTCGTGACCTCCGTGACCAGTGGAACAGCCAACAGGACACTCATGACCTCTGAGGCTTGGTCAGAAGCCTAGCGGCTTTCCTGCAGCCTCCTGGAACACTCTCTCCGGGACCTCGGTCCGCTAGGTTGGAAGTCCCCGAGGCTGCCGCGCCGGCGAGGCCATGAGTGCCTGCTTTGGCCGCAGCCCCACAGCTGACCCACCTTCCCCAGCTCTACCTGGGCTCCAAGGGCAGAACCAGTGCAAACTGACCCTACCCTGTCTCTTACAAGGTACTGAGCTGTTTTCTGAGACAGCAGAACAAAGCTGCAAGCCATGCGCTCCCAGAGACACAGAGGAGAAAATGGTGCAAACTATGCTCTGAACTGAAGGACCAACTGCTCAGAATGTGGACCCGGAGCCCTTTCAGAAGCGAGGGCCCACTGTCCACAAAAGTCTGGTGCAGAAATCCCTTAAATCTTGCCCGAACCCTGGATGGCTGGGGAGACAGATTTGGGTCGTGTCTCCGGTCTGATTGCCAGCTGAGGTCAAAATAACACTTCCTTCTGTGCCAGAAGCTGGAGCTACAGCCTTGGCTTCTGTGCGCACTGGGCACAGAACCCCTGCTCGGTCACGAGGCTCAGGCACTGCAGTGGAGAAGCAAAACATGATTAGGGTGTGGCTGCTAAGCATTTATATTAACTACAGATAAGTGTAAGAAATATGCTCTTGGATGCATAACTCTAATAAACTGAATGCCAATATCTTAAGTTCCTTTTTTTAAAACAGAGGTGTAACTGATACGGCACCGTGAACTGGTTTCTGGGGTGCAGCGCGGGATTTGATGCAGCGTGCACTGTGGAAGGGTCAGCACAGCAAATCTAGCTTGCTTACTGTTTCAGGTGCTTATTCGGACACGACCTCAGACTTTCCGAACTGTAAGAACATTGCCCTGGCTGGGCCGCTCGGGGTTAGAGCCTTGTCCGCATACGGCAGGACTTAATGGGGTCAACCCTGGGTCAGGGCCCAGGCAAGAATCAACAAATGAAGGCGTAGATAAGTAGAACAGATCAATATCTCTCTTGCCCCTCCTTCCCCTCGCTCTAAAAAAAGTTATAATAATTTTGAAAAAAGTACCGCAAGAACGGTAAAAAGAATGCTAGCCACTCACAGATATGTTAGCATTTTACTTAAATAACATTTAATTGTTCTTATCTTGAAATACCTGCATAAATACTTTTGTATGTAGCTCCTAAAACCAAGGGCATTCTTACATACACAGCCCAGTACGACTATCGAAGGTCCGATAATTAAGTAACACAGCATTAAAATTTAAAGACCTCTTCAAATTTCGCTAAGCGTGCTACTAAGGGCCTCGCCCAGGAGCTGGGAGGTGTCGGTCTCCTTTACTCCAGAGCAGGTCTCCAGGCTTTGCCTCCCGCGGCCTCGCTATTTCTGAAGCACGCAGGCCATGCGTTTAGTAGCACGTGTCTCACGGGGAGTCTGATGTTTTCTTTAGACGCAGATTTTGTGTGTCTCGGCAGGCAGGGCACGGAAGCGAGAGTGTGCCGCGCGCACGCCTCCACTCGCAGGCACTCGGCCCCCTGTAGGCGTTTGATGGGTAGATACTCCGCAACTATGTAAACGCCTCTCGTCTGAAATAATTAGTCCTGCGGTGGTTCCCACCTGCTGCTTTTCCCCTAACGCCATCATGCCTTCTACACTTAGTATGTGAAGTTCTACTCTAAGGACGAAGTACTGAGATCGGTGCGGATTCTTACTTTATGGATAAAGCCTCGCTGTCACTGGAGTTACAGGAGCAGGTGTGAATTTTACCGAAAACCACTTTCTAGGTGGCACGCAGGCTGCCCGCGGAGAACAAATAAACAATCAACGCGGGACGCAGGCGGATTCCCAAGGGACCTTGTTTCCATAGAGGTTTTTGCCTCCTTCATTGGTTTGCAACCTCCCGCTTGCGTGTTTCCTATACTTCGAGTGCAGAATTCCAGACGGTTCCCGCACTCCCAATTCGCCGGCGGCGACTGCGTGGTCCCCGGGAAAAGTGGCTGCCCGGCTGCTGCCCGTGCCTCCATCCCCGCCCGGGGCGCCACCCAAGCTCCGCCCGGCCCCGCCCACTCACCAGCACACCTGCGCGGCCGTGGGCGCGGCCTCGGAGCGGCGTGGGGCTTCGCCCTCCGCCCGAGGCTCGAAGTAGGCGTTCAGCGCCCTCTGAAAAAAAAACAAAAAACAAACGGACAGGTGGGTGGGCTCGTGCACGCCCGGCGCGCGGCCCAGGCCCGAAGGGACGCGGCGAGCGTACTTCCATCTCCCAGGCGTTCTCGGCCAGGTAGCGCCGCGCCACGGCAGCCTCGCAGCTGGCGACGGTGGTGAAGTCCGCACACAGCAGGAGCCGCTTCTTCTCCGCTGGATCCCCGTCGTCGAGCCCCGCCGCCGGCCAAAAATCCAGACTGCGCTTCCGCTCCATCACCTCAGCCCTTCGCGGCCGCCCTCCCCGCCGCTCTGCGCAGGCGCCCGTCCTCCGCCCCCCCGCCCCGCGGCAGTGCTCTCGCCTCAACGGTCCGGCGGGGAACAGCAGCCCGCCCGCGGAGGGCGATCGGCGCGGCTGCGCAGTGGGTGAAGGGTTGGGCGCGGGGACGGCGGGAGGACAACAGCGAGCGCGCGCGCGCGCGCTCTCACAATGGGGCGCGGAACCTCAGTGCGTGAGCGTGGGCAGGGCACGGGCGGGGCCGACGGTGTGCGCGCCGCGGACGGACGTCTGCAGGTCTGCGTCCTCTGCGTCCTTGCGTCCTTGCGCTTTTGCCAGTTCCTGGGCTGCTTGTCTCTTGCGAGGTTCGTCTTACGCTGCATCCTGGAGCTGGCAGACCGTCCACGATGAGTCTGACCAAGAATCTGCAGGAGCTGATGAAGGCCATGACCAGTGTCTCCGGTTTTGATAGAGTTTTGCAAAAGGTATTACAGGCGCAGCCGCGGCTTGGGATGCTGGGAGAGGAGGCGCCGCGTTTGTAATTCGCTCGCTTCTGTCGTCGCGTCGCTTAGTGATCACGGTTACTTCACGGAACGCCCTTGTGTGCCAGGTCCAGAGCACAGACGAGCTCATGTAATCGTCCATAAATAACTGTGTATAGTTGTCCTTCGTGGAGATAGCACTGCTCCGTTCTAGTGCCGGAAAGGACGGTAGTGCGACCCTTCCTTCCCAGCTGGCCGACAGCGCGGGAGGCGCGCCCGCAGCCCGCGCGTTTGTAGCAGCAGGGCAGCTGAAGGAAGGCAGCAGACTCCGGTGCTGGGTGGCGGCGGGGTGCCCAGGAACAAAGTAGCCCACGCTCCTAGTTTCCAGTGTCTATAGAGAACGTACTACATAGGAAGCATTTATCGAATAGCACGAGTAACATACTTAACGGCCTAAGTAACTTGTGGATTTTCCCCCATGTTTAAGTGCATGCATGCCTGTTTTCCTTACAATTAGGATAGAGTACCGGGAAATTTGGAAACAATTTGGAAGTGAACTTTGAACACAGATCGACTGCAAACGAAGAAGGTAGGGCTTTGGAACAAGGTCTCCCTTCGCGAAGGCAACTTTTAGGCTGTATTTTCAACGCGGAAATAGCTGTCCCTCATGATCTCCGGGCTTTTTTGGAAAACAAAGGAAATAATACCTAGAGTTGGCATTGGTGGTAGCTTGCTTTCCAAGAATATATGCCTGTTAGCCCAAATGTATTGGGTTTCGCAGAAGTTGCACTAAGGTTGATAAGCGCGGAACCGCCTCAGTCCACACCAGCGCTGTCTAGTAGGTATGACGCAAGCTACAAATGCGAGCCGCAGGTGGGATTATAAATTTTATAGTAGTCACATTTTAAAAAACGAAAAGAAATAGGCGAATTCATTGTAGTGAATTATATTTTAGTGGTATATATGTGGTGGTATATTGTAGTGATATATTTTAAGTAACTCATTCTATCCGAAAGTCTTTTAACATGTAATAAATACAAAAAGTATGTCTTTTTCATACTTAATCTTTGATGAAATCCAGATGAATTTTACACTTACAGCACCTCTCAGTGCAGATTAGCCGTGTGTCAAGTGCTCGATCCCCTGTTAACCACATGGGTTGACACCGTAGTAGTAGGTGCTCTGCGTTTGTTAATTTTATCTAAAATAGGTTTTGTGTGGGCCGAATTGTTAGGGGTGAAGTAGATATTTATGCATAGTGATCCGTAAGTCTAGTTGTGAACACGGTTCCTCTCCTTTTCCCGTTAATGTTAAGGTCATTCGACCTAGACCGGTGGCTCTCACTGGGGATAGCTGTCCCCCGTGGGACATTTGGCAGTGCCTGTCTAGAGACATCTCAGGTACTGACAGTTGGGCTGGGCGGGGAGAGCCCCTTCCCAGCATCCGGCGGGTGGAGGCAGGGAAGAAGCTGCTAGATGCCGTGAGCAGAGCTGCTCGGCCCTGTCCCCACAACACGGTTGTCCAGCCCAGTGCCAGCAGTGCTGAAGTTGGAGAAATTGGACGTAGCTCCGGCGGGGACTCCGTGCCGCGGAGGCCTCCGATTCGCCGTGGATGAAATAACGAGTCACTCCACGGTGCTGTTTAAAGATGACAATGGCAGGAACACCTGGAACTGCTTTGGGTCTGGGTCCAGGAGGTCTGTAAATTTCTCTCCCAGCCTGGAGCTATTTATCTGGTATAAGATTAACAGAGCTTGAGGGAGAAACGAAGCACGCTTCGCGGGTGCCCTGTACTTCTACGTCTGATTTCCTCTGGGGGCCCTCGGAGTCTTTATCGGTCCTGCCTGCCTCCAGCAGGTTCCCGCCAAGACTTACGATCTCCCAGGCCTCAGCTTGTGCGGGGCTACAGCTCCTGGTACCACTCAGAGCGGCCCCCGCAAGCTCATCCTCTTACTTGTTCATTTTGTTCTAGATCAAAGCTAGAAAAATCTTTACTCCTGTTTTTTCTGACTGTGAACCATGTCTTTGTACTGAGCTTTGAGTTGGTTGTTCAGGTCACAGGATTTCTTCACGCAGAACAAAACCTGCCATGCTTTAAATCTCTGGTTAATGGTCCTTTGTATTAAAGTCTCTGTTAAAATAACCTCTGTGTTTTTTGTGTCAAAAAGTTTTGTCCCTCAGGTTATTTTTGGGTTGACCACAAAAGGGCAATGATAGCACTTGGAATATATCAACCTAACATGCCAACAGATATTTCTATATTCCTTATTGGCCGCTAAAAATGTCTAGATGCGAGAAATATACAAGAAAGTGATAAAGTGAGATTTATTCAAAGACATATACACGCGTCTTGATGGTCGCATTGTCTGTAATGTCAAAAATGGAAATAACCTAATATCCGACTACAGGGGAACTAGGAAAAGAAATCACCAGCTCTCTGTGAAGGAGTCACAACTTAAAAAATATTTTACTAACATGGTAGCTTGTATGACTTTATAAAATTAGAACTTTTTGTTTACCGCATTTATTTTAGAAGTCTTTAGATAGCACTTACTATGTGTCAGGCATAGTGTGCGTTGCTAATAGGAACTCATCTTTTCATGGCAAAAGACGTAATCAAAGTCAAAATGCAACGATCTGAAAAAGGAAGGCACTGCTCGACCCTGCGGTGGGGACGCTGCGGTGGGAACTGCCGTGGAGCGGGGGCCGCGGGTTGGTGAGCGCAGAGGAGCGCAGAGGCCGTGCACAGGAAAGGGAGTGGAGTCAGCAGCGAGCGGGAGCCGGGGGCTGGCCGTCTGGCTCGCGCCCTCTAACCCAGCAGGTGCCGTGGGATTCGCCCGCGGCCCTGGGGAGCCGCCACCGCAGTCCTGACGGGGGAGGAGGGAGCGAGCGCCCTCACTCGCGCTGCTGGGGGAAGGGAAGCGGCAGATTCCTTCACAATGCATGTGCCCTTCCCCCGGCCTCCTGACCTGGCCGTCCCTACCCCTGCGAGCACCTTTGTGTGTGATGGAGAGGCCGCCTGGACGCAGACCGGGCGGGAAGAGTGGCCCAGGACAGGCCCGGCCAGGGAACGGCCGCACCGCGGCTCCCAGAGCGGGGCCGAGCTGGCCTTGACGTTACTGGGAAGGGGAAAACGAATGGCGAAGGGGTGTCTGTAACGTGATCCGTTTTTTACGTTGTATAAAAAGAAAATGGGGCCCCCACGTGCCTACGCGTGGGTGCATGTAGAGAACGAGGGGACCCGCAGCCCTGACCGGAGGTGGGCGGGACGCTGCGTGTGTCCTCGGAGTGGCCACCTCGTAAATTATCTAAATGTCTGATCGCCCTGGTGCGAAACTAACATTATTGTATGTTCAGTGTGATTGAAAAAAGTTTTTTAATTTAAAACAAAGTAACATAGCAATTTCGGTGGCTGGGCCGCCCGGCACGAAGGCATAATGAGTGAAATGACGGGACCAAGTCAATGCTCCGTTGAGGGGAAAGGGGTTTGGCGTCCGCTCAGAGCATCTCTGCGGACTTTGGAAAATGCCTCATTCTGGCACTGGTGAGTGGGTGACCAGTTCCAAGGAGAAAGGTGATGCTTCACATTTCTCCTGCTGCGGAGACAGGCGAGGGGCGTAGTCCTTCATGGCCGCCCTCTGGAAACACGCTGCCGAATCGCTCTGCCACTGCCGAGAGCAGCCTCTGCCCTCGAGCCCTGAGGGGTGCGAGACCTGCTGTCAGCTGGTGTGTGTGCGCCGGGACGGCCAAGCCAGTCCGCGCGGCCCAACGGCTCCCGGCCTTCTGTCCCGCTGGGCCGCGCAGGGCCCGGACGGGCTTGGCCGTCCCCTGGCCGGACAGCGGCGCGGCCCTTGCACCAGGGTCCGGACGGACGGGCTGAGGCAGCCCCGCCCGTCGGCCCCTCTTTCTGGTTCAAGCCCGTGTGGGAGCGAGCTCTTGACAAGACCCGGGTGGCGGAGGCCTTAGTGGCAGCCACCTCGATAGGTGTTTTGGAACGAGCCAATGAAAGCGGCCCTTCGCCAGTGTTGGGGGAGAAATGGCAGTTGCTTGTCCTGCTCCCACGACCTCTCGCTCCCTGATGACTACGTCCAGGACTGCAAACAACCTGCATCTCCCGCTGGCAGCGGCGCCCCCCACCCCCGGCCCTGCTCGGCGCCTGTGCCGGACGGACTCCCGCGCGCACCTGGCCGCGGGCCTTCGCACCTGGCCGGCCTGGCCGTGGTATGGGTCTCCACCCGGGGCCAGGCCATTCATTGTCTGCTGAGACCAGCTCCTGCTGGGAGATCTCTTTTCCCGCTAATTTACCTGTGAGGCAAATCGCAGTGTCATTTAGGATGGCTGGTATTGTTTGGTCGTTTTCCTTTAGGGCCTCCTGGAGGATGAACGACAAAACCACTGACTTTGTGGTTCGTGGGACTCACAGTGTCTTCCTGATGGGAGCCACGGATCAAGGGACTTCATAGTGAGCGACCAGGGACCGTCACAGACAGACAGACCTAGGCCTCCAGCTCAGTTCTGCCACGTCCTTGGTGACCTTGAGAGTAGGCCACCCGGCGCGTGGACTGTGTGGGGCACAGTGCCCGGCATATCAAAGCGCTCAGAAGATGGCAGTTACCTGGGCGCTACCGCCCCGTGACCGCCTCAGCCTTGCCGGCCCCCAGAACACCAGACACCCAGGGCGCGCCCCCCGCCCGGGTTCTGCCCGAGCCCCCTACTGACCGATGGTGGGAATCGCTGTTGCCGGTCGCACAGCCTCTCACAGCTCCGTCGAGCTCCTAAATGCCGCGCTGCCGTGGCTTTTCCTAGTAATTTCAAGATACAAGAAACACGTTTCTGTTGCTTATCTGTGGTTTATTTTTAAATGTTTAATATAAAATTGAAATTATTTTTCTACATTTTATCTTTTGTGTAATTCTTTTGCATTGGGATCCTGTGTGTGGACAGGGCTTTAAAAGCCATCATTTCACGTTGCTGGATTCAGTGGTTAAACTTTTTATACTATCATGAATTTATGGCATAACCTTATTTAGTAACACAGTGAATTACTGAATTTTTCCCATTTGTTTTTAAAGTTGTTTTAAACCGGTAATTATGACGTCATCTTAAAAATTGCTCTGCAAAACTAGAGGGCGCCCAAACTAAACCTGTGAGGGGTCCATAGGTCACAGGGACCAGCTGGCCTTGCTGGTGCAAACTCTCCGTGGACGGAGGCCAGGAGGCTGGGCGCACAGAAGCGGAAAAGCTCTGATGGGATCCTTGACGTCCACCGGAGGACTGGACGTCGACCGCGACTCCCCCTGGTTTTGGTTTAGTGTTCCTCTGCCTTTAAAAACTCTGCCTGAGGGTCACCTTCTCGGCTCCAGCGCTTCTCCACCACATGGCGCTCACCGGCCTTTCCCTCTGTGTGTAGGTGACTCTTGTCTCCGCAGCCCCCGGGAAGGTGACCTGTGAGCTGCGGGTGGAGGAGGAGCACACCAACAAGATGGGCACGCTCCACGGGGGGCTGACAGCCACGCTGGTGGACAGCATCTCGACGCTGGCGCTGCTCTGCACGGACCGCGCGCTGCCGGGCGTCAGCGTGGACATGAACATCACGTGGGTAGCGGGCGCGCCTGCAGGCCGGCCTCCGGGTGGGGGAGGGGGAGGGCCAACCGAGGGGCTGGTGCCCGGCTGGCAACGGGGAGGGAGCTCGCCCTTCGAGAAAGCCAGGCCTCCACCTCCGACCCGGATGTGGTGGGAGAACGTCCCTGCACGCTCCTGGCTCCTGGCTCCTGGCCGTTTCTCAGTCCTGACACGTGTTCAGGACACGCGAGCCTGAGTGAGGCTCAGAGCGGAGCTGGAGAAACCTTCACGTAGACACTGTCATCTTCTTGTGACAAGGTGGCTGCGGGTGTCCAGTTGGCAACCCGGCGTGTCTCCCTAACGCACAGACACGCCCTGCAGGTTGGCAGACACGGCGTGGGCGCGGCACCCGGGGGGCGGGGCCGGAGGTCCGGGACTCGGCCCGGGGCTGGCTGGCAGGCGCTGCTGCCCAGCCCTGTCCCGCGAGGAGTGCAGGGCCCGGGGCTTGTTTCCCGACCCCCGTCTCTGCCACCCAGCGGACAGAAAAGCAGTTGCAGGGGGGCGGGAGGGGCTGGCAAAGGTGGGTGAGGGCAGAGGCAGCGCAGCTGGTAGGCTTTCAACCCATCCGAGTCTTACTACACTCACGTCAGAGACACGCAGTCCCCTCTTTGCTATGGAAGTCACTTAGATTGAGGACACAAGTAGCAAATCACAGGACAAGATGCAGGTGCTCTCTGGAGCTCAAGGTCACCGAAAATGCTGCAGGTGGCGCTGGGAGCAGCCGCCGCCCTTCCCCTCCTCCCCGCGGCCAGACTGCGCCGGCGGCCGCGTGTCTTGGCCTTCAGAGCCTCCTTGTGGAGCCGGGTCTGCTTTTTACGCCTTCTAAGAAGGTACTGCTGCTTTCACAGCGCAAAGAATGTTTAGGGAGTCAGGTTTCGCTTTTCCAAGTATGTGGTGACCAAACCGGAACATGTCAAAAGTGAACGGATGAGAGCTTATGCACACAGGTGCGGAGGCAGAGTGCGCGTCAAAACCGCGTGTGCACAGTTCCTCACCAGGGCTGTCGGCACCTCTTACTAGTTCCCTAGAGTCTTTATAGTCATTTTAGAGTTGAGTGAATTCTTCGTACGGATATGGCAAGACACAGGCACCAAGTGTCACTTCACCGTGGGAGCTTAGCAGATTCAGGGAAAGCCAGGACGACTGTGTCACCAGCTCGCAGTCACTGAAGTGGGAACCCATGGAGGGAGGGCCCGGGGGCCAGAGCCCCTCCCTGCATTTACAGGAAAAGGAACAGGTGCGGAGGAGGACGCCCCTTGAGAGGGCAGAGTGCCCGCTGACCCTGTCGCCCCTCCTCGAAGCAGTTCCCAGCGGGGCTGTCCGGCCCCTGCACTGCTTTCCCTTTTAAAAATCACCGCCAGTAACTGCGCATCACTGTTTCCCCTCAAGGTACATGTCGCCTGCTAAAGCAGGAGAGGACGTGGTGATCACAGCGCACGTCCTGAAGCAAGGAAGGACGCTGGCCTTCGCCACGGTGGACCTGACCAACAAGGCCACGGGGAAGCTGGTGGCGCAGGGCAGGCACACGAAGCACCTGGGGAGCTGAGGGCGCCGCGCGCTGGGCTGCCACCTTCCCAATAAAGGAGCACAACCCGAGTGGCCCCGGAGTGCTGCTTTCTGTGGGAGCAGAGACCGAGCGGGACGTGGGGCGGGGGGGAGCATCGTCGTTTCTCTTCAGGTTTTAATCCTGGGGACGAAAAGTCCTTAGCTCGGCGCTTTGGGAACCGAGGTAAAGCGAAACACTAGCAGGGCTGCTTTGAGCTAAGATTACCTTAAAACTCAACTCTAATATTAAGCTACAGGAGAAAGAGAAATTAATGGTCAGTCCTACTGAGTCTTAGGTCATTCTCCGCTCTAAAATGACATCTACATTTTTTGCAAGCTCAGTTTCGAGACTATGGAACTGCAAGACTCCTGGACCTTTGCCCATATTGGAAAACTGGGGAGCCACGTGGCCTGAACAGCCCTCGGGGAAGCTGGGGGCACAGTGCGCCGTGGCGGGGACAGTCCCCTGGGTGTGCCGCTGTGCTGGTGACCGGTGATGGGACTGGCCTATTTTCTTAGGGACGGGGCATGCTATTAGCACCTTTTCTAGCACCTGGGATAAACCCACGCGGACCTCGAGTCTCAGCCTCAGCCTCCAGTTCGTCAGACGTGCCCGGCCGGTTTGGCAGACCCGGAGGGCGTCAGCTGACTCCCCGCCAGGGCACAGGGGTGCAGGTCCCCAGCGGGGGCTGTGTGAGTGGCAGCTGACTGATGTCTCTCCCGCATGTGAGTTTCTTTCTCCCTTCCTTCCCTTCTAAAACTAGTAGTCTTTAAAAATATAAAAATATTAAAAAATATAAACACAAACACGTGTCACCAGTTGTTGAGTCCATTTATCCCAGTTCTACTGCCTGTGGCATTCTTAGCGTAGATTTCTGCATCAGGGAGTCTTAGTGAATATCAAGACAGAAGAGCAAAGAAACAAAGAAAGGCCACTTTAAATGTGGAAACGCAGTCGACAGGGAAAGGTTGGCTCTCCAACAGGCCCCCGCCTTGGAGCCATCCGGACGGATGTGGGCAAGAACCGCCCAACAGTGGCCCTGGGGCGTGAGGTCGCTGACGCTGGCCAGCACACCCTCGCCACTTCACCAGGGGCATGTCACACGCCAGACGAGCAGCCTTGTGTTTCAAAAGTTGGCCCATACTCTTCACAAATGCCAAGGTTGGTAAGGCCCGAGGGACTGAGTCAGGAGATCAGAGACATGGCGGCTGAACGCGAGGAGGGTCCCGCGCTGCAGGGGGTTGGGAGGCACCCTGGGAATTATTGTGAGGACAGGGAGCTCTGAGCACGAGTGGTGGCAGCCAGGGTGGCGCTGTCACCTCCCCCGAGTTCGCCACCTCTGCCGTGGGACACGTGCCTAAGACTGAGGGGTCAGGAATCAAGAGGCAGGTGGCGGTGCTGCCAGACTCAAAATGTTCAGCGTTTCAGATGTGTGAGCAGACGTAGGACAGTGAAAACAAACGTGGCAAATGTTGATTAGAAGTGGGGAAAGGGTCCACAGGAGCTTTGTTTTAAAAGCTTTTCTAAGTTTATTCTAAAATAAAAACAAAACCAATGGCTGCTGAAATGCCAAACTACATTAACTATCGAGTCATTCGACAGAGGCAGAGCGCAAGGGGCAGGGGCTCCCTGGAGCGGGGCCCTCCCCTCCCTGCTCTCCCCCGTGCCCTCAGGCGAGCACCCGTGCCCACGCAGCCTCCACAGATACGTGGGGGCGAGCGCTTGGAACGGCGCCCGCCAGGGCAAACGCGCGGTCTCATCTCAGATCGATGGACTAGGAAAATGTAGGAACGCGTCTTGGAATTAGAATTTCTTTCTTTTCCATGAAACAAAGCGTCCTCAAGCTCGGCTAATAACTGTTAAAAGCTGACAAGATGTCCTTGATTCCTTTCTTGTTGAAAGGACAACCCCGATGGCCAGGTTTTCCTGCTGAGTGTATTGTTTAACCATGGACTGTAACCCCCCGTGAGGGTCAGGGACACCTACCCAGACTCAGGAAAAAATGTTACCAAGTCAAGTTCTGTGTGTTCACCTGGAGAGTCAGGGAACTTTCACCTATTTTATTTAGGTTTTCATTTTTCAAATTCCAACCAGAAGCTAAATACAATTGGAAACCAGTAAGCACTAAGTTTTGCTCCAAAGGAGTAAAATCATTCAGATTTACTCCAATATAGTATGCAACCCTTAAGCAAAGCTTTTCTTCATTTGAAAGGAGGAAAAAAAAAAACAAACCCAAAAAAACAAAACTATACAGTAGTCTTTCCTTCTGTTCATTGCACAAAATGAGTTCTGCTTTTATAACTGACACTCAATGGCTGTTTTTACAATTTAAAATTCCAACTTTAATAACGTTTTCTACTCCAAAAAACCCTCGTAAGTTTTTTAGAATGGTGTAGAAACCAGTATTTCTGCACAATTCACTGGAATTTTTTTCATTGTAATAAAAACCTCCTCTTTAAAACCAGAAAACAAAACAAAAACCAAAAGGAAGGTCGTCTGCCCGTCGCGGCGCCTGCGGCTCCGAGCGCGCCTCTGCCCAGCAGCCCCCGCCCCTGCTCTGCGGGCCCAGCGCCCGGCTGCGGGCACTTTCCCAAGGGCACCGGGAAAGACACCCGGGAATGGAACGCGCGTATCCGTGAGCACCGGGAAACAAACGCGCCCGCACAAGGCGAGGCCGGAGTGCCTGCTATGAGACGCTTTTTTCATTTAGGATTTCTCCCCCGTGGCTGCGTTTGTTTACCAACCACTTCTGGTCATCAGAGCGAACCTGGCAGCGCTCGGGAACGACGGGGGCGATTACAGCAAAGCCACACCCGTTACATTCACGTCTCACCCCCGCATGTTGACAACAGGTGTCAAAGAGGCAAAACCCAGCACGAACGGAAGCCCGGCACGGGCAGTGCCACCCGGCGCCTCCAGGGACAGCGCATCTGGGGCGCAGGCCTCTCGCTTCACATTTTCAGATGCTGACGCGGCGCAGATGCAGAGCTGCTTCTTTCACACAGTCCGTGCAGGAGACATCTAATTTTTTTTTAAAGTTCTGAGATACAAATGATTTAAAAAAAAAAAAAATCCAGGATGAACAAGTTTCAAAATGCATAGTGTTCTGTGCATGAGTCCATTTCCTTTAAACGCTGAAAGAATAAAGTGGTAAGAAAACAAGAAAAACGGCCGCTGCGCTCGGATCGTCCCCCTCTGCGGGCCGGCCTCTACTCGGGCATGTACGGGCGCAGGTGGTCCTCCACCGTGCCCGCCGCCCAGTGCGTCAGCTGCTCCTGCGGCAGGTACAGGCAGATGCTGCACAACTTGAAGATCGTGGCTTTGTTTTTTGGAGTCTGGAGGAGAAGAGTTTTAATATTCTTAATAAATAAGACCAACACAAGCGATCACCTGCCACATGCAGTCCGTCTCCCACAATTTGCTAAGTGCCCACAGGCACAGGGACGACCAACACAGAATGAGGGAGTAAATGATGCTTCCTGCCCACAGGGCCCCTAGGGAGTCAGAACTTTCCCATGCAAAACACAGGGAACCCGTGTAAGCACGCCTGCAAACAGACTTTCTGCAGGCGTGGCAACCGCAGGGGGCGGAGACAGAAGAGGCATAAATGATAATGGAAAAAAATACAATGAAACAGCCAACCACAGACTCCTTGCTAAAAGAAACTGGGGTTAAAGGCATTTCATGGAGACAGATCTGAAGAAAGGTTTGAAGTCATGTTTATACGTACACAGGAAGACAACAGACACAGTGAGAGAAGGGGGAAGGCCAGGAAACAGGCAAAAAGAAAAAATCTACGCGCATACTGGAGTAAAAGCCTACAATAAATGTCCCAGTACTACCAGTAACATAAACCAAACTCCGTGTACTATTCTTAAAGAGTAACTTAGATTTTCCCCCAAGCAGGACAGATGTGCAGACGCTTCCGCTCGCAGTGGCTGCTGGCGGGGGAAGAGCCACCCCAGGCTCACCTTCCAGGCCCCTCCCTCCCACAGTGACGCCTCTCGAGGTGGCAGAAGGAAAGAGACGGCCTTGGTGTGTCTGCAGTCTGTGCGTGGAAACGAGCCCACACGTGTGACCATCGATGCCACCACCCTGTGGACAGCGTGTACACAGCGCCATGGACAGAACCTGCCCCCACAGGCCCGGGCCAGGCTCCCGGCGGGGGGTGGTGGCGTCAGCAGGAGAGTGCGGACTCCAGCCCCGAGCCCCGCTCTGCAGCCCAGCCCTTCTGGGCACAGCCTTCGCCGGAGGCCTTGGCACGGACGCCGCGTTATGATGAAGGCTAACAGCACAGCGTCCGCTGTGAGCTTGGGGTCACGGCAGTCGGGCTCAGGCTGAGAGCAGAGGGCGTTTTACGAGTGAACAGTAACCTGGGTGCCTGGATCGCTGCCTATGTTGGAAGTGCTGATTTGAAACATATATGGATCTTTTAAATATAATGTACCTCATATCCCTTTAGACTTCATTTACTTTCAAGTGGGCCAGCACTTCTGCAGACAGACTGTTACCAGTGGCCAGAGGATCTGGTTCAGAACGCGGACCCTGACTGAGCAGAAGCGAGCAGGGCCCGAGGCTGCACACAGGCAAGGAGTTCTCAGGCGCCGCTTTCTGCGCACAACGAAGGACCGTCCTTCTCAAGCTCCCCCGGCCACTGGACTCGCGCCTTAGAAGCTCCCCACACAGTTCGCCGTGCGGCCAAGTCCGGGGCCACGCCCCGAGCGCGAGGCCCAGGGACTCTGCTCCTTGTTCTTTAAGTGCCTTCGAAATTACCGTGGCGCCAGGGGCACGACAGACTCAGGTGACCTGCACAGACACAGGCGGATGACCAGGGAGCCCTTGCACGCTCCGCACTCACCTGCAGGTGCTGTCTGTCGATGAAGAGAAACACGGACTGGCTTGGATTGTTGACCACAATTCCAGTCTTGTCCTTGCGGCTCAGAACATGCAGAAACTGTTTTTCATAGTCACCGTGATGAAACTCAAACTTGGCCTAGTGAAAAAAAAACACAAATCTGTCCTGTAACATGAAACACCTACTGTGCGCAGGTGCACAAGCTGTGCTGTCCCACACACGGGCTGACCCGGCGACAACTAAACCGGCACGTAAAGCCCAGTTCTTCAGGAACACCAGCCTTGTTTTAAAGAAATGCCCAGTCATCACACGGGGCTGGTGCCTCCCATTAGGAAGTCTCTCCATCCCAAAAGTCTGTCACCAGGAAGGGGAAGCACACACTGTTCCCGGAGTGCGTGGGGCACGGGGGGCGAGCGCGCCACCTCCATCCACGCGCCCCTCCCCACATCAGCACACGCCCACCGCACCAGACCTCCTCCGGCCACAGCGGCAAACACAGGGGCGGCCAAGAGCCCCTCGACTCCAGAGGCTACAACGCACATGCTTTCTCCTCTTGCGTTACAACATTTGAAGGACGAAAGGGACACAAAACTTAGTAGAAATCATATCCCCAAGAGTTTCCTGAGGCAGACCCTATTCCGGGAGCTTCTACTTGTTTAGGTGCTGACCACACTTATTTCAGAGTAAAATACCTGAACAGGCCTAAAAGGCTCATCAGATTCCTTCCACCTAGAAAACAGGAGACAGACTATTTTCTCAATGTCATTCCGAGGCCAAAGAATGAAATCCATCTCCTGAGTACAGCCAATCACGTCCTATGAAATGACAAAAAGGAAAAGAAGGAAGCAATTACTCGCACAGAGACAGCACTCTCACAGGCCACGTCCCGGGTACGCAGTTGGGCCGCGAGGCCGCCGCACGGGGCCCCGGGCCCACCGCGTGCTGTTTCATGACGAGGGAACGGGACTGTGTAGAACATGAACAGCTCAGAGCCCAATTCTGTTTTTGTCTCTTCGAGTCCACAGTCACTCAACTATGTTCTTCCATCAGGACCTGAATTCACCAACTACAGCTGATTCTTTTTTCGGGGAGGGGGGGTCCCCTGCACCTTTATTTCCACTCTTCAAAATCAGAACTATCTAAGCCAAGGTCTCTTGGAGCGTCTACTACGAGCCACTGCCTTCTCACTACAGCAGAGCTGCCATCGCTGCCACTGCTCCCGCCCTCGCCGGGCGGCAGGGGCCCCGACAGCCGGACCCCCCACCCAGGCCAGAGCGTGGGCTCCGGCCTCCTCCCGGCCCCGCCACCGGCGGGGCGTCCCCCGTGCAAATACGGCGGCCTAACTTCCAAGGAGTCGCACAAGTTTAGAAGGCCGGCACCAAGAGTATCTTCTGCATCAAGTTTCTTACTCACGAGGGGCACGATGTTATCTCTGCCCCCCCAAAAAGGAAACCCAATGAACAGTAATATGAAGCACTGCTCACAGCAATAAGGGACGCCATCACCAGCGTGATACCACGTCAGGCAAGTCATCTGTGTTTTATCTGAAGTCAACTTCAAAGAGATTCATTTCCACAGTAACCACACATTCCTGGGGGAAGGGGGATGCAAGCTTAACTCACTAAGACTTCCCAGGCCAAGACTGAACCCCAGCGCTTACCCTCCTCATGGACTGGTAGCGAGGAGCGTGGAGCTGCACCACGTCCTTCTGCAAAAGCTCCACGGAGCTTTCCAAGGAGTAGCTGGAATCGCGCACACCCTTCAGGATGTTTTCTTCGTAGTTATTCGTCATGACTGGTATAACCTCAGACACTTCAAAAAGCGCTGACTTCTTCTTCTAAAAGAAAGCAAGTGTATTAATCCGCTGGTTAACACACAGCCTTAACACTCAGTTCACGCTACAGTGTCACGTACCTTCATTCTAACTCACCAACACCCTTAAATGAAGTAATTCTTACACTGAAAACACCAATTTTCAAACAGGCGAATCCTTCTGCCCTCCGCTTACCCCCAACCCCAGCCCAACAGGCAGTTAGTGTCTGACCACACAGGTTCATAGCATCAGGGCACCCACAGCAAGTGTTCCTGTGGCCTGAAATGCTGTGGGAGATTAACACCAGCTTCCCCAAGGCTAAAAAAAAAAAAAAAGTGACTTACTCTTGAAATAATTTCATTTAGCTGGTTCTACAAACAGGTAAGTTAAAATCTCAGCAGTTTAAAGACAAAGCTACACAGAACATAACTGTACCCCTTTCAAATGCACCTCATGTGCTGTGTCTCTAGCAGCAAAAGACACTTTGACACCTAACCTTCAGGAGTCAAGAGTGGGGTGAAAACCTGGGGAACCCCCAAATACTAAATAGATACCACACTTATGGTTGCTTTTCTGCTCTGAAATCAGCTCAGAAGTGATTTCACTTTGTGAACAGAAAACACAAAAAGCAACTGCTTTACCATGTTTCTCCTGGATGACTTGCAACTCGTTATTTGCTGTCTGACTGTGGAATTGATTTTAAGACCAAAAATTTCAACTTCTTAATTCCGCTCAGTCTATTTACACTTCCCATTAGCCAAGCTTTAAATGCAGGGATGTGGTCACGTGACTCCACGTCAACAGTAACTGCTGTAAAGCATCAGTTCCAAGTTTTACCAGGCTGCCCACCCCACGCTAACTGAAATGGACCCCACTCAGCTTTGGAATAAAATCCGAAGCCGAGAGTCCCGCTCCTTCCCTTCAGTTCCACTGCGCTCAGAGAACACCCCAGGAGGGAGAAGCCACGCCGGTGAGGGGGCTGCGTCCAGCCTGAAGATACTCGCGTTAAGAACTCACAAAACCACCTGTACTCATTAACGCCCAGGAAGAACTTGAGATTACCTTCTCCTTGAATACAAAGGCGATATACATCTTGAAATCAAACTGGTCAGCTAGTGATTCCTTCTTCTTCCTAAGCTGAGCACGTAGTCTGTTCAGAGCTTGTTTCTTCCGGGAGTTTGGGTCCCCCATTTTGAAATACAGGTGGTACTAAAGCCTTTGGAAATTGTCGCTAAACTATGGGCACTTTTTCTTAAGACTCAAGTACAACAGAAACAAGTCATTTTCCCCCCCTGCTCATATGATTGAATAGCTAAAATCACGACTGTAACCCAAAACTGCACCTTCTGGCAATGTTATATCACAGGGTCAAGAAACAAAAGGGGCTCCCCAGTCATGTTTGGATAGTAACGTTTGGGGTGGGATGGGAAAAAAGAAGGGAAGGAAAGAAAGAGAAGAAAATAACTGAACTAATTTTTTGGAAAACACATTTAGCTTAACTGCCAACAGGCAGGCTTTGTGGCCAATGAAAAGCCTAAGACCAGGACTTAAGTGTGCAAAACACAGCTGGCACCAGGCCAACCCTTAAAACCCATCCGGACTTCCCCCCTTTAGAAAAGGGATTATGAAAAGGAACAGGGAGGGGGGAAGTGTGATCCTTGCTTTCCAAGTACTTAAAAAAAAAAAAAAAAAAAAGACGAGAGAAAAAAACCCCACCAAAATATCCTTCCAAAAACACCAAAACAGGGAAGGCGAATGAGACTGAAATATCCAATTGGGTTTTACCCAGCCCGACCCATGGCTGTAGTACCTACTTAACTCTTAGTTATTCCAGGTTTCACTATTGCTATGTATTGTCAGTGCTGTTATTGATTACACTTGGTGGTGAGCAAAGAGAACAGTGCAAAATCGGTCGAGAAGGACGGGGAGAGGTTCAGGGTTTCCCTGCAATCAACTACAGTGTATACCGGGGGCGGGCAGCTGCTGCCCAAAGGAGCCAGGAGGGAAAACAGCGGAGTCATTTCCAACTTCCCCAGCGCCCACATTTCCACCCTCAGGCGGCTGCGAAGGCTGCTGCCCAGGAGCACCATGATGGCACAGAAAAGGGGCACAGAACACGACGGAACGAGCCCCGCGGCTTTGCTCAGACAGCGCCCCTGGCCCACCAGGGAGTCGGTCCCGCGCGCCTTCCCTACGCCTGCACCCCGACCAAGACCACGGGCATCGCTGAACCAAAGGGGGCGGGTTCTTCTCCCTAATCCAGGCCGTGCCCGGGGGCCACCTGCCTTCCGTCCCCCAGGCCCACCCCCACCCTTTGCCTTCAGCGGCAGCGACTCACTCGCACCACGGGAGACACTGGATCACTCAGGTTTCCTCTTACTTCATCGTGGAAACAATTCCCGCCCGGGTAGAGTAGGCGGGACAGGGTAAAGGGGAAGGATCAGTTGGGGGAAAAGGAGTTGTTAATATTAATTACTTTTTAAAGCACGCCCACCCCACCCCCCAAGGAAACGAAGTGCCCGGACTCCGGATGAGCGCTCTCACGTGGAACAGACCATGCTTCCCGAATGTGGATGGTTCAGGGCGGGGTCGCGGACCGACGCGGGCGGGCGGATGGCCCTTTAGCCGCAGCCCGCGGGCGGAGCGGAGGCGGCGGCGGCGGAAGTGGCGGCGGCGGGGGCGCTGCTCGCAGCTCGGGCAGGAGCCATGTCAAGAGAACACCAGCAGCCAACGGAGCCCCCCCATCCCCGCTGCGGCGCGCACTGGGGCCGGGCCGCCCGCGCTGCTGCCGCCACGCAGCCCCCGCCTGGGACCCATAGTCTGGCTCGGCGCCCCGGGCGGAGGGAGGACGGGACGGCGGCGAGAGAGAGAAAGAGGGGAACGAGAAGGAGGGGACGGTCTCGCGGCGGGGGAGGAAGGGAGCCCTGCGCTAAGGTCTGTCGGCGAGTCAACCCCAAGTAAAGTTATTTCAGTCCAAGCATCTGCTGAGTCCTTCTTCCCCAGGCGGCTCCGGCTCGCAGGAGAGCGGGGCCCGGACGGCGAACGCCGAGCTGAAGACGAGCGTCCGCGGCGGCACAGCCTCGTTCCCCGCCACCGGTGGCTGCGGAAGCGGCGGCGGCCTCGGCGACTCTGGGATCGGGGCAAGCCGCGTTCGAGACGAGCAGCCAGAACAAACAACTTAAAATGGCAGCGACGCCGCTGCGTCACCCGCCCTCAGCGGCACCGCCCCGAGCTCGTTGCGCCTGCGCGCGCCGCGGACCCCACCACCTGCGCGAGGACGGAGAGGACAGGCGCCTGAGGCGGGCAGATCGTCGGGGTTATTCAGGAGGCAGGAGAGGGGAGCAGGAGGAGGGGCACGAGCAAGACTTCCCAAAGCGGGAAGCCTTTGCCGTGAAACTGCTTAGCCGGTACTGACGACTCGAAGGAGAGTTTGAGAACTGAGACGCCCCTTCTTGCCCGTTTGGAGCGTCCTTGGGGCGGGGATACGGCACCTTCCACTCCCTCCGCCCTTCCGCCCGGAAGTCCAGATCCCGGAGTTGGCCCCTCCCACCCCCCTTTCGTAATAAAGCTACGCCCCATGCCCTGCCCCGCAAAGTACCCGGATGGAACAGCTCTTCCGGGGTCTCTCGCGCCCGCGCGTCGCCTGCGGAGGGCGGGGCGGGACTGAGCTCGCGGACGGGGAGGGGGCGGGACGTAGGGGAGCTCGGGGCGGGGTGAAGGAGGAGAGAGAAGGCTGTCGCGAGGTTCGGGACAGTTTCTCCTTTCGTTACGGTGTCGTCCCTAACCCACTGGTGGGTAGTCTTGGGCCGGGGTAGGGCGTTGTGCCTCGCGGGGTCCTGCAGCGACCAGAGGGGAATTCGTTGCCACTTTTGGGATTCAGGCAGCGGGAAGTGGCTCCCGCGGATCCCACGTGGCTCTGTCCCTGCCTGGCCGCGAGCGCCGGCAGGCTGGGCGGGCCTCAGGCTGTGCACAAGGTCAAAGATGCCCGGGAGGGCTGCTACGGAGACTCGGGAGAAAAACACCCCACGCTGCCGCGTGGATACTTCTCCCTCCCTTCGGAACATGATTTCTGTTGGGATCCCCCAGGACCCCAGGCCTAGGTCCTCGAAATGTGAAGAGTCCTTGGCAGCAGAGAGGCTTCCGTCCCATTTTTCAGAGCTTTAATGTACCGATGAAAACGAAGTTGTGTTATTAGGTGAACAGCAAGTCAAAGCTGGACAAAAGCAAAGCCTGTGTACTCCTTATGGGCTACTCTTCGTGATAAAATGTTAGAGGTCCTCCGGTTCCCCGAGTTGTTGCTCTGCACTTGGTAAAATCAACATGGAGTGCCCATAGCAACATTTTTTCACCCTTGAGCCAAAAGAATAATTGGGACCCACCCTTCAATGTAAATTGTTGTCCAGAACTAAAGGATGGAATTCCTAGGATTTCCAAATTATTGCTAACCTTGAAAGATAAAGCTACCATTTTGTTGGTGCTTCCTTGATTGATTTTCATAATTGCATAATGATAATAGTGTGGAAAACTCACAACGGTAAAATGGAAGATTTCAAGTACTTTATGACGGTTTAAAAATGTAAATATGAAATTAGCCTTGGGTCATTTCTGCTTAATCTGGCCAAGTTTCCTCTATTACTACTGCCAAGAAGAATTGTTTGTCTTTGTGGACAAAAAAGGAGTTCCATGAAAAGTAGAATGGGGTGATCGGGCCATCAACCCCTAAGTGGGCAGGCAGGTCCTGGTGAGGAGTCACACCCCAGGTGTATAATTCTTTAGTGAAAGGCTTATCCTTGCCTTAAGCAAGCCCTGCTCATTGTGTTCTGTGATGGAGGTGTAGGAGTTCTTTATTCTAGCTACAAGCCTGTTCTTAGATTTGCAAATATGTTCGCCCATTCTGGGAGTTATCCTTTCTTTTCACTTTCTTGGTGGTGGTCTTTGCAGCACAGGTTTTTAATTTTGTTGAAGCCCAACTGATCTGTTTTCTCTTTTCTTGCATTTTCTTTTGATGTGTCCTCTAAGAAACCATTGAAAAAATTTACACTACACTACTATAATAATCATGAAAAAAACAGGTTGGAGCAGATGTTGAGGTAAAACATGAGGTTTTCTGTCTCAGCTGCTCTGAAACGGAACTGGAGGTGATGTGGCCACAAGCCGAGCAGGTCCCCTGACGCTGTGCTCTGGGTCTGTGTCAGGTCTTCGTGAGAGGAGGCAAGAAATAGCAGCAGTGCGCTCTGGAGGAAGGAAACACTTCTAGCTCCTTTTCCCCTTGGAAGGGGAATGTGACTTGGGAGGGCTGTAAAACGGGAACAATGATCAAGGGCACTAAATTTTTATAAACCCACAACCGTTCCGTGATGGAATTCGGACGAAAGTGAGATAGCACACCCTTAACATTTGGCTTTGTTAACCATGGGTAGAGTCCACTTCATTATTTTAGAAGTGGCTTCTTTGGAGTTAGACAACTTCAAAAATAGTGGGTTGTGTGGAGTCTTGACCAAGAACACCTGCTTAATTTCCCCGCACCATTAGAAACACTAAGACATTTTCTTGGTTGAAATGCAGATACCACGGGAGAAGCGTACGTTTTTCATAAAGTAACGCCTTATAAAGGGTCTCTGCCACACACCCCCCCCCCCGCGCCCCGCGCCGCCACCCGGCCGAAGGAAGTATCCAGTGGGCTCCGCTGCTAACCTTCCAACCCTTCCAACCCGTAGGCAACACAGCTCCTCTGCCTTCCTGCCAAGTTAAGAAATGATTCCCCAAGCCATACTTGCATAGCCTTAATATACTTGTATGCCAAAAAGCAAGCCAGCAAAGTACTTAAAACAATCGTTCTTCTAAAAAGAACAAGCTGCCTTTAGAATAGACCGGTACATTCACTGCGCACACATTCTCTTCTCCCACAAAAATCTGGTTTTCTCAACATTCCCCTCTCATATTTATGGCCAGCAAGCATGCTAGATTTTCAGGAATTCTCAGATATTTGCCCCTTCATTCATGCTATTAAGTTTATGAGACACAGTCTTGATTTTTGCTCATGTTTATGATTTACAGTTTCACAAGCACCTACCCAGAACAAGGGCACGCTCTGCTCTCTAGGCCTGGAAGCTAGTTCTCATGCTGCGCCGTTCAGTGCCCCACGCGGCAGCCCCCGGCGCCCGCTCTCCAGATTTCAACCTCAGGTTTACCTCTCAGGTGACTGTCAACACGGGCTAATTTTAAAAATGCCACAGGCCACCGCCCGGCGGGGGTCACTCACGGAACGTGCTGTCGCATGAGGTTCTGAAACAAAAATGATATAAAAGCTAGAGACATGCTCTGTTTTGAGGCCTTGGCTTACCCTTCGAGGGCGGGGGGCGAACACGCTTGTTCATTTCTCCTCTGGTCTCACCCTAACGTCCCGCAGGCTGAACCTGTGGGGTCAGCACTTACTTGTCCCTGAACGCAGGACACGGAACCAGAGGAAGGTCCAGGCCTGGCCACGCCACGGCTTTCTCTTTCCTTGGGGACTCTCCTCCCCTGCGGCCTGCCTTTCTCTCTCTGAACCCCCTTTCTTTGCCGCTTCTCATGCTTTGTGCCCACCGGTATCGTCCCACAACCTGCCTTAGCCCCTCCAGTCTGTTCTTCGGGGTAGAGATGTGCAGGCTGCTGTTCAAACAGACCTGTCCCACAATTCGGGAAGGAATTTTTACCCATTTTCTTTGCCCGATTGTCTCAATCTGTAAAAGACAAAGCAAATGCCATCAGGAATATCGAAATATTTGGGGATTTTTTTTCTCCCTCTCTATCAAAAGGGAATGGGGAAGATATATGCGTGTATAATACATACAAGAGGTGTTGTGGACAGAGAAAAGGCCACGTGAGGACACGACAAGAAGGTGGCCGTCTGCCGGCCGAGGAGAGAGACCGCAGGAGACAGCACCCCGGCCAACACCTTCATCTCGGCTCTCCCAGCCTCCAGAGCTGCGAGAAAACAAATTTCCGTCGTCCCTGAGGCATGTGGCTTCGGCAGCCCTAGCACACTAACGCAGTGACAAATAAAAGGACCGTGTGTCATGACCGGAGGTAGTAGGATGGAGAGGGCAGCCAGTCTGAGAGGGGAGGTGCCTTTGAACTGCAAGGCCAGTGGGACACCCGGGGCGAGGGAGGGAAGCTCAAGAGAGGAAGGGGCACAGGCCTGGCAGGGGCAGCAGCCAGGGTCCGAGAGGCCCTGGGGTGAGGGGGTCGGGCACAGGCCCCAGGGCGGAGGCGGGGAGGCCTGGGAGTGGACGGCAGGAGGAAGCGGAGGCAATGAAAAGAGAAGACGCTGCAGGTGCGTGGGATGGAAGCCGAGGAAGACAGTCCTGGAGGGAGGCGAGACCATGTTTTAAAAATGCAGCTGAGAGGCCAAGAGAACGAGGAACCAGCAAAGAGCAATGGGCGGAGCTGCGGAGGCCACGGCTGACCTTGGAGGGAGCAGCTGCGCTGTTGCTGGGGTGCAGGAAGCCAGGCCGGCAAGTGGGCGGCGGAGGACAGGCTGGTTGGGCGGGGAAGGCGTCTTGCTCCAGAGCTCAGGCAGCCCTGGCCAGGTCGCCGGGTGGTCAGAGCGTCGTCCTGATGCGCCAGGGTTACGGGTTTGATCCCCAGCCAGGCACATACAAGAATCAACCCGCTAATGCATCAAGTGGAACAACAAATCCATGTTCCACTCTTCTCTATTCTCCCCCCTTCCTCTCTTTCTCTCTAGAATCAATAAATAAATTTGAACAAAAATAACAAACTTTGTGTTTTGGGATAATTTTATTCTAAATAACAGAAAAGTTGCCAAGATAATAGGAGTTCCTTACAGGCCTCACCGAGCTCCCCAGCGTTGGCATTCCCAGCGCAGCGGTCCAGCTGCTCAGGTGAGGCCCCAGTGCTGGCACGTGACTAGTGACTCCACGCGAGCCCCCTCCAGGCGCCGCCTGTGCCTGCCTGGCGGTACCAGAATCAGAGTGGGCCGTTACAGCCGGGCTACCACTGACCACACAGGCATAAAAGGTAAGCAGTCAATTTAGTTTCTAGTTAGATTAAAAGTAGGTTACGATCACAGGATATATCTTTTTAACCATTCTTCCTCTTTCCTTAATGATTTTAGTGAATTCAAAAGGAGGAAGCCCCGTCAGGGTTATTGGACTGGGGCGACAGCCTGCCGGGGCCCCTTTGGCCGGC